GCGTTTTCCCCATTCTATTCCGCTTCGGAAATTGTATTTTGATTGGTGACTTCTCTAAATCAGAGGCCGCAAAAGCCGCAAAACGTTAACGACACTCGTTTTGAAACATCGCAAGACTCGCCATGACATTCCTCGCAGCTGCATGATATTTATCGTTAAAATAATACTAAATCTTCTTTGTTTGGTCATGACATTTGCTTGAAAGGCCGGCTATATACCTTCTTAATATTCTCGGCATTCAAGATACATAATTCCGTAAGCCTGTAGGTAAAAATAACGAGAAAACCAAATGGCATCGGGCGTCCATCTTCGTGCTTCGCGCGAAAACAGAGCAGCAACTCTGCAACCGGATGTGATGTCATAAATCGGTGGATCATAGGTACATGAAATTTCGCTAAGTCGTGCCTCCCCCCGCTGGTACTGTCCTAATTTTAAAAAAAAAAAATGTCCTATTAAGGCTGAAATCAGGGCAGTTGATATCCAATCAGATTTAAGAATTTTGTTATAGTTATGATTAAAGTTAGGACCGGCTGGCCGTATAGGTGATTTAGGAAATTTTTTAACGGTTTAGCTTAAGCCCCCCCGTGCTTCGATCGTCCTGAATGTTGAATGAGCGCAATTTGTATTGCAAAATTATGAAATACTGCATTCTGTTGTCCGAGGTCTGTATGATAAAAACAGTGCCTCATGGCACTGTTTCACCTCAGATGTGATGTATAAATGATATAAAAGGATGGTTTACACCGGCGCACCCAGATTTGTTGGCAAGACTTTGTAAACTTGTCGAACGCAAAAAAATTCGGCCTGATTTTTTTTTTCAGGCCTAATTAATATACGGTGATCAAGAGCCATTATGGCTCTTAAATGTGATCGAAGATGATTGCCAGCTTTTTGGTGTACATGGGGCGCTGTCAACTCGAAGTAAGATTTGGCTCACTCTTGGGCTGTTCGCAAATTATTTTTCTCTAAAATCACTTAGCCTTTCGCTGAATTGTGGAATACACGTTTAATTTATTGTTTGATTTAAACTATAAATTTATTAATGGGAGCCTCGCGTCTAGCCCTGGCTAAATCTTTTTATTAGTTTGTTATTAGTAGTATTTTTATAAGGTTTGATATAAAACACTGCGAACCGAGCTGTACCCTGATTAAAATGAACTCATTCAATTTTTTGAACAATCAAGGGGGGCGGGGACGCGAAAGGGGTACCTTTTTTAGGCCTCAGGTGTAGTAAAGGGTAGAGATTTCTGTGACGAAATGTGGCTTATCTCGGAAACCACAAGAACTCAATGAACTTATAGTATGCCTTAGCGTTTTATATTACCGAATAGTTTAGTTATTTGTTGGCTAGCCACGAGCACATGTATTCATTCATTTAAAGCCTGTTCCGCAATAAACAACGTTTGCTTAAACACGATATATTTACTCGCGTGTCTTTACAATTTCCCTAGCTGAAGTATATGAAAGGGTAGGGAAATGCGCAATTTCGGTCTGTAAAAAGGCCCAAAAGGACTAGCAAGAAAACATACTTTGCATAGCGAACAATAAAGGTGAAAGGAGATATAAAATCTACGGCTCGGAATCGTTATAGGTAAGCAGTTCCAGTCAATTGATTTGTTTTGTCAAGAGCCATAATATTAATAGGACAGGTCCTATTATGGCTCTTGGTTTTGTTCAATACATCACATGCCATTCTTCAGATCAAACATTGAAATAACAACAGCCTCTGTATAAACATCTACATATGACATACGATGATTGATCACTAAAAACGCGATTACAATAGATGCATAAATGATGATAAAAATAAAGAAAGATAAAATCAATGAAATCAATACAAGAATTAAAAGCAAGGATAGTGTTACCTTGGAGTACTAAATTCTTCCATAAGGTTGTTGTGATGATCAGAAACACTTTCACTGATCCACCCAGTTGCTCGTAATGTTTACGTACCCAACAGCTTCAGTTTTAACAGTTGCACATTAGATCATATATTTGAATGCTATTTTGCGCTTAACAAACAATAAATTATTATTATTATTACTATTTATTATTAATTAATTCAGGTGATTTTCTTAGTGCTTCTAACTCAGTAGGTAGCTCACTTAATACACAAAACTACAAACAGAGCAAAAATGTCCAATAAACGGTGCATAAAAGCAAGATTGCAGTACTTACAGCGCGGTTATAAAGCTAGTGAAGAGACATCACGAGCCACCTGTTTTGCTTTACTTTAACGGTTTTTCTGGCTGACTTGCTTGATTCTCCCTTTAGATTTTTTGTCTGAATAATGGAATTCACTTTTCCCTAGCTAAAGCTAATAATAGCGCAAGTTTAGTTTGAAAATGACGGTTTTTGCGCATTCACAAACAACAAACAAACTTGTGAATGAAGCTGCCAACGATTCCGCCCGGGGAAGCGGGCAAGATCGTAAAATAACGCCCGCTCTCGGAACCAATCAGATTGCAGGATTTGGAGGATTCCGCCCGCTCGCAAGCTTGGAAAAAAGAAAAGAAATGTTATCCCCAAAACAAACAGATTAGAATGCCGAACAAGATAAACTATCCAAAACTTCACTTGCAAAACAAAATGGACCCAAAACTACTGCGATCTTGATGATACGGCTGACTTAGAACGTCATAAATCTCGCACCAAAAATCATATCTCCATTAGCTCGAAACTATGCCGCGAGCACCAGCGCGCCTAGAAACCGTTCAGTCACAATATTTTAAAAGTTTTGATTAGTCCACATTATATATATTAGAATTCTAACGTGACTCCCAGGCTTTCTGGCCATATTTCTTTATTTAGTTTGGTGTACTCTGTGCTCAAGTCGTGAAAAATTTGCAATTTTGACCCTAAAGCCTCGGATTCGTATTAGAATTGTAATATATCGAATGTCGGCTATTCGTTCCCAAGTCTCTCAATCGCGATCAGAAACTATAGTGTGAATTTACCATGAACATAAATTCTCCAATTTTGCCAGTGTCGTTTTATTTTTTTTTATTTGAATAGTTTGCAAAACCGTTTATTGGCTCATCCGTTTAGTAGCATCCGTTTGCATACGCCAAATCTTCAGATTTCTAATCGAGCACGACAGTTTATAGTATTTGGTTGTGAAAACAAAAATGGCGGACATTTCACTCGTTTCAGGAGTAAGGAACTAAGCAAAAATAGGTAAAAACATGGCAAGAACAGCAAGAAGACAGTTCGAAGGGCGACATCTGCTATTTGGAGAATATTTGCGGAGCTGAACAACCCTAAACGCGCACTATCGAAGACGAACTTAACATCGCTGGAGGTAAGCATGTTTTAGCTATGTTTTTCAACTAGGAATTATTTTAAATGAATAATAAAACAGTTATTGAATTCGGCTTTCGTATCATGTGAAGAATTATGGAGATCGAGGAGGTGTTATCCGCCTCGGCCTACGGTCTCGACGGATAACACCCTCCTCGATCTCCATAATTCTTCATAAGATACTCAGCTTCATTCATTAATTGTTAAATATACGATCTGGTCGATGTAAAAATTCAGTCTCGAACAAGCGTCAAGCCAGCATCCGCCACTGAGTAAGTGGTTAAAAAATAACCGCACTAGAGCCAGGTACGCCTATAGAAGGTAGGTGGCTGACGCTCTTGTTAGATCACAAAACTGCCTGAGCTGGTGTGAATAATCATGGAAAAAAACTTTTCAAAACGCTGCTGTAGCAGTCCTTCCATAAACTGAACAACCTGTTAGAACTGTAAGAAGCGTGATATCTACTTGTTTCTTCTTATTATTGTTATTTTCTATTTCGTGTGTATGACCATGCAACTTTACAAGTCAGAGCAGTAGGAAAGTCCAATGGTATACTGATCCTAGAACTTGTAGGCGACTAACCTATCCACATCTTCAATTTATATTCTCCATTTTAAGTAGATGACTTACTTCACAAGCAAGTGATAACTAAATTTATGTATAATCGATTTTATACGTAACATATTGGACAGGAGACTCTAATCACAATTGCTACTAACTGCTCCGCATCGGAAGGTTTAGGGCGGACCATTAGAAAACTTATCGGGGGGGCGAAGTACAAAAAAATACATTCGCGCAGGGGAAAATTAAATGAAAAAAAATTCTTGCATGCCAATTAATCCTAAAAACTATTTATGCTAAAAATAATTCATACAAAGAATTTGATAACGAAAAAAATTCCTGAGGGTCGAAAATTCAATATTGTACATGTCTACTCAACCTTGCATTTCATGTGTATGAGCCAATTCATAAGTACATAACTATGAATTAAGGTATCGTGTATTCTACAAGTAAGTCACCTATTAGTATTGCACAAGAAACTCTAAATATAAATCCCTGAAGGGCCTACTACTCTGTGGATTTAATGGTATTTCCAACAATGACTTGTCATAAGCGACACATCTACTGGTATCTTAAGTCAATTTAGTCTATTTTGCGTCTATAACGGCTCACCGCTTCATTGCTTTGTGAGTATGTTACTAATTGCTGGTATATGAAACTCTAATAACGAATGTCCACTCGAGTCTAGCGACGGTAACCGCTAACTACTACGAGTACTTTATTGTATATTCTAAAACTATCTACTCATATGTTCAATTAATATCGTCTATTTGGTGTTTATGACCTTCTTTAGAACTAACGTAAAATATTTCATAAGTAACCTATTGAATACGTAAGGATAATGAATAACGCTATCAACGTCAAACTTTCAGTGGTCTTAACAAAAATAAAAAATAATCCCTATCTACTGATCTTATAAAAAGCAAGCTGAGGACTGATAGACTAGACTGTTAACTCTCAGCGATCTTTTCCCACGCCAAAATGGCTGGTTCAACAACAACAACAACAACAACAACAACAACAACAACAACAAAAAAAAAGAAAAATAATGAACAAAAGCCTGCCTTATTCTGGTTTGAGTTTTTCCCCTAACGTTTCGGGCATGGCCATTCAACGGGTACTTAACTGATGAAGGGCCAGGCCCGAAACGTTTGGAGAAAAACTCAAGCCAAAACACGGCACTTGTTCACTATCTATTTTTTGTTAACATACCCTTAGTTAGTACTTTCTAAGTGCCACGCAGTTTATCGGAAATTTTTTCCCGTTATTTGTTTGATCACCCAAAATGGCTAGCGCCTATTTAAGGTGGCTTTAAAAAAGGTTTAAAGGCTTTTTTATAGTGGAAAGTGCACCTAGATTATCCCCGCCCCGATATAGCTAAATTACAGGCACTTCACTCACTCAAATACTTAGAAACAAATATTTTAAATAGAACAACTGGCAGGAGGCAACCTGTTGGCTTACTACAGTTTCGGATGAAAACTATCGATTTTTTCAAATTGGAGCATTTTTCGCAACTGAAGGTCTCTACTGAACTTTTTATCACAAAAAATGACGTAGATCATCATTCATCTCCTAAAAACATTTTATTGCACAGTATAACGCGAAATATAGCCACCGAACGCCTATGAAGGGGACTGGAAATTAGACCTTTAAAGGCTTTTTTCTTAGAAACTAGCCTTACGACCACATCTGAAAATTTAGGATTTGTTTAGTACTTAGAAATAGTGCTTCAATTGGTATTGGTCCCAAAACGGCTAATCATCTCAGGCAACAAATTACTTTCACCAACGATGGAAAATGTGAAAAAACATATGGCTTTTGGGCATCATTAGGAATTTATAGAGATCTCGCTATCTTTTTGGTGTGAAATAAACACACACTTCGCTGAGTGTAAAGCCGATTTGGCAAAAAACACCAATTTTACATAATATACGACTGACAGTTGTAGATCTATAATTTCAACCCGAGTTATTTTTAGTATTAACAGCTTTCAAAAGGAGTACTAAACAATTCGACCTGACTTTCCGGAATAGATATTTATACATCACTGCCCCATTCTATCAGCAGCGAAAACTGACAGCGTTGAAGTTACACAGCTCTGGACAGTTCATCGATGACCTCTTGCATGGTTGGTCTCGCTTCAGGATCTCTGTGCAGGCATCGTCGTACCAGGTCTCTTATCACACGGTTGGTTATCATTAGAATTTGTTCGTCACGCCTTTCAGGATCTGGAAGTTCTCTGACGCACATTTCACATAAAAGAACACCAAAGCTATAAACATCAACCTGAAAAAGATTAAGACGAACATAAACTATTTACAGTTTTGTTTTTAGATTTATACCGGTGTATTACAAAACGGATGAATAATGGAGGGGGGGGGGGGCGTGCGAATTGCTAAGATGTTAATATTACTTTCTTTGAAAGTATACGAGTTCATATTCAAGTTCCTCCTCCCATTTGAAAACTGTTTTCCACGTTGTCGCTTCCGAGTTGTCGCTTCCACGTTGTCACAAGAGGGAAAGAACATGGTAGCCATGTTCACGAAGCTAGCGTGCTTGCACGCGCTGTTAATTTCCTTTCTATATATGTCCGTTTGTAGTTTGTACACTCCCGTCTATTCCAGATAGTACTGTTACAGGTAAGTTAAAGCCGTTTTTCTGTCTCATAAAGCTACATAAAACCTAGCAACAATTTATAGTGTTTATTTTTTTTTAAATACAAATTTAGAAGGAAACAATTTGATGATGGCTATCGTAGAATATGTCAAAGCTGGCTACACATACCCGGGTGTCTTGAAAACAAAGACCGCGCTAAGACCTCCCAAGACCCCAAAACTTGAAAACAAAGACCCCCCGCCATTTTTTTAACATGTTTTTTTATGGGTGGAGGAGGGGAGGCCTTTCTCTTACAATAATCGGAAAAGTCTAAATTAAAAGTTTAATTCTTATTTTGTACTCTCTCGCTTCTTTCAGTCACTTGCCCCCAAAATTGTCTTTTTCTGACGGTGGAGTTTGTCTTTATCGAAAGGGCGGGGTGGGGGGAGGTTAGAAGGAAGTTGAAAATAGACTTAAATATTGAGTAATACTAAATCATGTCCCCGGAAATCGTGGAGCCACGTTCGGATCTCCTTCAGGCCTTCCTTCTTTCTTCCCCTTCAGTTTCCCCTCAGAAAAGCCTGATGCTCTGGCTAAATTTAATCCAGCTATTCACCACAACGAAAAGCCATTTACAGAATTCGAAACGATGTAGGATCCACTTGAGACTTTCAAAAAAGGCGATTTCCGAAGAAGATCCGAACATGGCTTTGTCTAATTTCAAATTCCCTCTCCCAAGCCCCCCGCCCCCTCCCCCATGAGTGATTCGCACGCCCCCCCCCCCCCCCCGCCATCCATCCATTTTGTAATACCAGAAGTCCCCCTGGAATGGAGCGACAACTGGGAAACGACAAGTAGGAAGCAACCATTTGTGACCGAGTGTTGCTAAATGTCGTGGGTCGTGGGTAGTGGGTTGAGGTCGTGGGTCGTGGGTGTGGTTCGTGGGTGTGGGTGTGGGTAAATGTCGTGGGAAAAAAAAAGTTTTCCAAAAAAAAAATTAAATTAAAAAATCAAAAGGCAAAAAGTTGTAAAATTCATGAAACGAAAATCTCCGTGTACATGCCAGTCCTACTCCGCTTCCCGCGGTCAGCAAAGCAAGTAAGCAAATCATTTAGTACAAACAGACACTAAAATAAGAAACTCTGTACACCTATAGCAGGTTACAGAAAACTGGAGACTGAACTGCTTTTTCTGAAAAAAGTCAACATTCGTGACTGAAACGTCCTTTCAGTTAAAGGAATGATATTTAGAATCATTACAGCAAAGATTTTGTACGCAAAACAAAAAAAAAATCGAGAAAATTATATTTACCTAAGGCAATAAAATTTACATTCTGCCCGCGCCTTAACTTGAAAGGTTGAGCATGAAGGTGCTTCCTTCGTAAGTTATTAGCTAGCCTAAAACTTCTTTAAGAAAGACTTCTATGCAAACATATGAAATACCTCAAAATTGTCCTTTTTCCCTGCCCTTTCCCACGGTGATCGCATTCCATCGTGTTAAGAAATCTTCGCTGATCATTGGAATTGTAGATCGAATAAAGATTAATAGTGAGCAGCCACTTCCATTCAGCGAGTCACAGCTGTTTATCCCATACTTTCTGCAAATTGTACGTATAACTTACGTCTGTTTCGTTTATTTTGCGGCGATAGCTCAGGTGTGTATAAATTTCCATCGGCAACATGTATGGCAGTGATGGTGTGAAAGAGGAGCCAAGTCCCACGTGTCTAAGGAAATATCCGGAAGAGGACGAAGAAGAAGCCGTGGCGTAAAGGGCAATCAAGGAGTTGGAGATTTTCGTTCTATAAATATTTTACAATTTTTTCTATTTATTATTATTATTATTATTATTATTATTATTATCTTTTTATCATTTTTTCCTTACTTTTTTTACCCACGACATTTACCCACACCCACACTCACGACCCACACCCACGACCCACGACCTCTACCCACTACCCACGACCCACGACATTTAGCTACACTCTTTGTGACCCCTATTGGGTTCCGTACTTAGCTCCAGTGTCTGTTTTTAATTAATAGAAAAAAGCAAATTTTCTTTCCTCGAAATAATCCTAACACTTGGGGTGATCTTATAAGTACGCCTGGTTCAATGATAAAGGCAAACCAGCGTCTTGTTCTTTACATCGAGGATATCTCTCTCACGCGAAAAAAGGCTAAAACAAAATTTTGTCTGCAGGACTTGGTAAAAGTAAAAGGACAAAAGTTACTAATGAATCAACAAATGGACCAAATCCACAAAATTGTACCTCTGCAATAAGGCCGTGCAGTACTACTGAAAGATTAGAAATCTAAAACCAGTGACAACAATTAACCAACCTTAGGAGTCTGATTTGATGTAAGTGCTTCAGGTGCGCTGTAAATCATAGCTCCAGGAGCCACTGTCATGATCTGCTGCATGAAATTAGCAGTGCCATAATCTGAAACTTTGCCTCTCCATTGGTCACCCTGTCGCCATAGCAACACATTAGCACTGCTGACGTCCCGGTGAATGATTGGATGTGGTTTCTTCAAATGCAGGTAGTTCAGCGCGCGGGCTACATCCAGAGAAATGACGCTTATTTCTGTTTTGGAGAGTGGCCGCTGCTCCAACAGCTTTCGCAGACTTTTTTCCATCAGCTCGGTGACAAACAGAGGAGTTCCCTCATCATTCGTGGCGCCGATGAACAGTAGTAAGTGGGGATGGCGGCATTTGGATGTAATATTCATTTCCCTCTCAAAATAACGTTCATTGTGAGGGGAGAGAATTAGATCATGAATTTGCTTTACGGCTACAGTACAGCCACAATACAGGCCTTCATAAACACTTCCCCAGCCTCCCCTCCCTAGGCAATTCTCTTTCATCTGAATTTCATCGCGAGAAATGGCCCAATCGTATGTTTCTTGTCGTCGCAGTTCACTTATTGAGTGCTGGGCTAACGAAAGACTTAACACCAGTTCATTAACTTCCTGATCTTTTTCCCGCAGCTGTCTTTCTACGGTGGAGGCTTGTGCTTGGAAGATTTCAAATAGTTCCTGCGTCTCCCCCAACTGCCTTTCTGAGTTTTGTTCGCGTTGCCGCATCTCCCTGAGCTGCCTTTGTGAGTTTTGTTCGCGTTGCCGCATCTCCCTGAGCTGCCTTTGTGAGTTTTCTTCGCGTTGCCGCATCTCCAGCAACTGCCTTTCTGTCGTTTGTTCGCGTTGTTGTATCTCCCTAGACAGTCTTTGCAAATGTTCTTCGCTTTGTCGCGTTTCATTCAACTGCCTCTGTAAGTTTTCTTCAGGGAGTAGATTCTCCATCAAGTATCCTTGTGAGTTATCTTTGCGTTGATGCACGCTCTTCAACTGACTTCTTGAGCTTGCTTTACGTTTCTCCATCTCCTCCAACTCAACTAGCCAATTTTCTTCGCGTTGTTGCATCTCCCTCAACTGCCTTTGAAAATTAACCACGCGTTGCTGCATCTCTCTTAACTCCCTTTCATTGCTTTCTTCGCGTTCATGCATCTCAATTAGCCGCCTTCGTAAGACTTCCTCGCGTTTCTGCATCTCTATTAGCTGCTTTTGCGAGTTTTCTTCGCGCTCATACACCTCCCTTAACGTTCTTTGAGATTTTTCTTCGCATTCCTGCAGATCTCTTATCTTCCTTTGACCGGTTTCTTCAAGTTCCTGAATATCTGATAACTGTCTTTGTAAGTATACTTCATGTTGCTGCGTCTTTCTCAACTGCCTTTGTGAATTTTCTTCACGTTCCTTCATCTCCACTAACTGCCTTTGTGAATTTTCTTCACGTTGTTGCATCTCCTTTAACCGCTTTTGTGAATTTTCTTCATGTTGTTGCATCTCCACTAACTGCCTTTGTGAATTTTCTTCTCGTTGCTGTATCTCTCTTAACTGCCTTTGTGAATTTTCTTCTCGTTGCTGCATCTCTCTCAACTGCATTTGTGAATTTCCTTCTCGTTGTTGCATCTCTGCTAACTGCCTTTGTAAATTTTCTTCACGTTGTTGCATCTCCCTTAACTGCTTTTGTAAGTTTTCTTCGCTTTCCTGCATCACCCTCAATTGCCGAACCAAATCTGTTCCACGAAGAGCTTGGGTTCTTTCTGCTAAGTAAATACACACAAACACGATGTATGAGATCCATTGCCTTTTAACCCGTGTCTTAAATCAGCTTAACTTAATCTGATGTAATTCTTGGTTGCCGAATGAACGGTGGTTGTCCCTTACGTGTAGATTTTAAAAACCATGAACAGAACGTAAATGAACGAATAAAGAGCAGCGCTTGGTAAAAGAAATGCACTTTGTCAAAATTCTTTCGACAGAGACATTTTTCACATTGTGTAGTTCCAAATAACTCCTGGAATTTCCGTAATTTTTCAACATGAATGGGTACCCTCTGGAAAGAGTATCGTGAAAGATAATTTTTTCTGCAATATAACGAGAAAAAATCTTTTCATTCACGTTAATACGGTGTCAAGACATTCTTAGCTAATAATTAACTTTAAAGGAAAGGCAATACCTTACACTACTGACTACACGAATAATGTCATCTGCAAAAGAACAAGTTACACTGAAAATAAACACCAAGCGAACTTTCATTACTTCAATTCAGTTAGAACATGTTACAAGAACGCTTGGCAAACGACCAATATCAGGCGGTGAATCACTACGTAATAGAGCAACAGCTACGTAACCGGAAGTTTATTCATGATGCGATGACACGTTCATTAAAGAAAACTATCGCGTCAGCCGATAACACTCATTGCGTGGAAACACCGGTCGAGTACAATATAACTGATAGCATGCTCAACAAAGAAGCTGGTTTTTTATTAGTAACTTACCAATCTTACTCAGAGCCCCTGGAAAACACCCCTATCGGAAATTGTCTCCTTTTGGACACCCCCTCCCCTCTCCTCGGAAGGGGCCCTCCGCGGCGGGGCGGGGGGTATGGATATTTTCTGGAACTACACATTTACGAGTCGACAAAGTTCTGGTAAGCAAGAGCAAACAGAAACATGTTGATATTGACAACATATACCGTATATATGAAATACCAGGTCGTAGTTTTCGCGGGAAAACATGATATCTTCACATGTGAAAACAACATGTTATCTTCACACGTGAAATATCACCTTTGCTATGGCTACATGATAAATCGCGCCTTTCAAAGCAAAAAATATTAAAGTGAAATGGTTTGGTATTTCGTTCGCTGCGCTCACTCGTGAAATATTTTTCAACACTCGAAGAGAACTTTCTTATCTACACGCGGCCATGTAATATCCTCTACATATAGGGGTACTATGGTAACATGCAACTCAATCCTTCAAGATTAAGAGTCTTATTTTTAAGAGTCTTATTTTAAGAGACTTATTTTTATGAGTTGCAGTCCGGTGCGAATCAAACTGGAGTCTACTGTGAGACTTGGAACGGAAATTGAAAATGCCAAATGGTAAGCCGTCTTTATTTTACTTCGCTCGCTAGAAATGGTTACCGTCTGACTATCACACATAATGCCGCACTGCACTCATTCCACCCCCGGTCCATTTCTACATCAGTTCACCCTTTCACGGTTATTTTAAGCTACACCTAGTTTCAAAAGCTACACGGAAAGGACTGAAGTCGAAACAAAGGTTTGAGGTTACGAACGCTTTTGCATCCTTGCTCAGGCCTCACGTATTCTACAAGGGTGAAAATGTTCTTAATAAGTAGTATTTAAACCAAGATGTTAGGTAGAGACTGAAAATAATACCTAGATCGTTCACATTTTCACTTAAACCATTAATTCTTACCTTGAACCACAGTTGTCATCTTAAGAATGAGTTCTTTACATTGTTCCTCCGAACTGTAGGTACTTGCGTACAAGGATCGCAGTAATTTAGACTCTTCAAGTCTCTTACTCTTCTGTTTGTTCCGAAGTTTCTTGATAGCAATTGACCAATCTTGATCTTTATCTGAATCAACGACATAGTGAGATCCAAAGAAAACTTCACGTAAAGCATCTCCAAAGCCCGAGTTTCCACTAACCAATGTAGGTAGGCCAGCTGATAGAGCCTCAAGACCCGACAGTCCAAACCCCTCTGTTCGTGAGGGCATAATAGCGAGATCCATTCCAGAAAATAATTGCTTTAATTCTTCTCGGTTTTCTACAAAGCCCCTGACAGTTAAGTATTTTTCCTGGATACCACACTGGAGAAACCTTTCCGTGACTTTCTCTAACTCTTCCGTTTTTGCACCAACGAAAACAAGAGAAACGTTTAGGTCACTTAATGCAGCGACTGCTTTTGCTGCGATGTCAAGACCTTTTACTGAAAAATCCTCTACGTCACCACGGCTTAAAAGAAGAACTCGAAATTTTGTTGTTGGTCTTTCCGAATCATGCACAATTTCACTAAACTCGCTTAATATACCAGGAGTAAAGTTGAGGAACATTTCACCCTTGTTACACGATGCCAAGTAAGAGTGAAAAGCTTCGTTTAACTTAGGACCAATGGAGACGACAAAGTCGGCCTCTTTACAAAGTTGAAGTTCTGTTTTGTGCTTTTCTTGGGCATTTGATACTGGATTTAAGTATGCCTTATACATTCCAAGTTCCTCAGGAATTGTATGAACAACTTGAACCCATTTGCATTTGAAAATTTTACTTATAAGGTTTGCCTGGGGCCCAAGCGGTATTCCATGACCAACGACCACGTCAATGTGTAAATCAGATGGTGGACAGCAAAGCCATTGAAGCTCCTCCATACCGATAAGTTCTGTTGCCTCAACAAGTTTGATATTGTGACCAAGAGCTGCCTCCTTGTCTCTTTCGTTGCATCGAGGAACGAAGAAAGTGACGTCAACCTCAGGGTGCTTAGCAACATTTATAGCTAATTCTCTGTTTATGGTGGACAGTCCCCCTTTAATGGAACCCCATTCAGAGCCCAAGAAAAGAACTCCCAACCTACTCGAGGATGGTCGAGATCCGCTGTCATCTTGATGTTCGTCTAAATTTGATTCCATTGCAGAATATCCTTAGTCCTGCAAATACAGAAACGTTACAGTTACAATGGTAGTTATATACAGTAAAACCTGTCAGCAAAAAAAGGAAAGAAAACAATGAGAGAGAGTCCTGCAGACAGAACAGATTACAACGGCCTTTATCCACGTTTTAAAAAAAATTATTTATGGCCGATAACATCCATAGAACATAAGAAGACAGAACAATAAACAATCTACAAAGGAGAAACGTACTTACACACTAACACTAGTCATTTTTACAACACTACATTACAATAATTTGGAAATAGTATATTACATTTTTAATTAATTCTCTTCACTAGTTTATTGTTCTATTCATGATCTTTTATATTGTTTGAATACCTGGTTCCAACTATGGGCAAAGCTTCATGAGAAAGTTCAGACCAGCGTTACGTTTAACAACGGAAGACTCTGTCATATTGTTTTCCTGAAATAAATGGTAATAATCTTTTCATCTCAGTTTAGTGAAAGAAAAAACTATTATCGGACAAATAAAACATTTATTGGTAGATACAGCAATTTCCAAAGCTTTTCTTTTCAAGTAATTTTAGACAGTGTTAAGAAATGTGAAAATATAGTGAAAAGATCGGGTGTCTGTAAAACCAGGATCAGGCTTGGAACCCTCCGGGAACAGTGAACATCCTTAGACGGAACACCCCTCTGACAGGCTGACCCCCCGAACACCCTTAAAAATGGGAGAAAAAAAAAACAAAGGAAAACCTCTAACCAGTGATAAGAATATCATCGATAAATAAAAATGTTTCATCTGTAACGGAGAGAAAAGGAAATCCTGTTACCATAACGGCGTAACGAATTTTGAAGATTAGAAGTAGTCCGCTGCCTTTTTTGATGGTTTTCACAGTGACGTCATCAGATTGCAAAGTCAAAAAAGCGAGGTTTTACGAATTGTTATTTACACTAGGTTGAAGATAAATAGAAAATAAATCTTTGTACAAGTTTCCAGCGCCGAAGCATGTTTCATTTCGAAAATACAGCAATTTGAACTTCCGAGTTTTCACAGTGCGTGACACCAAAATACGAATATGCTGTCCAATTGAAAAAAGTCTCTCCCCTTGATTTTCAGCAGTTAACCATTTCAAGTATTAAAAGATGTGTTTATGCGCACGTATGCTAGCTCTCGAGTGAAAAGGAAGAGCTTTTATAGAAAAAGTGAACTCCAGATGTTTTTGTTGATTTCCGGCGGCCAAACTGTCCACCAATATACAAAGGTGCGTGAAATGTGTTTCGGCTAATAACTCGGAAATTGTGGGCCACAATAAGACCTGATATTTGGACAAATTGTTTATATATTAGTCTTTTATAACATTCGATTTTCTTGGCTTCTTCCACTGGACGGTTTCCAATTTATTTTTTTGCGCCGTGTTTATTGCGTGACAGTGAAAACGAAAAGAATAAGAAAAACCCGTTAAAATGGACGCCGAGAGGTACATTACACGTACTCTCGGAATTTGACGGTATTTGAAGAAGCAGTTTGCAATAAATTTGGTCAGATTAATCTCAAAAGGTAGTAATTTTTCCGTTTTATATACCCAGCCTCGTTCTTAGGGCTCTTTCCTTTAGAAAATATGGGATTGGCGTAAAGGGGCAAAGTGACTGTACCCTGGCTCCGGAAGTCTTTCTCTCCCGCTTCATTGCAAACAATCAAGAATAGATAAGACAAAAATCCCTCTGGCACCCAGGGGAAAGTGATGGGTATTTGAGCAAAGTGATTTACTGAATGGGATTCGGGAATGTTCTGTGGTTTTCCCGTCATCAACACATTACCATGGAAACAATAAAAATCTCAAATTTTCAATATTACAACAAAACGCCGATCCTGCGCCGATCACTCCAGTTCATTGCTCTTTTATCAAAGTTAACTGATTTTAAGCTCTTGAGTGCCAACAGATCATATCTCTTCTCTTCAAAGCAAACGATAATAACTCTAAGTAAAAGCAGCAAAAAGCTGCTGGGTTTTAACGATAGAAACCGCTCAATAATAACTATATATTTAACATGAGCCAATCTTCAAAACCTTTGCTCAGAAAGGATGAAAATTGGCGCTATATAATCCTTACATGTAGCCTTAATGCTGCTCGAGGTTCTGTAATTCACGTATTTCTAGTATACGCCGGTTATACTAGCGGTGAGTAGAACTGCCCAGTCCAAGTGGTAATTAGGAAATAAACATTAAAATCGGCTCCTGATGCATACTTAAGAACATGTCATACACCAGGGACGAGGGGATACTTACTTGATCAGAATCGATCCTGACTGCAAAATACTGATTTATCTGGGTAAACAGCGGAGTTTTTCCCTTACAAAGATTTCCAACATGATTGTCTATAGGAGGAAAACAAAGTGTTCTCTGAAGTTAAAATGTCATATTCAGCTACACTGACAACTATTCAACAAGTGGTTGCCTTACCCTCGGCTAAGTGCGTAAAACAAACTCAGAGATGAAAATCTGTACTCTTGACGTTCTATACCAGAAAAGATCAGCTCTGCAGACTCGAGAAGACTATTCGAAAACAGGGGAACAGCCAGGGAAGTGGCTTTCGCTTTCGATCTGTAATGAAAGTAAACCGGAAATCATGACGTCATCACAATAATTAGCACTGACAGTACACGTGGAATGATGCCCACAATAAAAACTAGTCTGGATGGCACGGGTAAAGGTCGTTGAAACATAAAAAGCTTCTGTTTAATAGTTATTTAAACAATGAATTTAAAATAATCAACTGCATGTGGAAAGAATTTTTTAATATTTCTCGTCAATTGTATCCGGGAGGTTTTGCTTAAGAAATCTCGTATCCTGGGCCTTGGAATCCGGATTATATACTTCAAAGAATCCGAAATCCATCTAACGATTGGAATCCGGTGCCGGAAACCAAGTTCCAATGGCACAGAATCCGGAATCCACGCCTTGGATTCCAGAACTCTCTTGGATTCCCTTACATGTGGCGATATTTCAGTCCAAACAGCACTAAATCCTTTCTAATCACGAGGGGGGAATTTGAAAAGGTACTTTCTCTTAATCTAACAAAGACCAAAAAGATGGCAACTGATGTGTTCCCGCCGTAGTACAATCAGTACTATAATTGTAAACTCAATCTACCTCTTTTTCAACTTTTGTGCAAGTCCTTATCTGTAAGCTTCTACGTTTGTCGCAGGATTCATGTCATGATCAACATACTCAACTTACGGATCAATTGATTCGTTTTTTGACTGTCTACCGTATTTATTCAATTAACCGCCCTGGGCGCTTATTAAATTTTTGGACCTTGGGAGTGGGTGCTTTTTCGAGGTGGGCGCTTTTTCGAAGCTGGGCGCTTATTAAATTTTCATCATTTTCCGGAAAGTATAGTTAGTATTTTGTAACAAAACAATATGTGACAAAAATGTTTTCCTTAAAAGCCCACATCCACAAGACGAACACAGTGTACAAACTAAAATTATTAGGTTGAGATAACGTAGAGCGCAGATTGGTTTCTATTCCCTCGCGTACGGAAATATCCCCAGACCACCAGTGCATAATTGGAACCTACAGAGTAGAAGCCTACAGTTACCCTGGAAATTAGTCTGAAATGTCATTCGTCTCTTCGCCTCACCCACCCCCCCCAGCGTCCCCCCCGGGGCGAAGACACGGATGACATTTCAGACCACCTGGAAATGCATTGTGCAAGGAGGAAATCGCACCACGAAAGGCGCCGAGGGACTCTTGAAGTACTGGCCTTTGCGATCCCCTGTGTATACACTAAAAGGCAAAAAAAAAGAGAAGCCAATATCCAGCCATCTTGACCGAACAACCTTGCTCAAGGATTTATTATATGGCCAAAAAGAGAACTTCTCTTGCGGGGCCACCGCGGGAAATCCGGGGCGGGCGTATCTTACCCGCTTGAGTTACCAATCAGAAGGTAGTCTGCGAGCAGGCTCTCCATTTGGGAGATATCGTAACAAGTACACGCGCGAGTGGCACGCAAGGGGAGAAGCGACCAAAACGCACATTCCCACCAGACTGGATGAGCTGAGGCGCTGGTGCAAGAACGCGTCAAGAAATGCGAGATAAAAGTAACTTGCAGATAAAGGACGGAATGTATTACTGGCGTATAATTGCCGTCCTATTACCCGTTTACTTTTCTTTGATAGAAAAAGCAGACGTTTTTTGTATTCTACATTCTAAGCACTTTTTTTAGAAAACTTGAATCAAAAAAAATATTGACATTTAATAGAAGCCCATACAATCTCCTGCATTAAACCTCTTTTTTTATAAGATAAGTATATTTTTTAAATCACTTTTTATGACTTTTTAGTCCCTTATATATTTTATTTGAAAAGAAAGAGAGTAAAGGATTTTCAGAGTTGTCTACGTTCTTGTAATTCAGCCTTTTTGGGGAGGTCACAGCCTGATGCCCTTTGTGACGCAGGTATTCGTATTCAGACGTTTTAAAATTAAATACAATAAAAATGATGATGATGATGATGATGATGATTTTCATGACGACAATGGCGATGACGGATGATGATGGTGATGATGGTGATAAATTGATGACAAATGGTATGAACAGCAACCAGAAGTTGAGAATTCCAATGTTTCTGGAACTAGTTTGGTAAGAGCAACTGCTCAAAGACTCAGTCTTCCTTTATGAATAGATCGTTTTCACTCACGCGGTCAGCAGCAATGCAAATTTCTTGGAACAAAAGACATTTCTTACATAAGAAAAGAGTCAAATCCCTCCGCGATTATTTCTGTACACCAAAATGGTCGCCGTTTCATTGTTTACACCAATACGACCTTGAAATCATGTAAAAACGATCTATATACATTGTATCATCTCTAACATTGGCTACTACTGAGTCTCTTTAGATGACGGTCTACTAGAGCATAGGAATTCAAGGGATTAAATAGGCGCTGAATAAGCTTCTTCAATGATATCTTCCATATTTGGTCTTTGCTCAGGGTCTGACTGCACACAGCTCCGTATGAGGCCTCGAAATACGTGATTTGTTACCAGGGCAACTTGTTCCTTGCGCTGGTTTGGATCTGGCAGTTCCCGGATGCACATCTCGCACAGGAGAACTCCAAAACTATAAACGTCGATCTATCAACAAAAACAACATTATAAATATCTAGGAAACCTTCTACAACAACACCACTCACTTCAAACTTTTCTAACCAGTGTAGCTGGCGGTTTTTTTTCTGTCATGTTTCCTAAAGCAAGGGATCTAGCTCTGCAAAAGCTGAACCCAGTTCAAATGAGAAAGAATGGGGGAGCAGGGGAGGGGACAGTTCTCTACGAATTCTTTCTTTTACCCTATCCTCTACCTTTTTCTCTTTCGACCTCTTACTTTAAGAGGCATGAACGAGATACACCCAAAGCAACCACCTGGTAAGTCTAAACTTTGACGAGCTGAGTAACAACATAAAAAGATTTCACTTAAGAGTAGTCTGAAATGTCACATGTCTCCACCCCCTAACCCATGGGGGGTGCGGGGGAGAGAGCCCTCCATGGGTTAGGGGTGGAGACGTATGACATTTCAGACTAAGTTAAGAGGGGTTTTTGACAATTGTGACCACAGGCAGACCACCCTCTGTTAGCGGGGGCCGTTGTTGATTGAAATCTGAGCAACGATCTTTTGTTATTTATAGAAGAAATACATGTGAACAACACGGTGGCTATAATTTGTTTCAAAATGCAGAATTTAAAGCAGTCAGTTCCAGCTTAAATTGGACTGGGTCATACACCGGCGGCTGATTGCTGCCTCCCTTGTCTCCTTCTTTAGTTCTAACCGCCGAGGTCAAATATTCATCTCGCACAATAGCGCTTAAAACAGCACGGGACGGCGAAAAAAACATGACACATGACTCAGTTAACATTTTTCTTCAAACTTTTATTGAAACATGTGCTTTAAATTCTGCATTTTTAAACAAATTATAGCCACCGTATTGTTCACATGTATTTCTTCTATAAATAACAAAAGATCGTTGCTCAGATTTCAATCAACCACGGCCCCCACTAACAGAGAGTGGTCTGCCTGTGTTGTGACTGCACAGTTTTAATAGTTCTTCAAAAGTTATTTTTGCTGTTTATTACCGTAAAAGTCATATCACACTTTTTGTAAGGAAAAAAAGCAAGAATATAGTATTTTAAAATGCAGCATGCCACTGAAATCTTTTGCAGTTCATATGGAAAGGGTGAGGTATAATCGTATAATATGAGTAACAGAGCCTACATTTCAAATTTCATGTAACAATTCAGTACTGAATTCAACGAATAAGGTTTCACAAAGTTTTTACTCATTAGGTTTTAGTGCAGCAATATCTAAACTTAACCTCTGACATGACACCTTTTTACGGGAAAATTTACCTACTATTCATGCTTTCTTTGTAAATAAAATCAAAGCAAAGTTAGTAGTTACTAACTATGACTACAGCAAAGGCATCACTTAAGGTTTACCACTGCATCTAAAGTTGGTTGACTAACCTTGACTGTTTGGTTTGATGTAAGTGCTTCAGGCGCGCTGTAAATCATAGCTCCAGGAGCCACTGTCATGGTCTGCTGCATGAAATTAGCAGTGCCATAATCTGACACTTTGCCTCTCCACAGATCACCTTGTTGCCATAGCAACACATTAGCACTGCTGACATCCCGGTGAATGATTGGTGGTTTACTTTTGTGCAAATAGTTCAGTGCTAAGGCTACATCTAAAGAAATGGCTGTTATTTCTGCCTGAGAGAGTTGTCGCCGCTCCAGTAATCCCCGTAAACTTATTTCCATGAGCTCTGTCACAAATAGAGGACTCCCGTCATCATTAGTTGCACCAATGAACTGCAGTAAACAGGGATGCCGGCACCGTGCAGCAATGTTCATTTCTCTCTCAAACAAACGTCTGTTATGAGGAGACAAAATCAACTCATGGATCTGTTTCACAGCAACTTGACAACCTCTAAATCTTCCAAGGAAAACTTTTCCCCACCCTCCCACCCCTAAGCATTTATCAGTCAAGTGTATCTCATCTCTGGATATCATCCAGTCACAAGGTTCTTTTTGTCTGTGTTCCTCTAGTGCTTGTTGAGCAGTGGACAGTGTTGTTTCCAGTTCATGTATATGTTCATCCTTGGCTTTCAACTGTCTTTGCAAGTTACAAATCTCCTGTTCAGCTTCCTCCTTGGCAAGATGAACCTGTCTAAGTTCATCCTTAAGGCATTCCTGTTGAGAAAACCAATCACTTTGTTCCTTCTGCCAGTTACTCTGCTCAAGCTTCAGCCTTTTTAATTCATCCTTCATCTGCTGCATACTTGAACCATCTGCAATGAAATTTTACAAGGTACATCAGTGCAGAGAGTTGAATTAGTTCACTTACATTTGACTTGAGTTGACGTAATCTCTTGTTTATTACATAGATCTACTAGGCTTTTGGTCACTTGAGTTCTATTGCTTTCGTTACATCGTGACACTGTAACTGAAGAACTGTCACCCCTTGTTTGTGTTTCTGTAATAACATAATCTTCCACTTACAGAGACTTGAGTTAGTGTCCTCATTAGCGAGAGCCTGTAATAGCGGGAGTATATTTCAGTCAAACATCTGTAATTCAATTTTGCCTGGGATTAAGCTGCTATCTGTATTATCAGGGTCATCCATTATAGCAGGTTTCCACAAGGCAAAAGTTGATTGTACAAGCCTAAAGAAGCTAAACAGCAGTGCTAATCAAGATACTTTTTAAATTTACCCGCAGTTGCATTTTTAAGCTTCAAAAGTTGTTTACTATGTGGTTCAATATGGAGTAGGGCTTGTAACAGGATGTTTTTTTTTGTTTACAGGTAAATGGGCCTGTAACTAAGGGGGGGAGGGTTAGAAGCAGGAGTATAAGGTAATTTACTTTAAACAACTTGATTAAAAAATGTATGAACTTAAGGTGGCTTGACTGGATTTTTTGGGGGGGATACCTCCCAAGTTTGAGCATTAACTACGTTGGCATGAGTAAAGATATGGGAAAAAGGTTACCACAACTGTATTATAAGATAAAACTTTCTTATGATCTGGGTTTTATTGCAATCAGAGTTGCCATGGCAATGTAATGATGCCATTATGTTTTTTATTTATCTTTGCATTTCTCTGTACTGGGAGTTTTTTGAAGAAATCACTTAAGGGAGTATGTACCTGCCATAATTGCCATAATTATGGCAAAGTTTGAACAAATTCTGTGAGAGTGTTATGGAAATATTTTGAAACAAAGTTTTAAGAATCATATTCACTGGCATTGTTTTCAAGTTTCATATGCAAGTGTAAAACCAGCAAAGAAATAGAATTTGCATTAAAAGGACCCACGGTCACTTGCGGAAAAAATCTCCGGAATATGCTAATAACCACCTAAAGAAATTAGCGATATATTATAACATCACAGCAACTCTTTGTAAGAGTTTCTGTGATGATATAACCTGAGTAAGTATTGCATCCTTCACAATGAGCAGTGACGTTCACCATTTTGGCTCTCACTGCTATCCGTGACACAAGCCATTTATTAGCATATTCTGGATATTTGCTTGGAAAGTAATCGAGAGTTCCTTAAAATATTAGCTAATTGTGTGGATAGCATGCTATTTCACTGTTTTTATGATTCTTAAAACTTTGCTTCAAAATATTTCCATAACGCTCTCATAGAAATTGTTCAAACTTTGCTATAATTATGGCAGTTATGGCAGGTACATACTCCCTTAAGTGATTTCTTAAGAAAAGTCCTAGTACAGAGAAACACGAGGATAAATAAAAAACGTAATGGCGTCATTACATTTCCATGGTGACTCTGATTGTAATAAAACCCAGATCATAAGAAATTTTCATCTTTATATAATACAACTGTGGTAACCTTTTTTCCATATCTTTACTCATGCTAACATAGTTGATGCTCAAACTTGGGAGGTATCCCCCCCCCTAAAAAATCCAGTCTAGCCACCTTAAGAAGAGTACAAAGGTTATCACAGGGTGCCTATGACCAGTCAACAAAAATGCAGCACACCTGAACTAATGTCTTGCATTATTGGTTGAGCATCCTGATTTGTTAATAACTGCATCCACTGTGGTACTGATGGTGATGTAGGTGATGTGATGGAAGCCATTGAACCTACTGTACTTGGCATTCCAAGGAATGGAAACAGAGACAAGGGCTTGCTAGCATTAGTGAGGCTTGTTCCTTGATTTCTTGCACATGAAAAGCCACTTGCCTCAAGTGAGGATGGATTTGAGCCACTGCCCATGATTTCCTGTGCCCCTTTGGTTACAAGTTGTGGATTATCAGCAGTTGAATAATGTGTATCATAGTTATTGCTTGTTAAAGATTCTGTTGTGTTCAAAGAAAAAGCCTCCACAGCCTCATTCAATTTTACTACTGGAGTAACTCCCATGGGAAATTCTTTAGTTTTCCTGGTTTCATTTACTTTCGCACTTTCAGATGGTAGGCTGGAGTCGTCCCTTCTCCAAGGAAGTCTTCTCCGTCCTCTATAAGAGTCTGCTGTTTCAGGCTTGTGTGTCTCTCGCCACCCTCGTGGCATTTCTAGTGTTATGCTCACCCCTCTACATAGCAGTCAAGCCTACATGTATTTGACAATCAACAACAAAACAGATTAAACAAAGCCCTGCTCTAAGAAAACTGTGAGATGCTCAAAGCTCTGATCATTACAAAATTTCCTGGTGTCCAGCAGCCTAGAATTTCTTAACCTGAGATCAGGCCCAATTTGAGCGGTTCTCATACATTCTCTCTAACGGCTACCGCTGAAATTGGGCCTGATACAAACTATTACAAGTTTGTGCTCGTTACGGCCAGATTTTGGCCGTAACACTGATTGGCTGTTAGAACAATGCCACAAGATCTGATTGGCTGTCGGAAACGCCGGAAGTTGAAAGCGCTTATTCCTTACGTGGTTGTTTTCGTGAATGATCCGTCATCGGTGGAGAGAAGGATCGATTTTGCTGTCTTTTTTATTGTTTTATGGTCTTATGGTAGGAAAATATGCCTTAACATGTGCCATGGAAATTCAGAAAATTCATGTGGTTGTTCATATCTTCTCAGGATTTGCTTTATTTACGGAAAGTGAGTGTATCGCGGAGTTGAATCCCTCTGCAAGTTGTTGACCGCTAACAGGTGCATTTTGATTTACCAACAAACGGGTGCAAATCAAAATACTCTCCATCTTAAAACTGGTTTCACTTGAACGTTTAGCCAGGAATGACTTCTCTGAACGGGGTATGGAAGCGGAGGCTCACTGCGAAAGAAACCTCAATCGCCAACAGTGAAGTATTAGACAAAAAATATTGCATCGCTGTTCAAGGAATTTTCAGTGTTCACAGACTGGTTGTTTGACTACGCTTTTTGTTAAAAGTAAACCAAGAAAACTGGTGTCCTCGTTCGTCGGCTGTTTGCTTTTGTTTTCAAAGATTAATTTTATGTACTGAAAATCGGGGGAAATTGCCGAGGAAAATATTAAGACAACGGAAAAATAGAGATTTCAGTATTTTAAATTCCAGAGCGCCTAGCCAAAATAATAAAACTAGTAGAACACCATGTCGCCATCTTTTCGAAAACTTTTTACCTTCAACGCCAACAGAAGTAACCTTCGAGATCTCCCTTAATCTCGAAAGAAGTTAAATGTGATTGTGCTGACTGTTTTATTTTTAGCTGAAAAAATTAACAGATAAAAGCTATTTTTTAAGTCAGCCAGTCTGCATTTTTCCCACGCGTGAAAAATTTGCATACTAGAAAAACAAGCAGCGGAAGTAATTCTGATTGGCTGATTCGGCAAATGTCAATCGATCAAAAAAGTGGGCGGCAGACATTTCGTTAAAGGTTTGTATCAGGCTCTCTTTTCGTTTCGCCTTGCCCGCCGGAATGTAATTTTCAAAGCGAAACGAAAATAGAGCCTGATCTCAGGTTAAGAATTTCTTGGTTGCTCAAAGGCAAAGTAATAATAACAATAATGGCTGATCCAGGAAGGACAAGGTTCAGTGAATCAAGTTACAATTTTCTTGTCTAAAGAGGACTAAGTATGATTATTAATCAAAATTAATAAGAAAACACGACTGGCAACAGAGAGAGAGCCAGGTAGTTTTGCATAGACTGTGAGCAATTTCTCTCTTGCTTGAAAATCTACGAGAGACCACAATAATATGATGTTGATGTGCCGGTGTCTGTGCCTGCACATCTCTTGTATGGTCTCTATCACCTTAAATGATCTTTCTTCTATATATTTTTGAAAGTATTCTTCTTAGAATAATTTATTTACACTGATACAACAATATTATAGCTTTGTCTGAAAAGATGTTACTTCGAGGGGGATGGGGTGCCCCAGATTTTGTGCAAATGCCCCGTGCAATAGACCTCTTTTGCTTGTATGTTTTGTTTTCACAATACAAGTCATTTGATAATACTCTAAACAACTGTTTCTTTCAAATTTCAACTTTATATTATCAGTCAAGTGCATTATATCTACACCTGTATTAATAATGAAAAGACAAAGGGTCAAGTTCCCCTGGGACCTCAAATGGAAAAACATGGCAAAGCTCAAGAGGTTTATTCCTCGGGGTAATCCACGGCCCCTAGTGTACGCAGAAGTAACCTAATAGTGCTACACATTTCCTTACACTTGTTGAGACACATTCAGATTTCTTTTCATCCAAAATTAGTTTGTAAAGTTTGGCAAAACAGATCGAACCACACGGGGAAAGGTGACCACACAACTTACTTAGGAAAAAAATTGTAACAGGGTTCTGATTTGATCTAACAACTTAAGTGTTAAAGAAGCGTATACAAACCGTTCAAAAGCGCTCCTAGAATGGGGACCGACGGTAGAAGTTGAATTTTTTGCATCGATCATCTTACACATCAGTACAGAGCTTTGACCAGAGCTGAATATTGTCAGACCCAATGCCCTCTCCGTTTTTAAAATGGGGGCTAAACCTACCCCAGTCTTCTCACGGTTGAGTGTAATTTATTCAGGCTATCTATGACGATAGGGAAGGAGTGTTCGAAGGTGGGTCGCGCTCAAATGGAAAAGTCTTTGTACCTTGCCCATGTACTTTATTGTATCATACAAAATACAGAGCGGCTGACGTCGGGCTTTAATTTTCAAGCAAGAAAGGGCAACTGAAAAGGTGAATAACTCGAGAAGATCGTCACATATTTGCAAGTGCTTTCACGACATCTTTGAATCGAGTAGGTGGAAACATTTTCGCTTTGTCATCAAGGAAATCGAGCTGAATTGACTTCGATCCTGTTTATATCCAGGGCGTGGTAGTTTATTTTTAGCAGTGAAGCCTTGAAATCATCTTCGAAGCTATGGAGAAGAAAACTTACTACATCCTTCTTCGAGATTTGGAAGACCCTTCGAGTCAATCGTCCGCGGGAATGTTATGGGGAATGTTGTCAAATTACGTCTACGGGACGCAACCACCTTTGGCTCTTAAGGGAGAGCTCTTTGAATCTCTTCCTGCCGCAGATATCACAACAGCTGGAGTCGAAGTCGAAAACAAGGTCGCAGTATGTGGACTGAAGCAGAAATGTCTCCAGGTGGAGTGTCCTAAGGAAGACTTACAAATTATCAGTGACAAAGATACTCAGCTCTTGTTGGCCGTCCAGTCCTATCATCAGAGGTGTAGATTGTTGAAAGATAGGCAGGATCTTCTTAAATGGGCTGTGGCTGATAATGAAGGATGTCGTGTATCTGTATGGATGGATGAGTTAAAGAGAGACGTCCCTGCTATTGTGCATTACAAAGGAGCCTTGCCTCCTTACGATGGAATCATGTTTGGAGTTGAGATTGTGGTATGTTTTTTTTTGGGGGGGAGGGGGTAGAGGGGATACATGGGTGACATCTTATTAGAAAATGGGGGTGAGGTACTGTCATATTATGTTGTAAACGGAAATATAGCGTTATGACCACAGTACACATGAATTGGTCTCCTTTTAAAAACACTCTTTTCCAGATGTGCAAAAGCATCATCCGAAAAAAAATTGTAAAAAAATCAGCATTAATTCCAATTGCCACCAAATTTGGCACGCAGGAAGTAGACAGTTTTAGCCATTTACAGGGCTAGTTTCAGCGTATGACTGTGAAAAGCTTTGACACACGAATTTTTGGAATTATTTTTTGGAAAAAATGGTTGGTCATGCGGGAAGAATTTATGGTGGCTTTAGTGGTCAAGAAATACTGAAAATTGGCAACGAATTTCCTCAGAAGGAGTGTTTCTTTCCAAAGAGGTATAGCTTTCAATGCTGCTCTTTATGACCCCTGAGAAATTAATTTTCAAAATAAGTATATTGATTTTGCTCATTTTTGAGCTGTCCAGAAAAGAGTTGCAATTTAACCCGTACGAAACGAGCAGTGCTGCTGCAGCGCTGCAGAGTGACTTCAAGAAGCACTACAAAAGAGCTGTAAAAGCGCTGGCTGCAACAGTCGCAAATTTTGGCTTCAGTGGAAAGCCCTTTGACAGCGATAAACAGCGCTGTTTGAAAATTCCTGAATCGCGATCTGTGCTGCAAGGTGGCTGCAAAGTGGCTTCGAAAAGACAAAGAATGTTGTTACCGGTAATGGCCTACCACTCGTTAGTACAAAAAAAGGAAATACAGGCTCCAATAAATATACAATAATCATGATACATGGTAGAAGAGTTGACAAGACCTTAGTAGAAGAGTAAAAACCACTAGAAAGTCAAAATGCAACTGAGACTTTATTAGTATCCACGCGTACACATTACAAAAGCACGTGACATAGAGCAAATCTGCAACAGTCTCTCTTTGTAAATATTTAGCAATTACGGTCACTTAATTATCTAAATGTAAGAACATCCATTAACATGCAGACTTTGAAAATTATGTTTTTTAAAAATAAAGAGAATAACAGTGATTGTTCTACATTATAAAAGTTTACACAGACAGCAGCCAAATGATAGTTTGATTCGTTGCAACGGGCTAAGCTTGACATCGCTCACCTTGACGTTTTGTCCATGATCCATTATCTGCTACACTTTTTCATGAAGGAAATCAGCCCAATTTTACTTTGGCCGTCATTAAATTTTACAAAGGATTATTATAAAGGAACGTACATTACCATGAACATATAAGAATCTTGTAAGTGCAAACCCCATGAGCTGAGATTCTTGTATTAGTGGTGCTTGCTCTGGTTCGATTCGTCGATACTTAGCGTAGAAGTCACTGTACAGTGCATTGTTTACAAATACCTTTAAGCCGTTCCATCCAAAAACTTCAACAGAACTTCCATCTCGAAACAGAACTAGATGTAGCCTGAAATTCATCCAGTTGGTTTGAGTCGCTTTCTCCTCTCAACAACGTCTGAATCGACCGGCCGTTAATGCCGTCCAGTGACGTCACACACTACCTGAAAACCGGGTAGTGATTTTGATTGGTTGATCGTCTAAACATTTGCATAATTATGTATAATTATGAAAATTTTACCGGGAATATTTGTCGCTTGGTATTCAGCGGATCACATCCCTGGCATTCTTCTGTTTAGTTCAAACATTTCGATAAGCTTAATCTTTATCTTAAACAGCAAAATTGCCCTTGTCTTCAAAACTGAAATGCTAAATTGAACTGCAAATGAAGAATCATTGCGGAGAGTCGGTAGGTTTTTCATTTAGAGTCGCTTTGAGGTTTCGGCGGCCGGTGATTTTGTTTATGCGAAGTTTTCTGAGCCAAGATCAATGTTATAATGCGACCTTGCTATTTTTACCGTCAAGTGTAATGATTCTGTTAGCTTTTCTTTCTTGTCTCCTTGTTTCTTTTCTTCGTTAAGGACCAAATAGCTTCTGTTCAATTGAAGCAAATCATTGTGTTTTTGAACTAAGTGTTCCGTGTGTGTGTTTATTTCATTGCGTGATTGCGACTGAGTTTGATTATAGAATTTAGTACAACCGGTTCAGAATTGTACTGCATGCAGTTGATAGTTTGAACGTTAAACATGAATTACGATAAAAAAAAATAAAGCAGTTATGTATCATGCAGACATTTCCAAACGATATTTCTCGGTTTGCCCCTTGAAAATCATGTTTTACTTTTTGCATGAATTAAAGGAAAGGTCAAGGAGTAGTGACGTCACTGGACAGCATTAACGGCCCGTCGATTCAGACGTTACTGAGGGAGTAATGACGACTCGAAGTAATCGGATGAAATTCAGGCTAAACTAGATGCAAAAAAACGTATAATGTTTGTGCCCTCCATTCAATGGTCGCAACTGTTTGTCTAGAGATGTAATGGGATCTCATGCAAAAGGGCTGACCAGATTATGGCCTAGAATGTCTCCAGGGAATTAGCGATAACATTCCCACACTCGCCAGTCATGGAATGAAATTTATTGAAATCTTTATCATTGTTTATTTCCAAAAGCATAGAATTTGGAGGTTTATTCAAATTAGTGATCTTCCCTACGCACAAGCTTACTCACGTTTCTTAGGGGTACGGTCAAAGTTTTCGCATTATAACAACCGAAATCTGTGGCAAGGCTTTATCTGGCAATTCATCTTATTGACGCTCAAGAAAGTCAGATCGACCACAGCTGAATTGTAGCATTACTGCAGCTACTTCGCAGCATTAGAAAGTCAGCAACTGTGCTGCAAAACTGCTGCCAAGAGCTTCAAAGGCTGCACAGGGCTTTTGCATCCCACTGCAACTTGAATTAAGCTTTTGTTTGGCTTCTAAAATGCTGCTAAACAGCTGTGATTTAGCTGTACAGCTATTTTGAAGGGATTTTGTGGTGCTGTACAGTGCTGCAAGTTTCGTACAGGAAGCATTTTAAGTTTAATTTCCTGACAACCTTTCCATCCCCATCTCTTTCTGGGAGTGCCCCCTGGAAATTATTCATATACTGCTTGAAACTGGATAGAGATAGTAGAGAGGAGAGAACTTTTCCACTTTTGGATAATGCCTGTGGCCAGTTATCTGATCAGGGAATGACGGTAGACCCCTTCAAGGATGTAAGGGCATGCTGGGTGATCAGGACAAGATGGTGGGGAAGTCAAAAGTTTGTATGTTGTAATTCTTCCTAATTGAATGTATTTGTTATTTTCTCTTTGCAAACTTTAGATAATAAACTCAAAAAAACAATACACTATGTATAGAGTACAGCAGTCCTTTAATTAATGTTGTTTTTTAGAAAATTTTGACTTCTGCCATACATAATTTATGACTGTGTAATTTTATTGTTCTCGGATTACAGAAAATGAATGGAAGAACACAGGTTTTCTGAAAAGCAACAAAGGACTGCTCATGTGCACCTCAGATTTAGCGTGTAGTTTCTTTTAAAATTCCCTAGTTATATTTTTCAAAGGGAAAGTGGCAAATATAGTCAATTAGCGAGTATTAGTTGACTTTGTATTCCTGTACAAACTTTTGACTTTTTCACTATCTTGTCCTGATTATCCATCATGCCATTACAACCATGAAGGGGTCTATTATTGTAATTATAAGGTAACGATCTCAAAAGTAAGTATACTGTAATACAACTGCCCTTCACTGAACTACAGAGTCACTATGATTGCACTGCAAGCACTTGATGGTAATTAAATAACAATAATTTGTCATCAAAAAAATTCAACTGTACTCTTACATTTTTATGATGAGATGCTAGAATAATTATTTACTGATCAATAAATGACCAAGTGCCAAAATTTTAATAACTTCTAAGGAGAAATATCAGAGTATTTTAAGTTAGTATCATCATTCCTAAGAATGCCTTATGGTATCAGTTATATCAATATTATTATGAGTAAGCCTTGAAGAGACTCAAAAATTAATGTCCAATGGATTAAATGTTCCTGTATTGTTTGTCTGTCAGGATCCTCGTTTTCGTAATCGGGGCACTACAGATGGAGTCTTCAGGTGTCAAAGGTATTTCAGATGTACCCCTGGAGCAGGCATGTTTGTGTCATTGGATAAAATCACCATTTCAGTTGCTGAAGAGTTCAACGTCAGAACTGGTAAGGCACAGGAAATCGCATCACAGGGTCCTCTGTCAGAATATGTCTGACCAATGATCACCTTTGGGGCCACCCTAACCTGAGATCAGGCATTATTTTGTTGTTGTTGTTGTTGTTGTTGCTTCTTTGGCTTGAGAGGGAAGAAAGTAATACCTGATACATTCATTTGACAAGCCGTCAACCGCTCTCTTATTTACATAATCTAGTATCTACTCGACCTGTCATGACTTGTTATTAGCCAATCAGCGTTTACCAGACGGGAATCAAATTTTGGTGCGAATAATGTCTCTTTTAAATTTAAGGAAAAGGAAATTTTTTAATACCTCCATGTTCAGATGGTGCCTTTCTAAAACAATGTTTTAAGTGTTTTTTTTTTCCCTTTTTTGTGATGAAATACTGCTACAATGTAGCTGGAGCTTCCGTACCTTTATTTAACAGCTACAAATGAATAAAGAATTTACTGGTAAAAGTTCATTGACTTTCGGCTTTCTGAGCCAAAAGCAGTGAAAAAAATTTTTAGGTTGGTGCACTATATTTCACAAACTAAAAAGTGTTGCGAAAGCGAAGATCGCTCAGAATAATTCGCAGGTTGCTGAGGGAGGAATTACAGCCAAACCAGGTCAAGATTCAATTCATGAATTGATTATTAAATTTGAAAAGTGAATCTGTTTGTTGCTTCTGTAACTTGTACCCGCAGTCAAATTGCATTCAAGTGATCGGTGAATTTTTGACTGCAACTTTTTAGTATATGATAAGATGGAAAATATTTCAATGAATAAAATTTCTATTTAGACATTCTTCAAATTCAAGGAAACTGAGCTGGCAGAAATTTCATAATGAACTCGCATGTGTATTCACTGCATGCTTATTGTGCAAGCAAAAATGCAGACTGAAATCAACAACAACTAATGGATAGCGTCATTTTGGCCAATCGGAACTGCAGAAATCATTCATATTGTTTTCTATGCAATCAGAAAAAAGTCCAGATTTTGGCTTTTTTGCATGTGATCTGTGAAAGGATTGCATCATGCCCTCCTATTGAAAACAGATAATTTAGAGAGATAAAGGGAGAAGGCATGATTGCAGGCAAGGGCCATCCATACAGTCATGTATTTTCATTTTTATCTATACTATCATCAGTAGTGGGGGACTAGTAGTTTTGAGGGGGGAGGGGCAGAAGAAAAAGGCATATAGGGGAGAGTTTGTTAGGGGGAACATCAAAAAAGTCAACAACTTAATTTAAGGTAGACAGGAAGTCAGAGTAACTTTCATAGTGTTATCTTGAATGGACACTGGAAAACTAATTTAAATCTAATCTATTGAATCAAGAAGTCAATGAAATCACAAAGTGTAGTCCATCAAATTATTGCAAGTCTAGATCTGTTATCCATTTCTTTGAATTTAAGGTAAATTAGGCAGAGAAACAGTATAAACTTATGGCACTCGCAATAATATTGATTTTGGGGGTGCATGGACAAAGGTCCTTGTAGTGATTTATATCTCAACATGCCAATTTCTCTCTTTGATTGGCAAGGATTTGTGGGATATCATGCAAATGGTGAATTAGTAGCAGTTCCTCAATAATCACAGATTGAATTTTACCTTTGTAAGGCTTTAGTTAACATTACTGGGTCTTCCACCAGTGATTCTAGGATTAAAAGAAAAAAATAGGGCTTTTCACAGTAAAAACATGCGTAATCTTAACTCGACTGGGGGGAGTGGGGTGGGGAGTGAGATATTTATTTCTGTATTTAGAGTTAAATAGTCACATTATTTTGAATCTGTACACTGTTTGTACTAATACATAAATATGGGCTATTGTTTAGCTCTTATTACTCTTATTAACCGAGCGGGAGGTCTGTATGGGAGAATCTTGACCGAGGCCGCCAGTACAGACCAAACGCAGTGAGGTCTGTACCAGCGACCGAGATCAAGATTCTCCCATACAGACCGACCTAGCTCAGTTAATAAGATGTTTATTATATGGCCAAACAAGAAAGCAAAGGAACAACAACATAAATAATTTTATTTGCTTCCCCGCGGGGCGCAAGCATTTAGCTGGCTTTCTTCTGTCACTGGTCTCCAGTCCAAACGGGACAAAAATAACTGTTCAAAGTCCAGCTTTGTACAAACTTTGTACAAACAAGCCAATTTTTTCATATTCTTTGTTTGTACCTTTTTGAGGACAATTGCTACAACAAGATCAGTCTAGATGCCAGTCTAGATGAGAAAATCTAGACCGCGGTCAAGATCGATTTTAGCCAATCAAATTCTTGAATTTGTTTGTTTCCAGTCCTTTTGAGACATGGCCATATAATAATTACTCATATAGATGTTGTGGTTCAATTTTTTCTTTGGTTTAAATTTTGTTTTCCTTTGTTTTGAGGTGTGGTAATGTATGACAATGAGTTTTAAACAAAGGAAAACAAAATTTAAACCAAGGAAAAAGTTGAACCACAACATAGACATCAAATCATTCATATTCATCTGATATTCAGAATTTCTAGGCTTGTAAAAATATCATGCAAACCTGCCTTTTCTTTCTGTTTTAGAGGAAAGCAGTCAGGATGATTACACTCATATTGAGAAAGAGGAAAAGCCAAATGGAGAAGATTCTGGAATGGAAAGCTCTGGCCATTCTCTTGTTGAAGCAGAACTGTTAGAGGAAAAAAGTAGGGCTTTAATCTTGGAGGCCAAAAGTACAACAGAGGACACAGAAAAACAAGAAAAGGAAAAGCAGCTTGAAAGTAAGAGTTTGACCCGTGAGCCTGAGATTTCAGATGAAGGAGAAGTGATGGACTTTCAACAGTTGTATCTCAATGAAAAGAAGCTTCAGCTTGAAGCACAGTACCAACTGAAAGAGTGTAAGTTAAAGATTTCAAGTCTTGAAAAGCATCTGGACAAAGAGCAGATTGCAAACAAGAAGCTCGTTGAGAAATGCGATGCTCTTCAGAAGGAATTAAGTCAGCAAGCGCTTCTCAGAACTGATGCTGAGTTAAAGATTGAGGAAGAGCATAATAAGATTCGGAAAGTACAGAAATGTTTTGAGCGTGAGTGGGAGGAATTTGAGAGACGTTTGATTGAGGAGCGTGCTGCAAAATCAGAGGCTGAGCAACAGTTGAGTGTTTTAATGAGACAACTGGAAGAAGAGAGGAATTTAAAGACAGTATTGCAAAGAGATTTGGATGCTTTACAGGACAAGTTTAGTCGACAGCAGGAAGAGTTTGAAAAGCAAAGAAGGATTGGAGAGATGGCTTGGACTGAGAATGCAATGCATGAAAATAAAACTCAGCCAGATCTTGAATCATCTGATTGGATTATAAGTCGCAGTGAAGTTGAAATTATAGAGGAGAGGGGTCTAGGAACTGGTGGATGGGGCGTAGTCAAGGAAGGAAAGTTCCGTGGATGCAAAGTAGCTGTGAAGCAGATTCATGAGCTAATTCTCTCACCACACAACAAGCGCTTGTTTATGAGAGAGATGAATATTGCTTCTCGATGTCGCCATCCATGTTTACTGCAGTTCATTGGTGCTACAAACGATGATGGTATACCTCTTTTTGTCACTGAACTGATGGACACCAGTTTACGAGACTTACTTGACAAAAAGCCACTTCCCAAAGCAGATGTTGTCAACATTGCACTTGACGTTGCCAGAGCCTTGAATTATTTACACCTAAATAGACCTTCCATTATCCATCGGGACATTAGCAGTGCAAATGTGTTGCTATGGAGACGAGATAACCAATGGCGGGCCAAGGTGTCGGACTATGGTACTGCCAATTTTATGAGACAATGCAAGACCATAAACCCAGGATCTGTTATATATTCAGCTCCAGAGGCTCTTTCAACTGATCAGTCTCCAAAGGTTTGTTGTTGTTTCCTTAAATGTAGTCTTTCCAGGGCTGTCAAAAATTTTTTAGGTAGCAGGCTGGTAATGAATAGAAGGCGGCTTTGGAACTCGCACCAAAGGCACAAATTCTTGAGGGCCGAGACATCAAGGGACATTTTGAAATTTAGAATCTCGGAAATGGCATTTTCAGTGATTTTCAAGAGGTCTTTTCCACCGCGGACAAAATGTTTTTTTATCAGAATACACGCAAGACTGGGAATGATGCCGTCGAAATGTCCCAGGCGTTCCACGACATCGCACGGTTCACACGTTTCACAGGGCTAAACCTTTATAAATATGCGTTCAATTTCATTCGATGGTGCTTATTTTTTGTTAGCAGTTATAGTAGAAGGAGATGAAACTAGCCCGCTAAGGATGACTAATTAGCCGGGGGGTGCCGGCTACCGGCCCTGTCTTTCCTAGCTGAAAAACCATTGATTCTCAGAACAGGGCTGCACTTAGTGTGGGAATACAGCCGTCTCTCCTTGTTTCTCACCACTAGGAGCATTTCACAGGGCTGACATCTGCAATCCAGCCCCAGAAATTCTATACTGGACTGACATTTTTTTTTGTTTTGTTTAGAATCTGGTCAACAAATGCTGATTGTTCGACGTAGTATATTATAATTATCTATGTTAAAAAATGACAGACAAAAGACGATAGGTCACAAAAATCAAATTAAAGATGATTAATTCTACCATAATTCTTCACTTCCTATATACTCAGCTTCATTCAGTTATTATCATTAGTCTCGCTTGCGTTTTAGAAAAGTTATGGGGGGGAGGGGAATTTTCGAGCCGCAGGAATTTTTTTTCGCTATCAAATTCCTTGTATGAATTTTTTTTAGGCCATAGCATGAATATTTTTTTAGGATAATTAGCGTGCATGAATTTTTTTCATGTAATTTTCTCTTGCGCCAATATTTTTTTTGTACTTCGCCCCCCCCCCCCCCCCCCACCCCCCCATAAGTTTTCTAAAGGTCCGTACTTAAAGTAGCGAGACTCATAATCTGCAACGCCTTTTTCGGCCCGGGGGGTATTCCTTATATAGGCTATATGGGTACGTACGGCGCTAAAGGGTATGGTTTTTCAGCCGTTTTGGTCTGAAATAGGGTATCAATTTCGACCATTTTGGTCTGAAGTAGGGAATGGTTTGTGCACTCTAGTCTTGAATTAGGTATGTTTTTTACAAGAATTAGCTACTTCTTCATCATTTGGCGATAAGACCATTTCCCTTTTAATGTTTGTGCCACCTGCCTTGTATGTGCCGTAACAGCTTGTCACGCGCTCCGGTCACGCGCCGGGCTCCAGCGCTTCAGGCCTGAAATAGGGTATCAAATTTTTGATCGGGTCTGAAATAGGGTAGGGAAAATCACAGATTTGGTCTGAAATAGGGTAAGGGTTTGGGGAAGGTTCTGCACACCCCCACCCAATTTTTCTGGAAGTGCCCTCCCCCCCCCCGGCTTTTTGGTCGTATTTGGGACACAAAAAGCAAGTCATTATGCCAGGCGTTCCTTGTGGACACCGTGGAAACTGGAACTAAGGATCGTTGCGTGATCGAACCTACGCATGTTTCGCGAAGAAAGCTTAGGAAAGATTAAATTTAGAGCTTTTCCGCAACTTGTCGGTCCACGAATTCTGTCGCTTGAAAGCGTCGATTACTTTGGAACAAGTGAACACTACTGAGTGGTCAAAAAAAAGAAGAATCTTAATTAGCAAAAACTGCGATGGTCGGGTGTTGTAAACTTTCATTGTATACAAATGGATTCTGTGGTGAGCATGCGATTTATTTTAGGCGATGATTGAAATGACGTGCCATGTAAATAGCTTTTTGGATCGTTGGCAATGATGTAATTTCTCTGGAATCTCTTGAATTTTCGTGTATTTATACACCCGTATAGCCTGCGACCGCAGACGTATTTCCGGTCGTCGCTAACACGCGTACTAAATCAATTCAGAAACAAGTAAAAAGAATCGACGTCGATAAAGTATAAAGTAAAAAACAATTAGCGAGTAAATCCTGTTTCGCGTAGAATTAATCGCCTCCTCATTTCTCGACCTAATCTCCAAGTAGAGCGAGCCTTAATGCCGCTGTAATCGCATTCTTGTTAACAAATAGTTTTTCGTTTGTCTAAGAGATTTTTTTCACACATTTACAAAATATCTTTTGCTCTTCTAGATTGATGTGTTCAGCTTTGGTTTGTTGCTGTGTGAGATGTGCATTCGTGAGCTTCCTGTGCCTAACCATACTCAAGAACAGATCTCCATGATTGCAGATCAAGTCCTTAGAGACCTGGTGACCAGTTGTGTTAGACAAGAGCCTGGGCAGAGGCCAACCATGGCAGAAGCAATTACCGTGTTGGAGAAAGTGGAACCAGAGATTAAAAATGATCTCAAGACAGTAGGAAAAATCTAATCATCTAGAGCTGAGAAAATGATATTATATTGAAAGAGGCAAAAGAGAGGAGTGTCTGTAAACTATGTAGTATACAGCTTTTTCGAAAAAGTTTGTCGGAAAAAATGTGCATGCGACAATCCCAAAAGGTAATATGGGATATGATCCTTACACTGTAGCTGTCGAACTTACTTTTGATGCTTTCCGTTTGCAATCGCAAACATAAGTCTATGGCCTCTCGTGCCATTCTTGCAAATTTCTTTGAAGAACAGTGAACTCAAAACCACCCACAAGACCTTTTTGAATTGTTGCGTGCACTTTTTCCGACAACCTTTCTTGAAATAGCTGTATTCCCAATCTGTGTGTAGCCATTCTTACAGGTGAACAAGGATATATTTGAATACTACTGTATGAGATAAACTTAAACATTATTTCATAATTTTATCATATTTATGTAGTATTGCCGTCATGATCATCATCGTCAGTAGAAATGGTTGCAACAGCAGTAGCTGTAGCGTATCCAAATTTGTACCAGCAGCAGCAGCAGCACTGAGCTTGATTTGAAGAATTATGCAAAGTGTGGAAAGTAACACCTGATCTCGATCCGCTTAATTTGTTATGCTAATGCTGAATCCAATTATTGTTTCATTTTTCATTCAAAATATTACACACATAGAAGCCAAATAAATACTTACCTTTCATAGACAAAACTGTACTCTAAAGGGAAGAATCGTAGCTCTAACCATAGTCTCTCACCTAGCCGTTTTTGTCTAGTCACGCAACGCCGCAACGCCCCGAGTGTTGCGTGACGAGACAAAAGCGGTTGCATTAGAGACCACCTACCCTGCGAGCCCGGTGGTTTCTTTCAGGCGTGGCCTTTAGCATTTACGAGGTCGTTCACGTCGCTTGTTAGTCGTGTGGTTGGTTGGTTAACGCTCCAATGGTAGTAGGGACTACCTTAACCGTAGATGTAGCGGAGATCTCGACCTGACTCATTCCAATTTTCTCGGGGCTTCACAGCCTAAAAAAAAAGACGACAAACTAGAATATTATCCTGGGAGCTAAGCAGTTGTGCGTGATAGATACTGCCAGCGCTTTGTAGGTGACGCTCGTCTGAAGGTGCTTTCCTTTTGGGATGATCAGGATCAGGATTCGTCGGTTCCTTTGATGCTCTATGACCGCGGCGATCTCGGATCATTGATCCTAATTAACTGATCATCCCAAAGGAACGCACTCTACACAGGATAAGCTGCAATCAGCTTTTGTGGGGGATGGGTATTGAAAGTTGGCTCGGTTGTATTTATAGAATACTTGAAATTAGTTGTAGTCAGGAAGGTGAAGGTGATAAATATGGTAGGTTTTCGAATGTTTCTCGAATAGTTTTGCATGAAGCTTTCAATTTGCCCTTGTAGACAAAGCACCCTGGGCCCAGTTGTTCGAATGCCGATTAGATTAAATTTTAGCCCGGGTGTCTTTTTCCTTTCATCAAACGCATTTTCTCGGACAATTTTCTCTGGTTTTTTTTAGAGTAGCCAATTATCAAATTGTTGACAAATAGAATTAAACTGAATTTGCGTTTTAAGCTTTCATATCTGAATTCAAATTTCGAACTGGGTTATCTTAACCCAGCTTTGAACAACCCGGCCCTGAAGATCAAAAAGGAATACCGTGGGCTGGGAAGTTCAAAAATCATGTTTTGTGACGTTGTTCATATTTTTCAAAGTTCTTTATAGCATGTTAAGTTAAATGTCAGGTAGTTTCTAGTTAGTCTTAAATTAGAATTAGGTAAGAAATATTTGGAATAAAGCCGTTAAAAGACAAAAGGATGTGGTAGGTTGAAATGATGGTGGCAAATGAACAGCTGAATGAAGCTAAATGAAAATCGACTAAGGTTGGTTAGAATCGAACATCATTCTCTGTCAAGTTAAGTATCTAAAAAATGTATTTATTTTGCGTTATTCTTTGAATTTATTGAATTAGTTGGGTCGTATAAAGTTAAATAAATCTCGGTAGATTCCTTGTACGTAAGATAAAAATTATATTCATAGGGATTCAAAAGTCAATTTGTAACAACGGGTAGGAGCCAGTACATGGGGCTTATTAAATTGTTTCTGAAAAATGACCAAGTCTGTAAATCCTGATTTGTCACTGATATACTCGTGCGAATCGCTTAGATCGCGTCAGTCGTCTCGGAATGTGCTCAGGCAAGAGCTATCATGGCTCTTGGTTCAGGAATTTAATTTAAACCCTTCTCATGCGACGCATGACGAGCCAGACGACTTAGGCGATCGTCATATTGACCGAGGTGACATTAAAAATTATGTAGGCCAGGAACATTTTGAAATTGCATTACGCCCGGATACTGAAAGCATAGTAGCGGGTTTTGAGAACAATCCGATAAGCAATTGAGTCACTCTCTCACTCAGGTGTAGACAGTGTGGCTACAGTCAGACCTTTATTGTCGATGTATTGAGCGTTCGCCTTTGGGGATCGGAATAGCTTACTGACCAAGTTGTCCGTTTAGTACAGGTTTGACAGCCCAAGAGTTATTCAAAACAATGAGGACAAATTTGCCTCAAAGAGTCTCTACCTCGTCATGTGATATGAACCAAAAGGAAGGAAGCAAAAGACTACTTAACTCCACACACAATGTAGTGTTGCACTAGTGTGGTACCTCTTATCAAAGTGACCGTTGGCTTCGGGGGTGGGGTGGGAGGAGGGTGTATTTCAGATTTCAAGTGACAGAGATGATGGAAGGATTTTTTGGGGTTTGAAATTTTCGATTTGGGGATTTTTTGGGGGTTTTGGGTTTTGATTTTTGCCCCCATTCGATCATCCCTGTCACTTAAAATCCGGATTAACCCCCGCCCCCACCCACCCCCTTGTTTTCTGCTATCAATCAGAAGAGATCTTACGAGCGGCTCCTATACACAACTGCTCGGAAGAGGTGACCGCAACCGCTTAATAGAGATGATCGCTTTAATACAGATCCGGTTTTCAGTAATCAAGGAAAATGATTTCTGGGACTTTGGTAAGTGAACGCAGTTAATGGAGGTTCGCTTAATACAGGTTTGCTTGCAGCTTATACACCCCAAACTCGAGAGGCCGACATAAAAACGACGATTTGGTTGTCACCGACACTCGCTGTGATCAAAGTTCACTCCGCTCTGTATCGTTCCCAAACTTTGCATTCTAGTGATTTTGTAGCTTTTACTAGCTGATTAGGGGTTTTATTAAGCTCAAGAGGAGTAACATTGGTGCAATGGTCAACTTGGAAACTAAACTTCATGATCCTTGTACTGGTACTAAAGGTGATGAGTAGATGCACCTTATTTTACTCTTCGATCCCTTGACACTAGTTGACTTCACGAACGTTGCTAACTGTTGCTTTGGCAATAAGCGAATGTCTTGTGTAAATGTACGAGACCTGTAAACGAAATACGGTATTTTTTTCCTTCTTGTTATAACGAATTCAAAAGTGCGTTTACTGTACATTGAAATGGAAAACATCAGGTGCAAGGCTGATTCTGCGTAGAAATTACTGACCTTCATCAATATATGACGCCGATTAAACCCCGGGGGGTAGTTCCTTATTTAAGCCATATGTATAGGTATGTGTTGCCCCAAGGGGTAAGGTTTTTGCGCCGTTTTGGTCTGAAAAAGAGTATAAAATTTCCCCTTTTGGTCTGGAATTGGGTACGGTTTTCGAAAAAACTACTCGAGTATATGACCGTATTTGTCGTTTCACTGATTCCAAATGATTAAGAAAGAAAGAGAAATGTGCGAATTCCAAAAGGATTTTAATAAATCGTCTTTGTTAAAGTTGTAATCTAAGTAATGATGACATAATTTCTTAGGGGCCAACTCCAAAAACGGGTATTTTTACATGCCAGGTCTGAAAACGGGTGTGAAACTGGGTCAGGATTTGGAGAACTGACCGGGCGGCACAATCTTACTAAGAATTCCCAGAAGTACCCCCCGGGATTAAACATATCAAGGTGGCAGCTATGCACTGGACAGCTGTTTTGCTTTGTTTCTCAACTTGATTAAAACTGTCTTCAAAGTTCATTTATGTACAGTATTATGAAAACGCATTTCGTTGATTTAGCATAGGTTGTAGATGAAACTTGGTACACTGATGTAACAAGTCAAAAAGATGATAAAAAAGTAATAAAAGTGGGGGGTCACCCTGCTTGTTTTGTCTTAAAAGTTAACTTTACGCTCCAAAGTTGACTTAATTTCAACAAGCGCTATTCTACCCTTTTTCAATCTGTACCTGGAGTAATCGGCTCCTGTCTGTACTATTTAGTAAAATTGCCAAAAAAACTGATTTTAGATTTATGCCAATTTTTTCTCATTGAAAGAAAGCACTGTTCTAATTAAAATCAAGAGATAAAAAATGAGGGTCACGGTATTGTTTTTGCGGTAGAGCTGCAGAAAGTGGGCACCAAATGCACTTCCACTGATTTTTGAGAGAGAACTGGGGCGAGTTTTAAAATGGCATGTATGTGGAAGGAGGAAGACAGCATCGAAAAATCCGTTTTTTGAGAATTCACATCGAGATATTACAGTTAGGGCTCAATATGATAAAGATGGCGCTTCAGTGAAAATCAAAGTGAGTTAGCCCTTCACGAGAACTCAGCAACAAGCGAACTGCTTACGTTATGTACATTCCCAACACATTGAGTCTCATCTTGGCAAGAAACAACCGCACGCGAAAAATTCCAATAGCGTTTCTCTTCAGTAAACATCATTTTAATAATGTTACTTCAGATGCTCCAATTTTTCACGGCGGCCATTATCTTGTTATGCGCAGTAACTGAGAGATGCACAGTGCAAAACCAGCGAATCACCTTAACACCGGAATTCCTTATTTTCTAACCAATGTATCCACGAGTTCACCAGTCTTAATTTGATTACCATCCACACCAAAAATGATAAGAATGCTATATATATCCGGCACAATGTAAAAGCGTTCTCAGGGTGGATAGATGGCATACTGCATAGCATACTTATAAACGGTATGGGGCTGTTAAAACTTGTTTAGAAATCTTATACGGTAAGATTTCTAAACAAGTTTTAACAGCCCCACACCGTGTAAGTATGCTATGCAGATGTTTGCAGCAATTTCATTCTATATTTCCCACACACGTATCCTTACATTCTGGCTTCCATGCAAAATGACTTCTGAGAAACGAGCGCAGAAATTCCATACTGATGACCCGTCTCAGGCTGATGATTTCTCAGGCTACGTCCTTATCCCATTCTTATTTTTCTTCACTCGGGCTTCGACCCTCGTACGTAACTTATCACGGGCTTCGCCGATTGCTCACACGTGTTCTCGATCAATTGTGTCTCAAAAGAAACACGAGACACTTGCACTTCTCGCAATCTAAATACTTGCAAATAAAAAAAGGGCAAAGACTGTTAAAGTTAAACAATGATTTCCTCTCTGAATTTAGGATATTTTCATTCTTTTTATTCTCTCTATCATGAGTAGCAAGTGTTTGTTACGCTTTCGTGCCTCCCTCGCACGCGTCGTTCTTTCTTGCGACCATTTCTTCCAAGTACCTGCTTCGCTGGCTATATACCCTCCGGCATTTTCATTACATCATAAAAACAAAACACTCTTTTGAGCTTAACAAATTAATGCGAAGGTTTTTTATTGGTCAATAAAGTCAAAATAATCGAACACAAAAACCTCTGATGCCAGACGAGCTTCATAGCCATTCCAATTCACTATATATGGTTTATCTGAGAGCAGGCATTACTTTCTCGACTAATTCTCGGTTTTTACTGCCACGCCATCAAAAATAAAAATGCAAACCATTCAATACAGAAAGTGTAGAATCTCGGAAATGAAAGAAGATGAATATACAAAAAGCCTTGCCAAGAATTATAGGTCTGTGCAATATTTCATATGCGAGATATTCGGAAATTTTACCCAAATTTTTAAAGCTTTGTATGGTCGCCGTAAAGCAACAGAAACATCTGTTTTTGAGTTTCCTAATGCTTGAATTCTTCGCTTGAGGAACTCATTATTCTCAGACAAGGAGTGTTTAGATGGCAAAATCTCCCCAAATAGGTGTTTTTTAATCCACGTAAGAGCTTTCATGGTCGTCAGCTAAATTCAAGCGTCCTCTATCGCAAAACGAAGAACCCTTTCGAACCGAAAATTTGTTTATGTAAAGTGTTTTACAGTGCTGTAATACCTCATGAAAGTAGAAACACAGAAGAATCGACAGTTTCTTAGTTTGAAATTTGGTGACAAGTGAAAACCGAGAAAAAGTGGAATAGGTATATAAATAGCTTGAGGGAAATGAATTTGTGATGACTTTTTTGCTTAATTGTTCAGAAACATTTACTTTGATCAATAGACCAAGGAACCGAAGAAAGCGTTCCTCCTTTTGTCACGTGAAAAATCACGTGAACTTCCCTTATGGCAAACTTCGCATTTATAATTAGCTTGTTGCTATGGACACGAACTCGCACCGCCGCGAATTTCACTTCACTGAACACTCCAATCTCGTATTCGTCTTTGTTTACTAAAAGAATCAATCCACAGATTTGTTTATGTTCTAAATTTCGACGACCAATTTCTTCATGGTGTTCGGAAAAAGTAAGACGGGATTCAATTTTGTCCATCAGGACCAGATCTGGTGAGAAAGAACATAATTATCGCAGTCGATTTTCTAATTAGTTCGTCGTCACGTTTGACTCCCATCCCAGATTCCATTTGTAAACTGTAGACTTCAAGTGGTGATTTTTGTAGCTTTAACTTTGTTTAATAGTACACAGCAGATAGGAGACTGATACTAGAACTTAAGCAACTTTGAGTAGTTAAAAATTGTTGTTTTCCTCCCACAGGAAAGACCACGTTGGTCATGAACACAGCGCGGCGAAACGATGGCCTGAAAACTGGGGGTTTCTCATCGGGCAGTACAAAATCGTGAGTATTTCTCGTAAAATTATTCATGGAAAGTTCATCCTTCTGGACTATCGAGGCAGTATACATGCTTAAACTGTTCTGATGTTTTACAGTGCGTTTTATATAAATTTCGAATCATCGATCATTCCAAAGTTGTCATGGCGTTCGAACTATTGTCATGCAAGGTTGGAAATTTACATTGTTCACAGCTGGTTTGAATTGTTCAGCACTTTTGTAGACGTTTTTCGTAAGGACTTCTTAAATTGATTTAAGAAACAGTAGCTAGTTTAAATGTAATAGAAAATCTTAACGTCCTTTGAACTTAAATATGACATATGTAAGTTACATAAAAGGAGGTCTATAAATGATATAGAATGGGGCCGGTCTCACGCAACTTGAATTCTACAGTTTATGCAAACTTTTGAATAGTTTTTCACAATATATCAGTTTAACTGACTTATTATAAAGGCTGTAAACTACGTTTCCTTTCTAAGCTTATAATCGAATTTCCTTTTATTTAATTATGGCATATTTTGGCACAGGGGAAGGGAGAGAAAAGACAAGTAGGGTGGGGGAGGGAGTTACTTACCCACCTAGTGGATGATGCTTTATCCTTGTAATACTGGCACGCTCAGGAGTGAACCTTAGCGGAGCAGTTGCAAACAAAAAAATACTTTCATGGGAGGGGTGTGGATATTTTTGGAAACAACCAACTGTCTCTTGCTTTCAAAACACTGTTTGACTTCCTTTGTTAAATTTGATTCCCTGTTCTCCTAGCTGGCAAATGAAGATGAAAGTGTTGAAAATGGTACTGCAGCAGTAAGAGTCAAACAAAGACGTGAAGCTCTGAAATTGCCACCGATTGATTCCAGCGTTGCATCACAACTGTCAGTGGGCAGATCAACAGCAAAGTTTCCAACCAAGACTTCTGAAGAAGTGGGCTGGCGGTCCAGTCAACTACACTGTAATTTAGAAAGATATGGAAGGTACACAAAGCTGAAGACATCATTCCTTGGACAAATGAAGTGGCCTCCTGAAGCAATTGATTAGTTTCTCAATTATATTCTTTATCTTTGGACAATAATTTTATTGTAGATATTCTGTTTTGGAACTCAGTTTAATCCTTAATTGCCCCTTTTTTTACTATTTTTATTTATGATAAGTTAAAATAGAAAAGAAAATTTCAACCAACAAACTGGCTTGAGAAAGAGATATCCTTAAAGGACCTGTGTCACAAAATTCAGCCAAATTAGCAAATTGCAAAATGCCTGTTAAATGAATAGAAACATAAAAGTAACTGCTTAAAAATTTAAAGGAAGGTTAAAATAACATAACAGAAACAACAGATGCCACGGATGGGCAAAACTGAAGAAGATTGAAACAGATTGAAATTAGGGTTTGTGAAAACCGTTCAGCCTAACAGTTTTTCAAAGTTGATCCATGCTGCTTGCAGCTTCAAAAATAATGCTCAGTAGACATATTTGTTTGTCTTGATCTCTGATTTTGTCATTTACCTGTAATTTCTTTGCTTACGTTAAGTTCCATAGCGGCTGAGGGCGAGTAAAATTTGGTAAAATTAAACAAAATGAACTGGACTGCCGTGACACAGCCCCTTTAAGTATGTTGTGGTTCAATTTTTTCCTTGGTTTAAAATCTTATTTTCCTTTGTTTCAAACTTGTCATCATACATTAACATACTGCAAAACAAAGGAAAATAAAATTTAAACCAAGGATAAAATTGAACCACAACATTTACAAGTGTCCTTCTGAGGGTAGTACTACCCTTATCATCACTACCATTGATGTCAGTTTGGGTCCGATTGATATCCATGACAATGATTTGTCATAAATTTTTAAATATATCTCTTGCAGGTGTTCAGGCAGATTTGGTTCAAATTCATTTTCCTTACAATAATTTTTTTTCTCTCTCTCTCTCTTCCCTGACAGCAGAGGAAGAGTAGACCTGAGGATTTTCTCCTCTCATTCTGAAAAGGAACCAGACCCCCACCAAAACATGCAAATTTCAGATTTTTAGACTCTACAATGTAAATACACGTATGGACCTACGACTGTAAGGGGGAAAGTTGAGAAAGGAAATTTTTTAATCAGTGGAAATTGAGTGAATTTTTGAGTTCTTTTAATATGACATTTTTTACAAAGCATTAAGCACAACTTTAAGAATTAAAGTAAAATGCGTTTTGGTTTTAACAAGGAAAATTTATTTTTTGGTGCTTCTGTTGAAAAAAATATAGATAAATATTAAGAAAGGATGAGTTTTAATTTTTTAAAGACATAACCAAAGGCACTAGTTGCAGGTTCATTACAGTGAGGTATAGGTAAAGAAATTTTTTATGAAAATTTATTTTGAAGTTTATTTTACAGTAATTAACTGGTCCTAAAGGAAAACAGTTTTAAATTTTGTTTCCCTCAGATGTGAGTGTCTTTCTCAGCTCCACATAAGGAAACATTGAGATTCTCAGTCAGGAATCAAAATTTAAAACTCACTTCTGGGGGTACAAGTAATAATGTTGGGTGATCTGTACCATGGATACCAGAGGTCTGCACTCACCCGCCGTAGGAAACGCAAAAAGTGAAGTGTTTGAATGCGTCATCATTAGGAGCACTATTTTTTGATCAACATGCTCTATGTTTTTATTTCCAAGCAGTAATGCATTATTTTTTACAAATTAATTTAAACTATTTCTTAGCTATTGATTTTTTTTAATATGGGAGAGGGGTGTTCTGGGCTTCAATTTGCTTTAAGTTGAATGTGTGTTGACTTAACACTTTTTGCATGCCTTTGTTACCAAATAAAAAGTTTGTTAAGTTTTGTCCGAAACTGTAGACTGTATATCTCTCTGTACCTCCTTTTTTTGTTAACTGTTACTTGGCAGGGTTGATACCTCGGGCTTGTTGCTTGTTACCCCTTCCCTCCTTGAAAAATATTTAAACTATCAGTATCTGTACTTATGAAACAGGGAATGTACTAAGTCTCTACATGGTTTTTCTAGCAGGTTCTCCTGGTTGAATATGATAGCCATTTTATGAACCTTTTCAAGTCATGTGTAGTATCTCTCTGTAGAAAAATCATCTTGTGCATCGTGCCACCCTTTTTTCTTTCCACTTTGCTTTTTACATATTTTTCAGATGATATTAGGTTGTAATAGAATTTTATAATTTGGCACGCTGTGACTAGCGTTTTGGCTAACTGCATGCCAAGAAATATTGTAAGCAGTATTAAGATAACAAATGTCTTGCCTTAATCTCCTGAAGAGCTCACAAGACCAACTTGTCCTCATCCTCTGACAATTTTAATGCTTCACAATTACAGGCTTGCAATCCCAACGTTTACCCCAAAGTTTAGTTTTCAGTGAAAACCACTCCCAAATAACCCACCCTACTTCCATCTGAAAGCACATGCAATTTGCACTGAAGGCAATATTAGAATACAGTGGAACCCCATTAATACGGACATCAATGGGCCAAAAAAATTTGGCCATATTAATGAAGGTTTTTTATGAGAAAATGTATGGCCGTTTTGCCAGGCAGCCAAAAAAGTGGTTGTAATATCGAGGTGACTGTAATTTCACTGTACGATCAATGTGTAAATTGCACAGGTACGTTGGTCTCTTCTAGCTCTCATTTTCACAGATACTATAGGGAGAGTGTAACTCTTTAATTAATGTGTTCCTCCATATGAAAATAAGACCAAAAACGCTTTTCTATTCTATCCATGTTTAAATGTTTGCACATCACATATAACATAATGTTCATAAACAGATCCTCAGTTCAATTATTTGGGCTAAGAAGTCAATTCTGGATACCAACCTGTGTTTCTAACAGTGGTTTATTATTATTTTTTGTTGCATAATAATATAGTTAAGTTAGCATGCTGTACATATGTGAAAAATAAATAACTTTATTATAATAATATAAATTTAATACAACTATAGTTCTATTTGAGCTGTGTTCTTTGCTCATTTCAAAGTACAGGCCCTGTCAGTCTCCTGAAGTAAAGAGGGGCTCTGTCTTTCTGTGTGACAATTCAACGACTGGTGATCTTGTTTGATACAAACACTGCATAAATATCTTATATCAAAAAACGTTTTTGGCAGGCAAAATGATTTATTTGAATCAAAACTGTCCAGGGATTTGCAATATATTTTACTTTGACCTTCTGTAAACATCCTGGTTATTAATAAATTAATTTAGAGAATTTTCATAGCAACTCTTTCACTCTAACCGTTATAAAGCCTTACACTGCCAAAACTATTAAACCAATTGGATTAGAGGAGGAAAACAATGAATTCAAAAGACTATGCAGAGTTTTAAATGGACTCAAATAACTTTGGTTACAAAAAGCTTGTTTGCTTACTGCAATCTGATTGGCTTTGCTGAAGTGATCCTCAGGTTCTACAGTGGTTAGTCATCTGATGCCTCTCTTTGTTACTAGTGGATGGATGCGAAATTCCCACGAACATTGAAATATTAATGATTTTCATTGCATTTCTATGATACTGATATACTTTGGAATTTCCAAAACAGACTGGAGAATTGTTGGACGTTTCATGATATAACCCTTCATTTTTAAAGACAGTAGAGGTCACATCATTCTGCACTTGAACCTTGAATCTTTACTGAGAGGAAGGCTTCAGGATCAGCTGTAATCACCAGTGATGTCTCAAATGTTTTGCCAGGTTCATTAGGCGAAAACACCACAGGTAATCTAACAAATCGACCAGGTCTGCGGACGAAGAGACATTAGGCAGATTTAGCAAAGAAAACACGATGGCAGTGATGACTAATGGTAGAGCGGCAAATTGGGCACTGTAAGTCAGGTTTAGTCCTTTCCACACACCCTACCCATCGTCAACTGACATCATTCTCTTGCTAAATCAGCCAATTCATACAATATTACAACTGACAGTGACATATTGCTGTTAATGCCAAAAGTTTAAAAAAGGTAAAGAGGAGCTAAAAGTAGCGTGTAATCTACCCAAAGAAATCTACACAAAGAATGCTAATATGACTCAAGCTATAGAAAGGTCATGCCAGTGGTCAAGTACCACTCAACTGGGAATTAATCAGGTAAAACGTCTAGTGTGTGAATGCTATTGTATTGTAGTGGGCCTTTTACTTTATGCTGTTGTTGTGTTAAACATTGTAATAAGTACATACTGCACAAATTGACTGTAAGTTTGAGCCTGTCATACTCAGCTTATAAATTGTCGGCTACTTCCATTTTAGTACAAAACAACCATGCAGTTTCTCTTACCTAATCGTGAATTTCTTGTTATTTACAGAGAACGGTTTTGTAGGTGATGCAATGTGTGCCTATTCAGAGAACAAACATTAATAACCTTACCAGAACATAGCCTACATGTACAGTGTCCTTCCACGCCTGAGTTATAGTGTACGTGACTTATATAACTGGGCCAGACTAGGGAAAACTGACCATTATTGAATTGCAGAAAATGATAGTACATTCTGAGAAAGTTGCTTGAGAAGAACTTTTCTTTGATCCGAGCCAATCATTGATATTATATCTATAGACCAAAAAATAAGGTTCATCCAATTATTTGGCATAGCGACATGAACTAAGTCTTGCAAAATCTGATTTCTTTTTCCCCTGGATTTACAGCTGCGAGTGCTTTACACAATAGTGTTATCTGATTCACAGAAGAGTAAGGGAGACCTGGCTCATTGTTGATGACATTAGTGCAGCAATAATGAGTAAGACTTGCTGGCAAGATAGTGTCACCAATCTTGATGACGATGATAATGATGATGGCAAAACAAACTCATTTCGAAACTGTGGTAATGCATGTAATTAGAACAAGATCACTTTATCCAGAAAACGTGTTTCCCTGCTCTGGCAGATGTGTAACATGAAAAAGGTCTTGCCTGAATAAGGATAAGGAACTGGACCTTTTGGCAGTTTATAATCCTCTTCGAGATTACATGACAATGAGGTCATGCCATCTTAACTCTCAGTTTACAGTAATTACTGATGGAGTTCAAGAAATTCAAACAAAACATTTTACTCTGTAAATTAAAATTACTGAGAGTTGTATGAAATTCTTTCCTAACTGAAGCACTTTGATTGTTACCATACAGACAATGGATGAGCACACTATGCATAAATAATTGCATTTTATAGGTGCTCATAATTTAAAAATGAGAAAATCACGTTGGACTAACCAAGTACTGAATTTCCCCTGATCCATTACATATCTTAATTTTGGCTTCACTGATGCTTCCTATTTTAGTGACAGGAAACTGGAGAACACCATCAGTAATGTAGAGTCCTTTCTTGTCACCAACTGTAGAGCTAAAATAACATCAGGCAAGCTATAAGCTTAGCAGTGATTAAAAGCATCAGATAAAAACTAAGAATAATTTTCATCCCCAAGGGAGCAGTACCATGAGCAGTAGGTTCCACCCAATTTAAGAAAATAGATACTGTTAAAAAGGGTTGTAGTCTTCACCAGTGGACCACTGAAGAGAAATTCACTATTTAGTAGTATAAAGAATTTAATTATGTTGCACCTTGTATTAAAGGCAGAAACCTTGGACAAAGGGTAAAAAAATTCATGTAGATACAATCAAGGGTAAGACATGCTAAACTGACCTCTGTGCCACTCTCTCTCAACCTTCCCTACCAAACCCCAAAATTGACCTTACCTGTACGGCTCCTTGATGGTAACTTTCTTTGTTTTTGCTGGAAGGTCATCATCAAAAAGTCCTTCTGAACTAATTTTATCAACAGCCTTAAACCAAACAAGAAGATGTCAAATACTAGATTTTCACCACACACTCAAGAGGGAGACAAGTAACAAGTTTTGTCGTGACTATTAGATGAAAGACTACAATTTCATTATTATCAAAATAATCTCAGTGATAACTTAACCTTTTTGCTAGTACTTCTACATAACTCTTTTTTCTCTAGAGTCAATTCATATGGGATGGTTTAACATTTATGGGGATGACCAGGTCAGATAAAAAGTGTCTGGATATTGAATCTCCATTTGAGAGGTTGAATAAAAACCATGTGCTGAAAAATCCCCCCCACCCCTCCTAGATGAACCAATTTATAGCCCTTTTGAGTTTCACATTACTCAAGAAAGAAAAAAGGCGTGTGGTGTCTTACATCTAACTATTAATTAAAAAATTCTGTTTACTTTATTTTCTAGATAACATTTCATGCAGCCTTGTAATCTTCAACAGGGCTGTTTTTCAAGCATTAGGGCTTTTGTGTAGCAATTGTGAGAATTTGTAGGTCGATAATGAAGTTAAGAATGTTGCTTCTTTTTTTTCACTTTGTGAACTAGTCAGGCGCTCTCATCGGGGCCTGGGAGCCAGGTTTAGGTCATTTCAAGAAGTGATCGATCGACACAAAAAGCACATCGCAAGATTTTGTAATCTTTACTGAGAGAGGGTTAGAAGCATTAAAACAGTGCTGTTCTTGATTGTAGGTGAGCGTGAGTTTACTGTATGGACAAGCAGTTCCAAAAAAGTGGCGGCCCTGCTAGAACGAAATAATGACGACAGCGGAAACCATCAAAAATCAGGAGAAAACAATCCAAAACAAATTGAAAGTACTGCAGCTGACGACTGAAAACACCAACAAGATTGCTGGAAGCAATTGTTAAAACAGATTCAAATAAGACATGGCAGCCTATGGAGAGCAAAGTTGAGAAATTCCATGAAATAAAAGCGATTGTACAAGTACTTAAAATTGGATGAGGTGATGATGTCATTAAAGATTGGAGTTTGGGTATTGAAGTAGAGTTGGGCAAGCTCGAGAAAGTGGTCAAAGAATTAGAAGAGCTGGAACAAAAGTTAAGGGAACAAGACGCAAGAGAAACTCAGGAAAATGAGGAGAAAGCAAGAATTGAGATCAAGAAGAAATTTGAAGCAAAAACAGTCGAGAAGGACAGTGATGCAGGCAAACCAAAAGTTAAACTACCCAAACCTGTGATAACGAAATTTCAGGGGACGCATTTAGCTTGGCAAAGGTCTTGGGGGCTGTTTGAAGCGGAAATAGACAGATCAGACATTGGTCAAGTTGCCAAATTCTCATACTTGAATGAGCTACTTGTACCAAGAGTTAGAGCTGTCATCGATGGGATGCCCTTAACAGTCAAGGATACACAGGAGCTAAGAACATTTTTATGACCAATATGAAAAGCCAAGTGAAGTAGCTGAATAATGCTCACATCCAGTGCCTAATGGCCTTGCCAGTTATCACAGGGACTAACCCAACAACAATTAATGATTTCTATAAGAAACTGGTTACTGGTACTAATGTCCAAACCTTAGTGTCCATGGGTAAAGAGAAAGATATTAAAGGGTATCTTAGACTTACCCTAGATAAACTACTAGGCATAAGAGCTGATTTAGTGAGACTTGAATATGATAACTGACAGGAGTGGAGGTTCCTGCAGTTAGTGGAAGCTTTAAGTAAATGGTGTGAGAGGAACCCAGTCTCCCTAGATGGCAACCCCTGGAAGACGTGACAAGGGAAGAGACCCATTGCTTCAAGCTAAACAGGAGGGTGGAAATGATACGGGTTGTGTTTACTGTATGTCTGAAGAACATAAATTAGTTGACTGTGAAAAAAAATAAAGAGGTAGCCAACAGGAGGAGGTACTTGCCAGACAATAAGTTGTGTTTTAACTGTGCTGGCACCAGGCATAGAGTGATGCCAGAATGCAGAAGCACTACAACTTGCCAGAGGTGTAATGGGAAGCACCATAATTCGACATGTGATAAGCTTTCAAACCACCTGATGCTAGCAACAAGTGGAGGTCTAGTGGCGTACCCAGTAGTTGTGGTAGAAGTGGATGGAATTAGGTGCAGAGCTTTATTGAACAGTCTTGATTACCTGCGATGTATCAGGGGTACTCATTAGCCAAATGAAGAGAAAGCCAGATCAAAGAGAGTATAAGAGAATCGAAATGACGATGACGTAGACAAGACGGAAGATAGAAATGTACAAGGTCCAAGTCTCTAACATTAAAGGAGTTTTCAGCTTGCCCATCCCGAGCAAAGTGGACAAAGGAACTTTGCTAACTATCTCAAACCCGAGATATGTGGATATAATCAGAAAGGCAGTCTCGCACAACTATCTAACCTTGTGAAGAAATTGCAGAAGTACCCAGTCACCTAGAGGGTATGACAAAATAATTCAGAACCAACTGAAAGAAGGTGTTTAGGAGAGAGTGAGCGATAAGACTCAAGGGGAAAGAGAATGATATCTGCCACACAGAGCAGTCATAAGAGAAGCAAGACAGAGTACCAAAATGCGTATGGTCTTTGATGCATCAGCCAGGGCCCTTCATTGAATGATTCCTTAGAGACTGGGCCATGCACCTATACAAAATTTGCTCTGAAGTGTGCTGGTTCGGAACCGTCTCAAACCAGTTGCCTTGTGTGGAGACATTAAGCAGGTCTTCTTGCAGGTGCAGATTCAAGAAGCAGATCATGACACACTTCGATTTCATTGGATAAGGGATAGACTCATTACAAGTTGAGACTGAGGTTCATGCCGGCTTTATTTGGACTTATGCAGTCGCTGTTTCTTCTTGCGGGGACCTTGAAACAAATTTAGAAACTTTAAGATGTGAATACCCAAAGCATGTGGAGGAAATCATGAGGAGTCTTTATACTGATGACATCATCGCTGGGTAAGATATGGTTGATCAAGTGGATGAGTTGACAGGAACTGCAATATGGGCTTTTAAAGAGGTTCGAATTGCATAAGTGGAACTCTAATGTACCAGAACTGGAAGCAGATAATCAGTTGACAGAAGATAGCCAGACATATGCTAAGGAACAGTTGGGGGGGAAAACCAATGGAGCAGAACTACTCAGGCTCCCTTGGGATAAAGTGGAGGACACTCTGGCTGTGACCTTTTCTGGTGAGTCACAGGAAGCCACAAAAAAGAGAGAAGTGCTAAGGAGTTAACCTTTTTTAGGTGGCAATTTAATCTAAGCAGAACCCCCTGGTGGAGGGGGGCCGGGGGAATTTGAGAGGCATGTGGGCATCATAACACAGGCATTGTACTAAAGTATTGGTCGAGCTAGCCTCACGTGGAATGAGCTTGAGGAAGTCTTGCTGTAGCACTAAATAATAGTCTTCTGTCACGTGGAAGATGACATTCAACTACCAGTTTTGACTCCATGTGCCATGATGTTCGGTCAACCAAGACTTGTCCCAGAAGAAAGCACAGAAGAAGGGAATGCTGACTTGAGGAAGAGAGTGAAGTATCTATGCTGGTGTAAAGAGGTTTTATGGAATCGGTGGAGTGGGGAGTATCTGAAGTCTCTGAGGGAAAGACACATGAAGCTGAAATCCAAACAGATAACCTTCAAGCTAGGAGATGTGGTCCTTATTCAGGAAGCTGAATGTAACTGAGGGAAATTGAACATGCTGACATAGTAGTCAAGCCTTCCCAAGGCCGAGATGGGGTGGTACGAGCTGTCAGGTTGAGAGCAGAAAAATCTTTCCTTGAACGGGCAGTCCAGCATCTGTTTCCTTTAGAGCTTTCCTGTGATCAAGAGCAGCGAGTGAGAGAAAACCCATCCCTAAACCCCAGAGCAAGGGAGATTAGCCCTGTTAGGAGGGCTGCAGCTGTAGCAGCGGAAAATTTTACCGCATTAAGAAGTAGTCGAACACTGAACTTACATTATATTTGACCCCAGTTACTTGTATCAAATAGGAGAAAGTGTGAGAATTTGTAGGTTGATACTAGGATGTTAAGAATGTTTTGTTCCAGGGCTCGAAGTTATCTTTTTAGTGCACTTGCAAAGTTTTGCTAGAAAGATTTTTTTCCGCTAGCAAACTGGTGAGACCACAAGCAAATTATTTCCCTTTGTTTGGGAGACATGGATAATTCTAACTCGCAATCGTTTGCTAGTGGATACTTTTCTTACTCGCAGATTATCAAAATCACTCGCATTTTGCGAGTTTGCGAGCGTTAATTTCGAGCCCTGTGTTCGTGTTTTTTTTTCACTTTTTGAACTAGTCAGGTGCTCTCTCAGGTCATCGGGGCATGGGAGCCAGGTTTATGGATATTATAGGATGTCGTTTCAAGGAATGATTGATCAGCACAACAAGCACATGGTGAGAGTGTGTAATCTTTACTGAGAGAGGGTTATAAGCATTAAAACAGTTCTGTTCTTGATCGTAGCGAGCGTGAGTTTATTGTCTGGAGAAACAGTTTTGCAGCAATGATATAAAAGAAAGACATTGTTAGCCCTTTTCTTTGCCCTGCTTTTCAGTGTGTTCAGAATGTGTCATTATTCCAGCATTGTTTCTTAGCGTTTTTCTGCACCTAAACTGGTATCAGGTTGGTTTGCCCAATAGCAGTTCGCCCAGACTAAGTCAATTCAACTGAAGTGTATTTATCATTCTTTCAATGTGGAAAAACGGAATAAGCATGGAAAGACTGACTGCGCATGTGGAATACAAGGGTAAGTAAAATAACATCTCGAAAGGTATGTTCACCAGGTTGTAGAGTATTGTATGTCATCGGGCGAATCGACTAATGTCCTGGCGAATGGAGTCAAGCGAATCGACTTTCGGGAGAATGACCGCATTTCGTAAACCTGTTTTCGCTTGTCTTAATTAGCTAACGTTACCCACTTTGACAGCTCAATCGTCCGGTATCAGTTGGCTTATCTTTTCGGTCACATATGGGCACTTGAGCTAGTTTCAACAGTATTTTACTATCAGTCTAACGACAGACGAACAGTTGCCACATGCAGATACTTCTAGCAACAACATTTGTTATTTTTGGCTGTTTCCATCGAATTGTCTTCTTAACGTTCTTCTCAGTTCTTTTTGCGCTAGTCCATCCTTTCCGTGCAATCCTTGTCCTCTCTGCTTTTCCGTTCAGTAGTTTCTTCGTTCGAAGTTAGTCTTCTCTTTGCTCTACTTTCTCCTAGCCTAAATTTCAGCCTAAAGTCACCCGGGTCTTTCTCCAGAGTTTTCAACTCGAGGTGATGGCCTAAATTTAGGCTACAACTTCTCCATCCCTTAGTCCGTCTTTAACATGTCAGTCTCGTCGTTTTTCCGCTTTTCCGTGCGTTAGTTCCTCGAAACAATGACCTACTTTCCATACGTATATTTGTTCTTCGACGTTAGTTTTCTCGTGTCCACTTTCCCGTGTGACTTTTTTGTTTTTCTTTACGTTACTAGTTCCTTCCTATCGGGTGAAGCCTCGTCATCTCTTCTGCGCACGTTAGTTCGTTTGTACGGTGTGAATAGAGGTAAAGCATCACGTTTACGTCAAACAGCGAACGCAAATTTGTACCACGTGGCCAAGTTTCCCCTTCACCTGTCGTTTACTGTTCATTATTATTACACATAAATTAGTAGTTTCACACAATTTTTTAACCAAAAGAATTGTTTTGAGCTGTCTTTATCTGATCATTTTCTGTTTTGCGAAATTCTCAACTTGAATCTGACGTTTTCCGTATACGTGAAGGTTAAACTCTCTAATCATAGTCTTCTGGACGTCGGGTACCTTACGATCCGTAAACGGCGACGCCAACAAAACCGTCCCTAAAATACCCTTTGTTTCCTTTCCTTTGGGACAACGCCGTTTTAACTATTCCAAACAATGTCGCAACAATGTTGTAACGCCGTTGCCGTCGAAGTTTCGTACGTTCCCTGTTAGGAAGCTCATGTATAACCACGACGGCGACGAAAGCGAAAAAGTCACTGAAAAAGTGGATTCGCACTGTCTCAAACGCCATCACAGTATAATTCCACTTTGTTCAGTTTTGCCTAGAATGTAAGCGAACTTTTTCGGAGTTGAATTCTTAAGGGCGTACCCTTCTTGAGAGAAAGGAAAAGAAAATCGTCTCTTTTTTGCGAAGGCTATAAACCTGAAATTAAGACATTGTAGTCGTGCAGTAACGGTAAAGAAGTATATCAAAGAGCTTGCTGCACGTGCAAAGTTCTTGTTTTGTTCACCAAACATCTTCCTTTATAGACGTTCTCGTTGCTGCAGCCTCCTTCTTTGCGTGAGGTTCCTATTTTTCCTAGTGCGAGTGATGAAAAATTTTGAACTAATCTAGATGGGTTTGGGAATTTTCTTTTGATTCCAAGTCACGTGTGTGGCAAAAATCGAAACGTTATCTCTGATTTTCCGACCCGCTCATCCCAATAAATATAGAAGCGTCTCTTACAATTAAGGTGGTATTTTTCATTTTTTTGAGTTTGAGTAACTACAGTTGAATACATTCTTGAGAGTACAATTATGTCTACCCTGCGAGCAGAGGTTTTCTCCCGCATGACTTTAATCGTTTACGAAGTCGTTCGCGTCGCTTCCCTGTTAGTCGCATAGTTGGAAGCGACTAAAAAGCGACGCGAACGACTTCGTAAACGTTTGAAGCCATGCAGGAGAGAACCCTCTGCTCGCAGAGTCAATTATGTCATACCTGACCATGCAGAAATATTTTTTGTTTTGATTTACTACCGCCGGATAATGTCTGAAAGAAAAAGATGGAAAAAGTATTTCTTTCGGTTATGGCTATTACTCATTGTTAGTATAATTTATTTGATTACCATTTCATGTCCATGTATAAGCTGGTTGCAGTTATAACAAATAACCATTTGTTGAGAAAAGATGTTTTCCCATGTAACGGCACCCGTATGCCTTAGTTTTGTTTTGTTGCATTTTTAGCTATTTCCTTATCGTAACCACATTTTACATCACAGTGATTTTCCGCTAGCCGTCACGTGACCCTAGCTTAAATACCGCTACACGTGCGTAGTTTTTTCTAAGGCTCACAGAAATTCGACATGTAACCATCACGAGAAATGCCTTTCTTGCTGTTGAACTCAGAACCTACTAGAGCGTTCGTCCCAACACGTCCTACAACGGTATCGCTGTAAAAGTTGGCACAATAAACCCCAGCCTTGTGGAACATATGAGTCGCTTAATTTTCTTAGTTTCAAGGATCTCTCCGACACCGGAGCTGATGCCGCTACAGTCTAATTTCTGTTCAGGTGAGTCGAATCTCTGAACCCTAAGTCAAGCAAGTTCCTGGAGCCCAGAGCAATCAAGAAAGCTCATTCAAGCGACAAGTCTGTCCCTGGAAACAGATGAGCAGTCAAGCGAGAACTCAACAAGTAAGTCCGTTCCTTTATTAACCGAACCGAAAACAAAAAGAAGAAAAAGAAGAAACTACTGAGAAGAGGGAAAGAGCACTAGCTCGGCGAGACGTTATTAATCTATTGAAGAAAACTGAATAACATGTTGTTAAAAACGAATCCAATCAAAGAAGAACCTTTAGTAGACGTCGCGAGGAACCATGTTGCCTAATTACTTTTAGTTAACGGTACAGCTTCTTGTGAAAAATACAAGCGCTTTCCCATGGAAAACTTCCAAAACGCCTAGCAAAAAACAAATCTAGGCCATACCCAAGATAACCAAGACGAAACTAGCGATACTGGATTATGAAACTCTAGCGCATAATACACTTTTCCCCGATCATAACGAAAATACACCTCTAGTAACCACTGAGAAGGACGGAACATCGGGAACACGTTCTGGAACTATGACAGAGAAGGGTTTTCAAGCGTTGCGCGCTTAAAGAATCAAAGAAAGACTATCGTCAACTCGTGGGTACGTTGTTTAGAAAATAATCAATTAGTTATCACCTCTGGTTTTGCCACAGTGAAGTTTAGGAAATGATAGAAATTCATATTATAAAAATACTATCCTTGTTCTGAAAACACAATACTTTTCTTGCTGTTTATTGCACTTTAGTAACAGTTATTTAAGTATATATTTAAAAACAAAACAAAAAAAAACAACAAAACAAATAAGCAAACAAGACAAAACAAAAAAGAAAAACAAAGGAAGAAGGGGAAAAGAACGTCCTTAGTAGGATTTGAACCCGGTACCTCCGATTAGACCCGACCTCACATAACCTCTACGCCATTGAGGACAATCTCATGATCTGGCGAAAAGTCTCAAATTTAATGCCTTTTCCATGGAACTTCCGCCGGTAAACGATCGGGGCAAACGATCAAGCCATAAAAACGGCTCGAAGCAATGGGATGAAATTAAGGCTAATTGAAACCAGGCTACTGACAAGTAAACGCATTTCATGGCAATTTATGAAAGAACATCTGCGATACAAAGCCGACACAACTCCTCCGCGAAGTAGGACGCAAAACATTAGCTTATGTTTTCTTATCTCGATTTCCGCTGTTATTTTAAAAAGGTAATGCTCAAACTCACATCCATTTCCCCCCGTGATCTTGGGGAGTCCTCAAGAAGAAGAAGAAGTGCCTTTATTTACCATACATTTCACCACTCCGTATTTTATAGTCCATATTTTATACCCAGTACGCAGTCCGTAGTCCGCAGTCCGTGTTCTATACTGACCGCTATAAATTCATTCATACACATAACCTACTACAGTACTACAAGGTAGGAGATCAAGCCAGCGTCGAAGTTGAAGGAGTCGAAGAGCAAATGCTCATCTTCTTGTCAAGTTTAACGCCTGGACGGGTCAAAGGCTTTTAAATTGTACTAATTTGAAAGATTCCTGCCTGTCTTAAATTTGGTAAGACCTCTATCCTAACCGTGCTGTAGCGCACGGTGCACGCTCGAAGCGAGGAATTTGATGCTACCGAACTTCGGCGAGCGCGTCCTTCTTTGGAAACGATAGATCTTCGCGCTCTCGAGTTCGGACCCGATTAATTACGAAGTGCGTCTACTACGAGTGAGTGAGTGACTCATTTGCATATCTCAGTCCCTGCAATAACTCGTGGTACGCTCGCGCGTACCCACGAGTTAAAAATCAGCGAAAGCCGCACAAAAGTTTTCACGCAAACGTCAAAGCGTTCCACGCATTCCTGGCCGGCACTGAAGACCGCGATCAACTTGACAGGAAGCTCAGAGATATAATCGCTCTTGCAAAGCGAACGTAACTAGAATTAAACTGCTGGCTAGATCTCGTAAAACACATCCCGCGATCAGAGCTTATCGTTGCACTACTTTCTTCAATAAAAGACTATTCAAGCAGCACAAACCGTCGCGTTTAATAAGGTATTAGCCCTAGACAAACTGAATTATTAGCAGCGGAAGCCGCTATGAGGAGGCGTTAAAAGAAGAAAAGCCGCACGGTAAGGACGACAAGGATTTAAAATTGCCAGAAGAAACGGAGAATATGATTGGTAGATATTTGAACTACGCGTCCCATCCCACTCTTCCGACCACAACCGCCGCAAGTTTGTTACCATCATTAATGAATGAGAACAATGGTCACCAACTTGTCACGTCTCGAAGCAACACAGGAGACCCTCCCCACATGGGACTCTCAGATAACATCACCCTCCAAGATGGGGGACTCGGAACTAACTTCCATTTAGACACAGGGCATCAAGTAGCCTCCCATACCTCAAATGTACCGGAACACGAGCTCGTTATCATGCAGAGATAGTAGAACAACTAAAATCTGATCCTAAAAGGAACAGTCCATGCGAACTGCATCACGGCACAGGGATTCCGACAACTCAGATTCCCGTCTTTTCCGCCAATATTTCTTGCTCCTGCACTTCTCACTATACGTCACCTGCAGAAAAAAGCACTCCAATTGCTTTACTTCCTCAAGGACCAACAAACGCAAGTACGGACCTCCTGACTTCTCACTCCCCCACAGGCCCTTTAACCAGTTCAAAACCTATACCTTCATCAGCTTACATATTCCGCAGAGATGCTGACGCCTTCACCCCGAAGACTTCGCCGACCACACTACCATGAAATAAAATCAAGTCCACCCCCCGGAAAGTCAAAATCGCGCTTCTTCAGGGGAGCTCGTTTTTCATCCCTCCCTACAAACGCCTGCTCAACCGAGAACAACATTCCTTTCCCAAGCTTAGCCAATCACATTGTACTTTCCAAATTCTGGAAAATTGACCTTGACCGCAAGGTAATCTGATAATTACTCGATTGGCATTAAACACTGCACAAACACTGGGAAAGCTTTCTGACCTCTAATAAATGTTAGATTCAGAATTTAGTCAAAATTTAGAATACTCCATGCACTGCATAACCTTAGCGAAGGAAAGAAAAGAAGGAAAACGGTAACTCTAGGGTCACATTCAGTCGTGTTTAGCCTGTCAACACTTTATTGCACAATTGTTGATTGGTCACTTACCATGCAAATAAAACAATGCGAAAGGAATGTTGTTTTCAGTTGAGCAGGCGTTTGTGGGGAGGGATGAAAAACGAGGGATGAAAAATTGCCGCAGCCTTAGCTAAAGTAACGCAACTGCACCGGCTCCCGAAAGCCAAACCGTACATCTTTACTAGCGACGAAACAGACACTAAATTCTTCGTCTGGGAAACAGCGTTCGACGCCCTGATCGAATCTGCACCAATCAGCGCTCAACAGAAACTGTATTTCTTGTACCAACACTTAGACGGAAACGTGAAAACGACCACCGAAACCAAAAGTACCACTACAGCTTACACAAAAGTCTGCGAGGAGGAGAAAACCAGCAGGTTGTGTGCTAGACTCGTGTTAGTGCGAGCATATCATCAGTCGAATCCAGCTACGAAAATAACAACTTATGCAGTCCTAGACGATCAATCTCCCGATGTGTTCATCTCTGAAGCCCCGCTAGAACAACTGGAAGTAGACGCACGATCATCTGCTCAAACTCGATTAGAACCAAGAAAGTAATTAGACATCCATTCAAGACTTAGAAAACGAATATGCGCCAATCAAAGTCCCGTTTGCGTACTCACGAGAGTACATGCCCGCTTCACACGAGGATATTGCTACACCCCGTAGAGCCAGTCACTGGAAACATCTATCACACATTGCGGAGGAGATACAGCATCGTTCTGACGTCGACATAGACCTGCGTATGGGACGCAACGTTCTAGCTGCCTTCCAATGGATAAATGTCATCTTCGGATAAGACGAGGAACCCTGGTCAGAACAGTACATGTTTCAGTTTGGCTGGACCGTAATAGGTCGTGTCTGTAAAGACAAGCAGCGAACACAAAACTCAGCGTCGGTCAATCGAGTAACAGTGGAAAGAGGACCCCTCCTAGATCGCAGCGAGGAAACATACAGACCACCACTCTTACAGAAAATAACAAATACTAAGGCCCTAACCAGCCCAAAACAAGTACGTGAAATGATGGAGCTTGATTACAGTGAGATTCACCACAGTGGCAAGATTCGTGGAACCGAACAAGCGGATTCTATAGAAGATAAACGCTTCCGAGAGATGCTCACTATGGGCCTGTACAAAACACAAATGGAAACTGGGAAGCACCATTACCCTTCAAATCTGATGATCTATCACTACGGGACAATAAAGGGCACTGTTTAAGAAGGCTTCTTTCCCTGAAGAGGCGGCTATTAAACGACAGCAAACTTAAAGAAGATTACTTAGCCTCTATAAAGAAGACACTTGATAACGGTCGCGCAAGCAGAGTTCCTGTTGATCAACTCGGTACAGAAAAGGGCAAAGTATGGCACCTCTTCCACTTCCACGTATACCACCCGAGAAAACCGGATCAGATCCGAGTCACGTTTGACTGCAGTGCCGTATTCCAGAACGAGTCGTTAAAAAGAGCATCTGCTCCAAGGCCCAGACCAGTTAAATTCCCTGATAGGAGTCCTGACATGATTTAGAAAAGAAGAAGTTGCTTTCACTTGCGACATTGAGCGTATGTTTCACAGCTTTTACGTTACCCCTAAGGACCGAAACTTTCTGCGCTTTCTCAGTGTGGTTCGAAAACAACGACCTCACAAAACCAATTGTTGAATACCAAATAAATGTACACCTCTTTGGTGCAGCATCTTTCCCCGGCGCAGGTAAATAAATAAAATATATAAACAGCAAATAGCAGAAACTCACAGAGAGGAGTTTAGAGACGATGCTTCAGACTTTCTCCTTAGAGACTTCTATGTGGATGACGGCTTAAAGGCCGTCCCTACAGCACAGTAAGCCCTACAGTTAATCAAGGCCTCTCAAGCAATGTGCGCAAAGGACAATCTACGCCTGCACAAGTTAGCGAGTGACTGCAAAGAAGTCTTAGAAGCCACATCGGGTAACGACCACGCAAAGGATTTTAAAGATTTAGATCTTCGGCATAACTCAATGCCCGTTCAGCCACGTTTGGATTCCCCATTGAGCTAGGAGATAAACCTGTAACATGTCGTGGGATCCTGTCGACCATCAGCTCAGTGTATGATCCCCTCGGAGCAGTATCACCCGTCATATTGAACGGGAAGCAGATACTTCAAGCACTCTGTAGTCAAAATGTGAGCTGGGATGACCCAATTCCAGCTGACATCCTACCACTATGGGAGTAAGGGCGAACAGAGCTTCCACTTTTAGAGAAACTAACGTTTCCTCGCTGCGTCAAGGCACCGGAATTCGGCGACTCAGTCAAAATAGAAATCCATAGCTTCTCAGACGCAAGCGTCACGGGATCGGTCAGACTTACTATCTGCGCATGAAGTTCACGTTAACTTCCTCATGGTAAAATCTAGAGTCACTCCAATCAAGCCAATATCAATACCACGCTTAGAGTTAACAGCAGCCGTTGTTTCAGTCCACGTAACTGCAATGCTCAAAGGTGAACTCGATGTGGGCAACGTCCAATGCTATTACTACACCGACTCTAAGATGGTAATAGGATATATCAACAATGACGCGCGACGCTTTCGTGTTTACGTTGGCAATCGCGTACAGCATATTACAGACCGCAGCTCTCCAGAAGAATGGTTTCATGTCCCAGGAAAAAAAAATCCAACTAATGAAGTCTCCCGTGGTTTAACAGCAAAGGAACTAATACAAAGTAACCGCTGGTTCAAAGGACCAACTTTTCTGTGGCAAGAAGATCCACTTTCGTTACAACAGCAATCTATTTGCGCCCCGCACCCGTCAGACATTGAAGTCAGAAAGGATCCAGCATGCACGTTGGCCACAAAAATCTACAAAACCAAGACCTTTCACAGCGGATCTGGAATATTAGAACCTGATCGCTTCAAGCATATCTCCATGCTCAACCCCCTCAAGCGATGTGTCGTTCAAGTACAGAGAGCGATTGAAAGGCTTAGACCAAACAAAGAGTACAATTGGCGCCCAAGAGAAGGGCCCCCCTTAGTCAAAGAGCTCTCTCAAGCCGAGAGTATAATTCTGAGATCCATTCAGCACTACCACTTCAAAGAAGAAATCGAGACCATCAGCATTCTAGAAGGAAACGACACGCAATTTCAGGATCGCAAGAATGCGCGGGAAAGAAATGGCCTTGTTAAGCTCAGCAGAAGCTAGACCCTTCATCGATAAACAAGGCCTGCTTAGAGTTGGAGGACGACTTAAGAGCGCGACTTCACCTTATTCAATGAAACACCCCATTATCATACCTAAGAAGAGTCACGTGCCTCATACACCAGTTCCATCATGGGAAGCAGCATCACCAGGGTTACGGCATAACTCACAACGCAATCCGCCAAGCTGGATACTACATCATCAGTGGCCATTCATTAACCTCTAACATCGAGGCCAAGTGCGTTGTATGCCGTAAGTTACCGGTATGAGGCCACCCCCAAAACCAAAAGATGGCAGATCTACCACCTGAACGCGTCACGCCAGCTCCTACGTTCACCTACACTAGGATGGATGTGTTTGGCCTATTCTACATTAAAGAAGGACGGAAAGAGCTCAAGCGATGGGGCCTGATATTCACCTGCCTTTCGTCACGTGCAATACGTTTAGAAACCCTTAACAGCATGACAACGAACTCGTTCCTGAATGCTCTCAGACGTTTCATCAGCTGCAGAGGAAAAGTCCGAGGGCTTAGATGCAACTAGGGAACGAACTTCGTAGGTGCCAAGAACGAGCTCGTTTCTGCATTTAAAGAGCTACACACCACACCTCTCAAAGAGTACTTAGTTTCACGGAGTCTCCGACACCGGAGGTGATGCTGCTACATTCCATTTGTGGCACAGGAGCCATAGAAGTAAACAAATCCTCATTCTTCCAGCAGGTGTTAGGCCATGACATTCTAGCAGCTCGTAGATTCCAATGAAATTAAGCTACAATCAAAAGTGTTGGGAAGGCTGCTACTTCTCAGTTTTTACCTCTCTTTTTCTTCTTCCCCCTTCCCCTGGCCCAATGTTGAACAAAACTTGAATGTTTCTGCGCGTAACCGTTCTCTTTTTATCCCAACGTTAGGGAGCTCAAGCAACAACGACAGCGACGGCTACTACAAATGTCAGTTAAAAAGCGAATTCACGTTGCTTCAAAGTTTATCGCATTTATTCCATCTCGTTCAATGCGACAAAGAAAGGTGATTTTTGCTGTAGTTGAATTCTAAAGGACTGTATTTGAGTTCAGGTAAAGAAAAACAAAATTGTCGTCTAGCGTTCACGTCCACCATAAAACGCAAAAATGTGAGGTTTCAACTTGTAGGCGTGCAACGACGCCAAAGAAATGTACAAAAATGCGCGACGCACGTTTGCCAATCTAAACCCATTGCTTTTTGCCTTTTGTTGTTGCTTAACCTGCTTAATGGCGGGGGAAGATATTTAGCAAAAGAAAAAAACTCTCTTTTTGAAGATTGAAAGAGATTACTGTTAAGTTGTACTATCTTCCCAACTTATTTTTGTGCGAGACTGTAGAACACCAACATCACGAACTTTAAATAAAACATGACGGACTCACCAAAAGATCCCAAGACTGCTCATATTCACCAACATCCCTAGGCTGAAACTTTACAACAATCTGAAAATAGATAAGTAAATAATTAAAATAAATGATGACGTTATAATGTTGCTGGTTCTAAGCCAGGGCGTGGGTAAGTTTGTCCGATACCAGGAAGTAAATAAAAAAAAGAGTTTTCCCGACATTTAATTTGAGTGTGTTTGCCCATGGGAGCGGTTTGTTTTCCCGACTGTTTTGTGCATACATGTAAATGAATTACTTCGGGGTTTAAGAGACATGCGTTAGAACAAATCGGCGGGTTACGAGTGGCAAGTGAAGGAAAACGAGTTTCAGTTGAAATAACCGGGGCTGTGTTGTTTTAAGCTGGGTTGCCACTGATCCCGGGTTAAATTGAATCAGGTCATACAAGTTATTATGGTAGGATGTTTATTCAATCAACTCGACTAAGGAGAAAAAAATCAGCGAATCAATACCCAGAATTCCACTTTCTACAATTTACAGTTAACTTTGATTGATGTGTGTATTCGTATACCTGTGCTGTCCCGTGACCTTGTAATGAGCCAGAAAGCTTTGGAATACTAAATGCATTGTATGTTGTCCTATGAATGCTTCCTGTATCATCAACCTGTAATTCAATGGGTTAGAACTTGAAAAATGCAACTCATGTATGACAATTTAATTGACATAAGCTTTTGGACAGCTTTACTAAAAGCTTGCACGCTTGTTTATTTCACGCAACGACGACGGCGACGGCTACGAAAACGTCACTTAAAAAGTGAGTTTGCGCTGCCTCAAACTTTATCGCGCTTATTCCATCTCGTTTAATTCGAATTTGGAGTTGAAATCTAAAGGACTACATCAAAGTTCAGAAAAAGAAAAAGAAAGTCGTTGTCTTCTGTTCCCCGTCCTCGACAAAACGTGAAATTAGGAAGTTTCACGTTGTAGTCGTGCAACGACGGCAGAGAAATGTACAAAAAAGCGTGATGCACGTGCAAAGTTGTTGTTTTGCTTATCTAAACCTATTTTTTTTTTGCCGTTCTCGTTGCCGTCGTCGTCGTTGCGTAAACTCCCTATTGTTCCACAGACGCTAGTAAGGTGGTGGGAGGGCACGAACTTGCTGCCATCTCCACCATACATTACAGCAAGAAGCCCACAAGTGTGACCGCTTCTAATTTAAAGTCACATTCTTTCGCACAGATTTAATCCAATAAGAAGCCAGCTGGACACTGTCCTCGGCTTCTGATTGGTTAATGTCTGAATGAAAGAATGTGAGTTAATTAAAGGAGGTAACACTTTTAGGCTTCTTGCTCTAAAATGTCTGATATATTTCGCGACTTTGCGGAGTTACATCTTCGCTATTTTCTTACAATCACCCTTCAACTTGAAAACTATTTCCAGCGGTGCTGAGAAAGGCTTGCACACTGGTCCCAGTTACAAGTTGAAAAAAAAAAGCTTGAAATGGTCGATTAAAATATTGAATCGTCTGATTTCTTATTACAAACCTTGACATAAGCTGGTGCTACAGAGCACAGATTCCAACTCACATCAGATGCGGCTGTGTTGGTTAAAGATATTTCTGATGCTGATAGACAAAAGATAAGACAAAACAGATGATGAACAAAAAGATCTCTAATTCCTAACAATAGCATTTCATTCCCGAGGGCAAGTTAAAAATAAATATAAAATTGTCTTTTTTAACAAAACATAAGTGCCTACCAGTATGTTAAAAAAATTGTAGCTGTACAATACTAGCAAGGAGAAGTCGTTAAGTCTTTTTGACATGGTAGCAAAGTTTCAAATCTAAAAATGGTCCCGCAAATACGTCCCGTGCATGATTGCACTCAAGAACAAAACTTAAGCCTATACTTTTCTTCCATCGTTTGACAATTAAGAAAGGTTTTTTGTGACGTCACACTTTCTCAGCTCTTTTTTGTTGAAAAGTGATTGAATGATAACATATTCAAAACTTAGAACCCAATTAACTTTTTAAATGAACGAATAAACAAAGACAAAAATTTTTACTGATGACATACTTTTCACTGCTCCAATGAGTGTTGCTCCAAACATAACATCTTTATTTGTTATTCTCAGTGGAGGAAGATGATGTGAGGGAAGAGGAGTTCCTCCTGAAGCGGTGATTGGGATGGACTGGAAATTCAATGCACCAGATTGAAGGGGAGAACTCTCCAAAACTTGCTCTTCTTTAATTTGTACCCTGATCGACTGAATAGGGACAAAAAAGGTTATTTGAATGCCTATTGACCTGAACTTGGTAGAACAGCATAAAATAGAAAACTTTATTAATGTGTCGGAGCGGTATAGCTTGGGCAAAACCCCATACTAATTTTAGTAATAGATTCTGGGGAAAGGTGTTGCAAATCCTCAGAATCTCTCGTCACTGGTTCCTGAATCTTTACTTGAGCGTTCGCGAGTTTTATCTGACAAAACTCACGCATTTTCTATTACGTTTGCATGTTTAAATAATTTTTCCCTCGTGACATGAGAAAGCTATCTGGGATTAACGTACATTAGCCTGGCGCTTTTATCGGATGAAAATCTCTTTGAAGACCTTGCAATGGTAGGTGAAATGATCAACTAATCTAAGAGAAATGCTACCTCAAGTTCGTGTTAATGTTAGCTTAGGGGAGGGGTAGGTGGGCAGTTTCCCAGAAACGTATAATGATCCCTTTTTTCTATACCTGTTGCACTCCATCACAGTTCAAGTAAATTGTGCCTACCCAGGGAAGGTGGGTAAGAGAGTTGGAGGGATTTGGCTTGGCACTAACAAATACTTTAGTTTGACTCCTAACAAAATAGAAAACACAGTAACAAAGATTAGAAGACAGGCAATATCCTATAAAAAACATTGGTTAAAATTCCAAAAATGTACTTGACTAATTATTCTCATACCAGTAATAAAATCTTAACGTTGCTAATACGCTGTTGGGAATAACAGCGTTTGGTTTGTCCGGGTTTCGGACTCTTTCTGACTGAATTGGCTACATTGAGTGGTTACCTGGGTGGAATTTCTCCTCTTTCAGGGGTGATGACAATTGCATGTCCAGGCCATGTAAACTCAAACCTGCCAAAGGACAGGGTAAGAAAATCAGTTTAGTTTGGTCAAGCGCCAGCTTGGACGATATAAATTCTTCCTCGCAAAATAATTCTTGTTCATCACGTTCTGAGTTGTCTGATTGTTGATATTCCAGTATCCTCAAATAATAATAATGATAAAAACTGAACTATCACCATAAAATTCCGAAAATAAGCCCCTCCATGTATAAGCCCCCAAAACCGGTAACGCAAAAAACCCTCCGTTAAATCGCCCCACCAAATATAAGCCCCCCGGGGGCTTGTACCCGGAAAATTGCCCTCAAATGCAAAGTAAAACAAAGCAAAGACGGTAAATTTCCTTCCAACTGTAGGGCTAGCCCAATCGATTTTGAAACGCAAATTTCACTCCGTAGATAAGCCTCTCCAAAAAGAAGCCCCTCAAAAAGGGCCTTTGAAAAATATCAGCCCCGAGGCTTATTTTCGGAATTTTACAGTATTTTTGGAATACAATTGATGCAAGAAAAAGTTTAGCGTTTTAAATATATAGCAAATAGAGTGACAAAGCCATTTAAAGTCGCTGGCCTTCAATTGTCTCCTTCACCCTTTCTTATCAATTCAAGAGGACATTAAGGAGCCTATGCTGCTGTTTGAAAGAGTTGGGGATCCTAGATGGTGCCTGGTGTGGTCTATCACGTGACTTATCGGAAAGACCCCACGTGACAGAAGATACAAGCTCTATCTCCAAGCAACAATCAAATCGAAGCCCAGTTCTGTTGTATCGTCCTTACCATGCCAGTGTAGATGGAGTGCTCAAAGTCTAAAATTGCTGTAACTATATATAATTCTAACATGTCTTTCTCCCCTGATATTCTTTACTTCTAGTGACTGTATTATTAATTATTATTATTAATAGTGATTGTACATTATTAACATATATTAACAAAACAGATTAAATTTATCATTTACACTTGCTCACCCTAATGAACGCTCCGAGAAGTTGACAATTCTAAGCTGATCAGAACTTTTGCCACTTTTATCATCTTCTGAAATGGAAGTAATACGTAGGACAAATATTTAAGGAAACACCATTGATTTAAAGAGTCAAATGATTCTGTCATGTAATCTTTACACACTGTGTCCTTTCACAATATTAGGTAAAAAAGGCAAAACCCAACGCTGATGTGAAGTACTACCAAGAAGCGGCCCAGTTGCAAAGCTACATTCAGTATTAAACTGTAAAAAGGTTACTATATTGTAAAGACTTGAGCAAGTGAAAAGTCCTCTACCTTATATGAAACATTCGGTCCCGAAAGTATAAAAGGAGAAGAGTATAAAGAGGATAGGGATAGAGCGATTTTCGTATGACCTTGAAAAATGGTTTCCGTAAGTGTTCGTTATTTGTTTTATCAGCCAATGGATGAAAAGATCAAAACACGGACTCTTCGATTTTCCACCAAAGAAAACCCTGATATGGAGAAGGCATTGATTGGCCAATCGTGTTGCAGTATGACGTCAAAGCGAAGTATCGATTCATTCGTAGAAAATTCACGGGCATGAAGTTTTTTCACCTGAGTGTTCGCTTAACCAACCAAAAGCCGCGCGCGTTTGTGTCCATTCTATAAACCAATCGAATCGCTCTATTTCCGTTAGATTGTTGTTTGTTTTGTTCGCGCGTTTTCATTTCAAGGTCAAACAAAAATCGCTCTATTACACGGTGGCGAGAAGATATGAGCCACCTGTGGTATTGACTACAGAGTCATCTTTCTAAAGTATTCACCAGGCTTAAAATTCAAGTCATATTCTATCATTGCGCATAAGCACATATCGATATTCTAGTCCCAGCAATATGCAGGATGTTTGTCACATGAACCTAGTTTATTGGTCTGAGCTCCCACGAGTCTCCTGTAGCTCAGAGGTAGAGTATCTGGACTGGTAAACAGAAGGTCTTAGGTTTGACTCCTGTTGGGAGTTCTCGGATTTTTTCTTTCGAGCCGCCCGTGTCACTGACTCAAGAAACAGCTTTCTCCTACATGTCACGAGAGAAGCTTAGATAGAGAACAGGCAGAGTGAGCTTTAAGAGCCTTGGACAAGTAAATACCATTTCCTAGTGGCACTTGGACCTAAATTTTCTGATTACCATATTTATATAGCCAACTCTTCCCTGAGGAAGAAATGCTTTTGCTGGTAATACGATTGTCACCCAGTATCTGTTACTACACAATTGAAATCTCATAGATAATTCGACTCCCTCTTAACGGACACCTCCCTCTATTACTGTAAGAGGGACACCTCGGTAAAACAGACACCTTGAGTTGGTCCCTGCCTTTCTTTACTCCCTTTATTTGACTCTCTTTAAGACGGACATCTCTCTAAGACATACGATTAGTGACTGTCCCAAAGGTTTCTGTCTTCAAGAGAGTTGACTGTACCATAATTATATTTGTTGGTCAACTTACGTGATTTGCAAGGTGTCATAGTCAGAAAATCAGGAATGACAGCCCAGCTTTTCTCCTCCAGATTTCCTGTTGGAAAAAAATCGGTTCATCACAATACGGGAATACTGTTGATTTGCCGTAGAGCAATGTTAATTAGCATGTTTGGAAAGCCTACAAGAGGAGACCGCAAAGCAATATGGGTAATTGTAATAAAAAATGTACCAAACTTGGCCGCGGAGCAACTTTTCTGTCAAAGAATCACAAAAGCAAACGTTTTTTAGGTTTTATACCCGCATGCGACACTGACAACCATGAAATTATAAATGCAATTATACAGTATTTACAGCTTCCCAATTGAACATTAGGTCTTGTCACGTAGATACCAACGTTAATTGAAATAGCTGTATATCTCATTTTAAAGTAATATCTATTTACTAACAAGCATGCAAATAATAAGGACAACAATATGTATGAAGTACATCATTTTTCAATTCAAGTTTTAAAATCGGATGTATTTTTCGACGGGTAGCTGGACCTATAAGCGTTTCCATCGAGTTATGGCGCGAAAGTTGGAGTGAGAGCCAAAAAAAAAATGAAAGAGGGAGAGCGAGGGGAGAAGAGGAAACTCTCCCCTCCCTCTTTTATGCTCCCGCCCCAACTTTCTCGACGAACGCGCGCGGAAACGCCTGCTACGCAGTCTACTGTGGGGAGCGGGGGGTGCTTATGAGTGGGGGAGGGGGGGTTCTAAGCGGCAGGTTACAGTATACATGCTTACCATTCATTACGGGACTGTTCATTTGAGGCTGGGGAGCTGGTTTATCCGAAACAGGCACAGTATCGACTGATCTGTTAGGGTCATTTGTGTTGCCGGGGTGTGAACTTGGTGGTGATCCTACTAAAGTCAAAAGCACCCTGGATACAGAGCTTTGAAAAAATGTAGTCCAGTTTGGCACCTTGGGGTATTTTACATCTGAAACAAAAAAAAAAATGTGTACAATCTGATTTCAGGAACGGTCAAATAGGCAACAAAAAAACGTGCAACCTTGTTTGCAATATTGCTGCTAAACGAGTTGACTGGTGTTTTACCACCCACGAATCAAACCTGTCCAGCAACTACTCAGGTTGTTGTAGGCTGCGAAATGTTGTTGCAGAAAGTAGAGAGTAGCTGTACTCTTGCAACAAAATCTGCACAAGTTGCGAGTTTTCCCAGACTAAAGCTACAGTAAAACGGGCAACAAAAACGTTTACCTTGTTTTGCAACTTTGCTGAAGAACGTGTTGAAAGTAATGTTGCAGGTTTTACCATCCACGTTCAAACCTATCTTGCAATAAACAAGGTTGTTGCAAGTTACCTGAATACTGACTCCTGATTGGATTAACTTTCGCGGGAGTCACGAAATACACGGGCATCACGGCACTTGCTGCAAAACACGTTTGGCTTGGGGAAGGACCATTAGAAAACTTTTGGAGGAGGGGGGAGGGAGGTGAAGAACAAAAAAATTATTCACGCAAGGGAAATTGAATTTAAAAAATTCATGCACGCCAAATAACCTTAAAAATATTCCGGTAAAGGCCTAAGAAAAATCATACAAGAAAAATGTTTTCGAAAAAAAATATTCATGCGGCTCAAAAATTCCCCACCCTTTCCATAACGTTTCTAATGGTCCGTCCCTTAGGCCGGTAAAACGCGCAACATGTACAGATTTTGTTGTACAAAGTGGAACTACTCTCTACTTTCAACAACAACTTTTCGCAACCTACAATAACCTGATTTGTTACAAGACAAGTTTGATGGTGGGTGGTAAAACGCCCAACATCGTCATTCAACTCGTTTGGCAAAATAAGTTACACGTTTTCTTTCCCGTTTTACTGTACCTTAAAACAAACTTATTTGGCAGAAAGTGACGTGGCGAGACTCGTCTGCCGCCTAAATTTTATCCAGTCATTCATGAGTATTCACGCAACTTGCCGCCAAGTTGTTGCAAGACAATTTTGAACATCGGTGATACAGTATAACGCTTAAACATCGCTTTTCAATTCATTCTACAAGTCGCACTTTTTTGTTGCCAGTTTTATTTACACTGTAACTTCAATCAAGTAAAAGTTTAAAGAGAGTACAGTACAGTTGTCAAAATTACCACATTCTACATCATTCTTGCACCCAAGCAATTCTATATTTGATCTTCGGAGTAAACTGAGTCACATTTCGTTTAATGGGCGTGTTGTATTCAGTCGTGACTTTTCTCACTTTAAAATTAAAGCAGAGTGACTAGCTATTTTCACTGACCTTTGAAGAAAAAATGACCATATTAAGGCGCTGACTCTTCTACGGATGCCTCTCAAAGGCAAGGTCAAGTATTAAACAAAAAAAATGTGATTTACGTCTTCCCAAAAGAAAACCATGCCATTCCAAGAGAGCCTTAAAGCGTTTAACTTCTTCTCCAAAGTAAAGTAAGACTCTTTTAGTGCTTTTCAAAACGTTTGCACACATACAAAAATACTATTTAAAGTGCCAGTCCAACGATATAGCAATATACCTTCGATCAGTTTATCTTCATCTTGAAAAGTTGTGGTAAAATTAAGGCCAACAAGCGGACCACTGGATTTTGATTCAGGAGAAAACTGCTGTTGAGGGTTTCTTTGAAGATTTCTGACAAAACAAAATGTTTAAGATGATAAATACCTCAAAACACAAATCTGCTGATGTAAACCATGAACGGTTGCGAAGGAATAATGCCTTAAGGGAATCATGACCTAATGCTAAATCCTCCCTTTAATCCACATTCTTTTTTTCCCCACACATTCCTTCAAGATGTTCGGGATGTGTTCACCTTGCTTGACATCTGCACATCATATCCAAATAGTTAAAACTTCAGCCCAGCAAAAAGTACACCGAAAAAGAAAATTTTTTCAGTCAGTCACACAGGCGGTAGGGAGGAAAAAGTTCGAGTTACCCCAAATGGAATCGAGCCCCTATGACCTTCTAGTTACTAGTCCAGATGCTGCAAAAGTAGAACATTTCTAGCTAAACGTGTCTTACTTCTTGTATTGTCTCCTCAAGAATTCATCTCCAGTATAAAAAGCAACAGCTGCTACAGAATTCACGGATGCACGGCATTTAATGGCATCCCTCTCCAGGGGCTGATACTCGATCAGTATAGTCTACGAATGGCAAAGAGGCTACCGTTAGCACAGTTGTGTATCACAGGAAAAAGAATAAAACAATTCCTGCAAAACGTTCTTTGCCACTAATTTAAACTTTTCTGTATTTGTATTTTCTCTAAAACAGAGCAAGCAAAAGGAAGACCCTCTATGTAATGGTTCTTTTTTTTAAATTAAGATCTCATCCAACAATTTAAAGCCAGAGAAATTAGGTGTAAAATTCTACGAAGGTGGACCATAGCGTAAATGAATAGGTAGCAACGAGGACAGGAACCCACCGAGCCGGAAGTAAAGATTCAAGTGTGAGGATTGGGATTTAGTGCACGAAACCTTAACTCGACCAAACCACTCCAGCACAAAAGAGGACTTTAAGATCCGACGACGGCGACAGCAGCAACAACATCGCTGAACAACTGAATTCGCGGTTTTAAATCATCATTGCGATTATTCCAACTCGCTTACTTTTTCAAATGTAAGCGAACTCTCCTGGAGTTGAATTCCTAACAATCATTTCCAATTTCAGAGAGAGAAAGAAAATTTCCTCCTAGCTGGTTTACATCCTCAATAAAACGTAACATTGGGCAATTTAAAGTCGAAGTCGTGCAGTGACAGAAAAGGAGTGTACAAAAAAGCGTTAGGCACGTGCAAGGCTGTTGTTTTGCTTGCCGTCGCCGTTGTCAGATCTTAAGGTCGTCCCTAATGTTCGATGCGTGTGAACGATGTGTTTTTGTCCTGAGGCATTACTGTTCTTAACTCAACGCGAAAAGCTATACGCAAATACAGACCCATATTTTAGCACTCAACCAATTTTTTACCTCACACTGAAGTAGAAAGCTTAAGCAGCAACGACAGCGACGGGTGCAAAAACGTACAGGTACAGTTGCGCTGCTTCAAACTTTATCGCGCTTATTCCATCTCGTTCAGTTCGTCAAATGTTGGCAATTTTTTCGGGAATTGAATTCTTAAAGACTGTATCGAGGATCAGGAAAAGAAAAAGAAAGTCTGTTCCCGCATTCCATAAAACGTGAAATTAGGCATGTTCACGTCGCAGTCGTGCTGTGACTGCAGAGAAATGTACAAAAAAGCGTGATGCAGTGCAAAGTTGTTGTTTTGCCAATCTAAACTTATTGCTTTTTTTGCCATTCTTGTTGACGTCGCCGTTGTCGTCGCTTAAGCTCCCTAATAGTAAAAATGAAACCAACCTTTGATGTTCTCTCAGAAAGGATAAAGTTGTTTGGATGCACAGTCAAATGTGTGGATGGATACTGTTGAAGTGAATGGACATCTACGAGGAAGAGTTGAAAACTATTATAGTAAGTAAGGCTGTCAAGATTCTATAGGATACATTTGTTTTCACACATAACTTCACTGTCAGCAGGCACATTTTTGCCCCCGGGGATAAAAATGTGATTCGTTCTGTACATACGGGCTCACCAAAGGTATAGAAAATTATTGTTCACTTAAAATCCTTGTTAGGCATAGGTCTTGTCACTGTCAGTTCAGGAGAGGAGCTGCTTCTTAAATGGTTACAGTCACTAACCTGGACACAAAGCTACAGATGGTAAAACGACAAATTTCTTCCCATAATGACCTAAGATAGATTAAGATCATCTGACTTGTAAACTAAAAAATAAATGAAAAGAAACAAAATTCCCCCAAAAATGATCAGTACCTGAGTAACACACAGCCTTCACAAAAGCAGCCCTGGTACCAGAATTTCGCAATCTAACTTTGATAGGATTCTTTCTTCCAAGTGAAACCTGGTGTCAGAAAAAAATCTCGGTTATTTACACATTTTATAGCATGAAAATTATGTTTTGTTCTTACAAAAGGACAAGTTACTCTGCCTACATTACAAATGAAAAGTGTTAAAATAGTCTTTGTTACACTAATGCAAGACGAATGAAATCGTGTTTACTACATGGATTATATTTCAATCAGTGATGAAAAGAGTACTTCACAACATGCAATATCAAACCAAAACAGTTCTTGAAATGCACAGACACAATAGTAGCCTGCAGAACAGGGGCTATTTTTTCACATTTTTCAGGCGCAGTGGGCGAGGAGCGCGTGCATAGGTCACGTCGTGCTTCCTTTTGCTCACCTGAAAAAACAAAAAAACGCGAAAAGATAACGCCTGTTCTACAGGCTAATTTGATAGCAAATTTGCAAAGTGAGAAAAATGCCCTGCAACCTGGCAAAAAATTACTTGTCTGATATGACATTAGGAGCATCCAAGAATCCTCGTGAGGATCCTAACCATTCCCCTTAATACTGTCAACAGCATCACCACCATTACCCCCACCACTATCATCATCATCTACAAATAGTTAATAGTTGACCCCACCCCAGGAACTGAGTTGTTCTTTTAAGCGTTACCTCTCCGATATTGATGATATATCCCTCGCTGAGTTGCCTTACATCAACCAACACTAACTGACTTGTACCTCCACAACCATAGAGTGGAATCTAACAGGAAAAAAAAAAGGTATAACAGACATCACGTCTCACGCTCAAATCAATATCATTCATGGTTAAATAGTTTGACCAAAAACATTATCTTTTGTATTAGAAATATTGCTTTCATTTCACAAGCTAAAATGTTACACTGAATTACCTTAGAGCTTGCCCTTCCTGTCAGTGACTTGATAACAAGAGAGCTAGAAATGAGGCCCATTGATGAAGGAGAAAAACTAACATGCACTGGAAGTTCTTTCTGTTGATATAAAACAACCACATAAAACATTTGCTCAATTTTAGCAGAGAATCCATCCTTACATCTTACAAATACATCCTTAACATTAACAGTAAAAACAATAACGTTATTAACAGACCTTAGGTTCAAGAGTAGATTGGTGGCGTTCTGGACTTCCACTATGGGAACTAAATGTCGGTTGAATCTGCCAAATTAAACAATAATCATTTTTAAGAGTAAGAGATGTTAAGTTAAGGGGAATAAATTAACAGTTTTGAGCAAAAGATTATGGTATTTACATTTCGGTGTATAAGATGAACTTCAGATTTACCTGGTCCCAGTTGTTCAAACATTGAATACCCAGTGAATAAGTATTAGGGAAACCAATTGCGTTATCCACTAGATAGAGGTTTATCCAGTGGATAGCTTTATCCACTTTTTAGACAACTGAGGCCTGGATAGTGTTAAACAGCGTATTACAAAAACAATCCAAACCTGAAAGTCTGAGTGATTTCCCTCAATTGTTAGCTGGAGTTTCACTGGAGAAGTAGAACTTGTTTTCAAAACAACTTTCTGTGTCCTGGTAAAAGTAATAAGTTAGTTATACATAGAACACAGAACTTTACTTTCAAAACCAACTCACTTATGTTGTTACAAACTCCTCTCTTAAAACTTCTTATTTTTGTTATATGAGGAAGTACATCAGACCTCCAGATTCTCAACTTTTTACGTAGACCTACTCGCAAAATCTAGTAATGCTGCTGGGTAAAGTGCAGTATAAATTAGTAGCCTTGTAAGGTTTGAGAGTCATCAATCGGCGACAAAATTGTTGAGACATTGTACTTAAATAGGGTAATTTCGGAGAATAAAAGAATGCGCACCCCTCCCCCGTCCCCTCCATTCAAAGTTGGGGTGTTTGTTGTTTTCTATAGGCAGCTAGAACAAGGGCACAACATTGCAAGGAAGGGATGGGGGAGGAAAGCTGTATTTCCTCCTTTTGAAGTTAATAAAACGTAAAAAAGCCCAGTTTTGGGCGAAATGTCTCAACTCATTTTGTCGCCGATTGTCTGAATCGAAATCTACGCGCTGTCGTCTTATTAGCACCGGTTAGGAGACGGTAACTAGTTGAGATTACTATATACACCGGGTCGTTTTTCAGAAGATAGATAAGATACTCATATAATCCCTTTCCTGTGTTTTTCGAGGGAAAATTAGTTTTGACAATCTTTGTACTCGGTAGAGTTTTCAAGTAATTACGTAGCATAGCCACGTATCGAATGATTGATTTTCCTCTGTTAACTAAGTGTGATTGGTAGGAATCGATGGCAGGTAATATATTGTATCTGAATATATCCCTAGTAAGTTCGAAGTGTTTATTCGAAGTTTGGCTATTTGATAAGGGTGGGATGGACGATAAAATAGCCATGATTGCTATGCGCAGGAGAATTTTCAGGAAAAATGTTCCAACTTCTAACGCACGGCACAGCTGCATAGCATCGCTAAATCTTTGCCGCAGATTCGTTGCCCATATACCCATAAGGGTCTTTGAAGAATGTACTTTACAGTAGAAACTATGAGGTCAGGAGGGGACTGGCCACGAGTAACCAACTTTGTTCTTAAAAGATAATCAGATTATTTTATTTTATACTCATCGTGGTTACTCGTGGAAATTCCTCCTAAAGAGCAATTTTAGCCATTATAACTACTTTAATGCCTAGAAATCTATTAAGTTTCCTATCCTTTTCACTTTGTTCTTTGTTTCGATGCGTTTCGATAAAAGAGAGAATAAGAAATCGTGCGCGACGCGCCACATTGCATGATGTCAAGGCATGGTTAAGCGTGACACGTAATGTCACGCACTGAAAATAACGAAATCGCCTTATTCTAATTGTTCTAAAATAGGTATGATGACGTCGAACACAACAAATAAAAAGCCACCAGGGGACTTACATCCCAGCATAAAGAAATGAATTCAATTACCTTTCTAAAGGACGTATGGCCACTTTTGAGATTCAGACAGTCGGCGACAAAATTGTTGAGACATTGTACTTAAATAGGGTAATTTCGGACAATAAAAGAATCCGCATCCCTCCCCCGTCGCCTGCATTCAAAGTTGGGGTGTTTGTTGTTTTCTATAGGCAGCTAGAACAAGGGCACAACATTGCAAGGAGGGGATGGGGGAGGAAAGCTATATTTCCTCCTTTTGAAGTTAATAAAACGTAAAAAAAAGCCCAGTTTTGGGCGAAGTGTCTCAACTCATTTTGTCGCCGATTGATGATACTGGTCCTTAAAGCTGCGATATTTTTAAGTCAAACAGATTTTTGTATAGAGGGGGTCACAAAGTTACCCCAAAGTGTGGAGGACATGAAATTTGCCAGCCATCTGACCCCTGTAGGGCCTCATCCGCATTTTATCAAAGCGTGACATGATGGCTGATCAAAACGCCAAAAACCAGAGATGCGCAGCGAAGGGACGATTTACAAGAAAACTCTCAGAGTTAACGAAGTCAATCGAGGAGGACCAAGGATCAGAAATAGTGAGAGTGAACTTCTAGGAGCTAAACGAGGCGTGGAGAAATGGGGAAGCCAAGCACGACACGTAAACAACATTTTTAATGGATAGCGAAATAGAAGAAAGCGAAGCGTGGATAGCAGAGTTGAACAATTCATTTAGTGAAGCCATGGAGAGATGAGTACATCGGCTTGAAAGCAGCCATGGCGATCGTAGAGAAACAGGTAGTCGGTCAGCAAGAGGCGGCTAAAAGAGACTACGAAAAAACTCAAAAATTAATTGATCAAGCTTTCATAGAACGAGACACAGAGGAAGCAGTTTTTAGAGCGCAGTCAGAGGACGCCTTTAAATTGGATTTCAATTGGGCAGAGACGATACAATCAAGTTGTGGACAGGACCGAATCAGTTATTGCCAGTCAGATAAAGGTAGAAGTGTGTGTTCAGAATCTCGAAGCGAAAACTACTAACATTCACCTTGAAAAATAAAGATGTCCTGGTTTAGCGGAGAGAATACCCGAGATTTAGAAAAGACTTTGAAGTTCAAGTTATGGCAAGTTTAAACAGCAGCACTGCGCATTATAGTTTGCGTTCCTGCCTCTGCGAGGGGCCACTGGGGGTCGTGAAGGGGGTCGACAATGACGTTGATGAAATGTGGCAACGCTTGGACAAGAAGTGTGGTGATCCATACAACGAGTTAAAGCCATCAAAGAGGGGGAAGATAAGAGATTCGTGGAGCTTGTCGATGTATTGGAAGTGGTTATGAAGACCTGTTGAGGCTCGGACTGGAGAAGGAGACAACAACCACAAACTCCGTAAGGCTACAAGCTGATGTTAGAAGAGAGTGGGCGAGGCTGGTCAGCTTTGACTCGAGTAGCGTCGATAAGAAAAACAAGTTTCCGGGCCTCTCAAGTTTCTGCTTAACCAGAAAAGGGCAATCGAATATGATTTATCAGATCTGCGAGCACCTGGAAGTCTTGGAAGTCAAGCGAGCCAACAGTCGGTTCATTGTGCTGATGCAGTGGCTGAAGAACTCAAAGAAAACAAGCAGCAGCCTTTCGAAAGCAAGAGTAACCGTGCGCGCCTGTTTCACAATTATGCCAGTCACGGAACTGATGAATGCCAATTATAGCTATCCAAGACTTGTGGTGAGTGAATAGACAAAAAAAATCACATGCTTAGAGAGAAGGGTGCATACTGGTCCTCTTTGAAGATTGGGCATCGTCAGCGTGATTACAGAAGCAGGAAAGATTGTGGTGAAAACATTACACGAGGAGAATCGGGAAGCCAGCGTGTTTGTACAGCAAGTTCTTACGGCGATCCTTTGAGCGACAAATGTCTTCTTCTACTTCAACGAATTAGAACAAGAAGAGGCTAGGCCAATGTTATCTGGAACAATGCAGCATCATTAAGTTTCATCACCAACAGCAAGGCTAAAGTGGAAATATTACACGGCACGAGAGTAGAAATATCTTTCGTCAAAGTTGGAGGCGCGAGTGAAACAATTATGTCCAACAGATACCTTCTTCCGCTGATCGACTCTCAGGGGCAAGTCGTACCGTTCGAAGTTTCTGGTATCGATGTAATAACGGCGGACATTCAAAGTGTGAACGTCAATAACGTAGTTCATCGTTTCAAGGACGTTATGTTCGACAGGTGGAGTGGGCGTACTTATAGGATATGGACACCCTGGATACCACCCCGTGCCAGAACAGATGTCAGGTCATTTACTGTTGCTGACAACTGATTTGGAAGATGTCTCGGCGGCCCTAACACGGACTTAATGGATGCAAATCACGCGATGCAGAATGCTCTCATAAGCCAAAGTAGAGATTGAAGACTTCTATAATACTGAGAACGTAAGGGTGGAGTGTACGCCTCGCTGTGGGGGTTGTAAATGTGGAAAATATCCGCCCGGCGCGAAGAAGTACAGTCTAACGGAAAAGAAAGAGCCACAGTTGATTGAGAGAAATCTGAAGTTCAATAGCCTTGAACGAAGAGGGATGACTCCGTATCCATGGATAAGAGACCCGGCTGATCTTCCAGATAGAAATAGAAGAAATAGAAACTTACGTTACACAGAGGGTCTCATTTGGCGATAGTGCGTCAGGAACCATCACCACAGTAGCATTGAGAAAAACGGCCGAAATGGAGCACGTGAAGTACCCTCAAGAGGGCAAAATCATTAAAGACAACACCTACATGGACGACATCATTGAGAGCGTTGGTGATAGGAAGAGAGCCGAAAGCGTAACACAGAACATAGAGAAGCTGGTTGACATAGGAGGATTCAAGATTAAATGCTGGACCAACTCGGGCAACTCTGACATCCAAAATGAGAAGGAGATACTCAGTGAGACGTCTGCACCCGCAGAAAAAGTCTTAGGAGTTTGTTGGAGACCAGTTAATGATCAGTTTTGCTCCAAGGTGACGTTGAATTTCTCCGGACGAAAGAGGAAGCGGCTAGCCTGTGAACAGGCTAGGAAGCATCATACCGAACCAGACATAGAATCCCATCAACTAACAGAGAGGTTTCCTTCGAAGTTGACAAAGTGAATGATTCTCTCCCAGATCAACAGCATCTACGATCCACTTGGATTGGCAGGTCCATTCACCGTTAGAGCAAAAATCATGAAGAGAAAGCAATGGGTGTGTGGACCAGAGCGGCTTGATTGGGACGATCTAGTGTCAGACGAATGCAGAGCAGACTGGAATACACTCTTTTCAGATTTATTTGGTATGAACAAGATCAAGTTGGCGACCCAATGCTGGTGATCGTCAGTGACGGTGCGAGTGCGTACGTCCGATGGGCAGTGATCAGCGGGGGGTTTGAAAGCAGATAAGTCATCTCTAAGAACTGACTCGCGCCAGTTAAGAAAATGTCCATTGACCGGACTGAATTGCGCGGAGCCGTGCTGCGCAAGCGAATTAAAGAACTGCTGGAGAGAGAGTTGCGATATCAATTTACGGGGTGCTTCCACCTTGTTGACCCAAAGATAGTACACGCTATGGCCCAAAAGGAATCTTATGGGTTTAACACGTTTGCTGCTACACGTATTGTAGAGATTCAAAGCGGTACTAATCCCAAAGACTGGTGCTGGGTAGCTAGCAAGCAGAACATAGTCCACCAGCTCACTCGGGGCAAGAAACCAAACAAAATCGAGTTAAACAGCGCGTGGCAAAAGGGTCCTGATTTCTTGAAGTTGCCAGAGTCTGAGTGGCCAATTAATAGTGTGTACCTTACAAGACCTTCCACAGGAGCCTAAGGTAATAATGATACCTAACACTAAACCCAAAGACTCCCTAGCAGTCATGATTGACATAAGTAGATATTTGGGTTATACAGGGCTGGTAGGGCTAACGGCTAGAGTACTTACTATGTTCCGAACCGAAATGCGGCGAGAGTCCTTGAGCCAGTGGAAGTAGCCAAAGCGGAGCGATTTTGGATGCTGCAAGCCCAAGAACCTATGACACGAGACATGAAGCGTGGACAGTTCAGACGCCTGTGTCCAAGAGGTCGAGAGGAAGAGATAATTGTAGTAGGCGGACGCGCAGTAACCTAAGTCAATTAGATACAGCTGTGTAACTCGCAAGAAGCTGAACAAGATGACTACGACGCAACTGACGGGACGGCTTCCCCGAGGAAGGCTTAAGCCAGCACCCGCATGGAATTGTGTGGCAGTTGATTTATTTGGCCCCTACTGGATCAGAGGTGAAGTCCAGAAGCGAATCACAGGCAAAGCGTATGACGTCATCTTTAACTGCCTTGGCAAATTTAATTCGTACTTTGTTTTATTCACCTGTTTTGAAATTTATTTATTTATTCACTGTCTTGTTAATGCAATATGTTGACGTTCATGCATCTCTTTTTCATTTTTTTGTTTCAACCCTATTATTGTAAATTTTTTTACTTGTCCTTCCGGCCTCCATAAGCTAGTCCATTTTGCGGGCAAGGATCAATAATGATATTAGTAAACTCCAACTAGTGGTCTATCATCAATGCTGCGTTCTGATTGGTTGAGCTACTACTAGGCTATATGTTATAGCCCACTAGTAGCGAAAAGCACCGGCTCTTTGGCGGCAAAAAAGGATTTAAGTCTAACTTTATCTAGCTAAAGTTGTTTTGTCTCGATATTTTTTGACCAACTAGTTGGATTTTACTAAAACAATTATTCCTCTCGCCCTCATGGGCTCTGAGTCAACAGCCCATTCGGGCTCGAGGAATAATTGTTAAGTATCCAAAGTGCTTTACTAAACTTGAAATTGAACTTGTTCTTTATTGCATAAGCGTGCTTTAATGGCTGTAAGTGTAAGTGTGATGCTGATCAAGTTTGCACTTAGTCAAGCAAATGAATTACTATCCATCAATGACTTATCAATCAAAAAAACTTAAAAAGCTAAATATATAACATAACAGAGTATTGCATCGCTCAGTTGAATAAGCGCCGTCTGCCAAGCGGGAAAGTCAAGGGTTCAAACACTGCTGGTTGGACCAGCAACTAGGGTCTCAGACAAAATGGCAAGATCACCCCTGCTGTATAAGATCTTGGCTCAGTTTAGATGATTGCGTTATTTGGTGGTGACGCTAAGCCATTGGTCTTGTTTTCTTTACCCTTAAGGGGACGAAAACGAACCGACACCGCCATGGTGTGGTCTAACTTAACTTAACTTTATTACATATCACACACTCGAGAAAAATGCATGAGAACAATCAAAGCCGGGGCTTAAATGGCCTAAGGTCAGCAGAAAAACGTGACGAAGTTGCATGAATAAAAGAAGGCTTTAACTAAAGTAATTACAATAGTAATCAAAAGAAGGAAAAAGTAGTCAGAGAACTTACAACTGAAATACAATGCTTCACAATTATGACTACTAAATTTACAAACACTCGATAATAAGCATTCCTATAAACCATACAAATACAAATACACCTAGTACAGTCCCACAAGGTATACAATTGGTGACAAGAGACTTGACTAAACTATAAAATTAAGGGAAATAAATTCTATAGCCCTTCAACAATTGTTAGCATTAAACCAATAAGAAACATGAGAGAGCTCTACATTAAGAATAGTTGCTAAGGTAGCCACGTCATTATGACGAAGAAAGTTATTTGTATCATCAGCAAAGAGAATGACTGACAAGAGGTTTTAGACATAAAAAAGATCATTGATGTATAAAAGAAAAAGTAGAGGTAAACTGAACCCTGAGGAAACCCACATACAACCGTATTATATGCAGAGGTATGGTCATGAACTATGACACACTGCTGTCTGTGAGACAAATAGCTAGTATGCCAGGTTAGCGGAATACCTCTACTACCATAAAAGTTTATTTTATCCAGAAGTATTTCAAGGTTGACTGTATCAACCGTTTTCTTAAGATCTATGAAGACTCCGACAGTGTACTGATTGTTTTCAAAACCTTCATATATATTGTTGACAAGTTCTAAGATAGCCGTAGCAGTAGAGTGATGTGGTCTAAAGCCATACTGATGATGATTACGGATATTAAACTTTGGAGAAATCTTGATAGCCGGAGGTAAAAAAGTTTCTCAAAGACCTTAGAAAGACAGGGGAGACTAGAAATAGGCCGACAGTTTGAGAACAAAGAAGGGTCACACTTTTAAAAACTGGAAGAATCTTTGCAAATTTGAGTTTATCAGGAAAGACACTATGCTCAAATGACAGATTACAGATATGAGAGAAAGGAGCAGCTCGTAAATCAATTGTTTCTTTGATGGGAGACATAGAAAGACCATCAACACCCTCACATTTGCTATTTTTTTAGAGAATGGACAATAGCAGCAACCTGCGTTATTGACTAGAAATAAAATGGTAGTCTGGAAAATAGAATAGACCAGAATTAGCCCTATGCAACCATGTTTCAAAAACAGCAATAACGGACAAAGACCTGTTCAATGTAAGAAGAAGTGCTGATAAGTCCTCAAAGTGTTTTGGTACACTACGGATATTAATATGAAGTGAGGAGAATGTATCAGAAGGAAGTGATGGCATTTTATTAAATTCCGCAGAGGTTAGATAGAGGCAGTTTGAAAGTAATTGTGAATTTGCTACGAAAAAGTTAGGACCAGTTATTTAAACGGAGTTTGGACAGCGTTTAACGAAAGCGTGTTCTAAGCCGCTTTCAATTTGCCGCATGCTTTTATGTAGGCACCATTTATCGTGAACAGTTTCATAAAAGCATATAGTGTAGACTAGAAAAAACATTTGCCTTCTTAAAATAACCTACTATTAAAGGAAGAGATCTAGATGTCCAAAGATTTCCTAAACCGTGGTCTAAGTTAGACTTCGTTCAAATAACCGACCCTTAGTGTCTGAATCAAGGTTGGAATTCATTAACAAATGAGAGGTCTCAGGGTCGTCAAAAAAGGGACTACATATCTTCTGTTTAAGTAGTTCAGCATCAAAATTACCTTGCAAATTGAAATCATACAATGCAAAGAAGAAATCAATATCATTGTCAAAATTATTAAATGAAAAAATACTGGTAAGACATGTTGAACAGTACCAGTCGTCATTCGACTTACAGATAGCAATGTATTCTAGACTAGTAGAAAATACTCTAAGATATGGTCAGAGTGAAAAACAAAAAGATCATCTTTGTCCACTGACGCTGGAGGTTTCCAATAAACATTAAAAATAAAAAGGGTCTACGATCATTTTGTAACCTTATACACTGTTACACCGCTATTTAAAGTACTTACTGAGACCATCCAAGTGCCACTCCACTCCAACAGAGAACAGGCTTACTACTCAACAGAGTAAACCTAACAAAGAATGAATAAAATCAATCAATCAATTTCACTGAACAGTAATGCACAAGACCTGCTAGTAACATAAGCTCCCTCTTGTGGATGGATAGAGGATCTGAAGCCACTGTCTCACTCCTCTAAACACGGGTATTCCAGCCGTCATGCCAATAGACATGCTCAATGTATTGTACATAAATATCTGTCATGTTTACAATGACATTATCTCTAACCCTTGAAGTGACAACTGGAAAAAGACAGCATTAGATTTAAAAAATATCAAAGAAGATTTTTGTTGTCTTACAGTTAGTGAAAAATCAAGCATAGCGAAAGGTATCATGTCAAAAACTGGAGCTAGTGCTCCATCATTGGTAGTACAACAATGTTTGGTATTCTTTGGTACAGTTGAACCTCTGATAACAACCACCTCTCTTTTTCGTCCCGGCGGACAAAAAATCCATGCATTGACTCTTGTTTAAAACCTCTTTACAACGGTCACGTTCTCCTGTCCCCATGGTGGCCGTTGTAGAGAGGATTAACTGTATATTGTCTTCATACGCACATTGTCGCGCACAAAAGGAACCAAATACAGCGAGCATATCTTACTTGTCTTCTTCCTTAGGTGTAGCTGATCCTTTAACTACTAGTTCATATACAGGACCATTTGGCACTGCAAGGACCACTAAGCTGCACATACAAAAAGATATAAGCTTTTTTATTAGATTTTCATCGGTTTGCCAGGCAGAGGTTTAGTTTTATTGTTCTTGTGTGTAGGGGTTACATTAAAACAAAGCTTCTGTACGGAGTTTAACGTTTTTATGGGTGCACTAAAAATTGCAAAGTCTGACACTAGGGGTGCGGTAGGAACTTTTATCCTCCATGAAGAGAGTTCGGAAATATTACACAACAAGACAACTCTATCTGAAGTCAAGACCAATACCACCAGATAGTTAGGTTAGGTGTTAAGAATCATTCAGCAATGATTAATATCAGCATTTTTAACATGTGAGTTCACATAATTATTACAAACAATAACTAACCTCTGCACTTGTTTATTTGCTTCAGCTGGCTGGTATGTGACTTGTACCTCTGATTCCTACAATAATAGCAACACATCCATTCAAGGATGAACATCAAAACTTGGAGCAATTTAAAATACCAGGGCAATTTTCAAATACTGTCATCTTCTGTAGACCCCTGCAGGACAGAGACAGACACCTCCCTCAGGCAAACACAAGACATGCCCTAGTCCTGATTAAACTATACTGTTTTGTTTTAAAAGCATGGGACACTTCTCCCTCGTCCCCACTCCCCTTTCAGGAGAATATTTCTGCTTGTGTCTTGTAAGATGTCTCGTCATCCCCCAAAAAACTGTCATCGTCTGTTATGAAAACCTACAGGACAGACACCACCCTAAGACAGACATAATACATGACCTTGCCCTAGGTGTACCGTAGTGTTTCGTTTTAAAAGCTGAGGACATATCTTCCACTTTGTCTCCAATCTCTTTTCCGGGAATATTCGTGCTAGTAAGTTGCAAGATGTCTCGACATTCCTCCATTGTACTCCACTTTGTATTTAGTTAAGTTTTCTAAAGGCCCTAAAGAAGCCTGTGGAATCAGCAGACACTAATCTACACTAGCATGGACAAGAAGAACTGATTAAATTTCAGGGAGATTTAGCTGGATGACATAAATCGTACAAAGCGCTTTGCAAACAAGAAGGTAACGAGAAAGCATATCGGGGCAATATCCTGACAGTATTATCTTGTAGGGACACAAGGTCATCGTTTCTGAGGATAAATAAACTACTGGGTTTCACAATTGTATCAACACGTCATTGATGACAAAAAGACAAATCATGTCATTATGTTTACTTACCTTGGGGAGATAGCAACTGACAACAGTAAAGAAACATTGGAAAGATACAAACACCTATGGTAATTAAGAATATTCACTACTTCCCCTTACCTCTTCTGGTTTAAGATGCAGATGATCCGGTTTAACAGAGAATTGCTGAGTATCTCCTTCGATCTTTAGTTTCACTCGTGCTGTGATGTTCCCTGCGTTCTTGACTGGTATTGTACAACTTGCAGGTTTACCAACCGAACTTTTCAAAGTCAGTACCTACAATGACAAACCCAGTGGTAAAAGGTTATAATTAAATTTTGCGTTGACTTAGTTAAACTGCTTGAATTAAGCAACAGGCAAGAGGTGACACAAGTACAATGAAAGGAGCATTCCTTTTGCTAGAGGAGGGGGAAATTGTTTCAAAGTTCTTGAACTCAAAAAACACTCTTCCGCTTACGTACATGGAAAAACGAATGTACAATTGTCCATGACACAGCGTGATACCAGAGATCTGTTGATTGGATTGTCTATCATAGTAATATTTCAGACTTTCGAAAAAGTTTTTTACCTTAAAAACAATATGGCTAGTGGGACAAAATAGCCTTCTACGCCTCGTAATCTGATCAAGCGTGTTTTGACCAGCTGTCAAAAACGTATGCAACTCACAGCGTTGGAGCAAAAGCATTTTGACTGCCGATTGTTGTTGCCCGCACTCCGTAACTTTTGGTTATCGCTAGCCTACTTAATCTAATACCCACTAGCAGTTCCACCAGAGCAAAAAGTACGTTACCAAAAGGGTATTACTGTTTTACACGTACCTGTAGCTTATGAGGTGTGTGCAGTCTTACCACTCCTTCAATGGCCTTCAGAGCTACACTGCTGATGGTAGGACCTATGATTTAATAATTGTTATTAATACAGAGTAAGTAAGAGTGATTTTTTAAATTAAAGCACCATAAATTCTTCAGCAACAAGTTACCTAACTGAACTAACTCAGGGTTTGCACCCTTTTAAACAACAACAGTCTTCCAGGACTTTTGCAGAACTCACGTTGTTGGAGTTTTCGATATATTACTCTATTAGTAAAATCCAACTAGTGGTGTATTATCAATGCTGCGTTCCGATTGGTTGAGCTACTACTAGGCTATATGTTATAGCCCACTAGTAGCGAAAAGCGCGGGCTTTTTGGCGGCAAAAAGGGATTAAAGTCTAGCTTTAACTGGCTAAAATTTTTTCATTCTCGATATTTTTGACCAACTAGTTGGATTTTACTAAAATAATTATTCCTCTCGCCCTCATGACCTCTGAGTCAATAGCCCATTCGGCCTTCGGCTTCATGGGCTATTGACTCAGAGCCCATTCGGGCTCGAGGAATAATTGTTAATTACTCGATAAAAATTTTTTCAGAATTGCAAGTTCAAGCATCGCAATCATTCTAATAGACATATCTTCGAACTCCTCAAGCAATAAAAAGAACATTTTCTGTACAATATAAGCTAATTTAACACAAAGCTGTAATGATCATATGGACAAACATCTAACCACCACAAAAAGCTCTGTAAAATCGTCATGAAAGATATTTCTAAAAAAATAACATTGGCCTATAATGTATCTCCCATTTAATTAACCACTAATAATTTTTCAGTGATTTTAGAATACACCTTAAATTTTATAAGGATGCTCTCAGAAAAAAGACAAATTTTAAAGATCATTAGTGTCGTCTTCGCATGATTTTGTTTGATTTCAAACCAACCTTGACGAGCACTGTCAATTTCCACATCAAGGCGTGCAATGTATTCTTCTGGTGGTCCAGCTGAGGAGGAACCTGTATTTCAACAAAATTACAACAATAAAACCAGTTGCATTTATGAAACTCCCATAATCTTAAGAGTGACTCCTTTTAATGCAGTACGTAGCAGGCCGTAAAATCTACATTTACAGCAGACAGTGCACTGTAATGCCTCGTGAGAAAGATAATCACATTCCATCCATTACGTTCCATGCTCTGCACGGTACTGCCATTTGGACCCCGAAATGTACCTGCTACATACCACTGCTCAGATCTGTTGCCACCTGTTACAATAGACACAAATGACCTCAAAACGAAGAGAAAAGCTTGAAATAGTATTCTGCTCAAAATATAACAAGAGTCAAAACTGGTATATTCGTCAACTTACTATTTAGTCCTACTTTGGGGGACTGAAAAAGAAGCAGCACAACTGTTGGCTCTGGCTTGGATGTCTGTAAAAGAAAGCAATATTATTAGTAAGTTTAAGCAACCAGAACTCTGATCCTTCTTTTATCAAAAATAAAAACCAGGTCTGACTCAGTAACGTCATACTACAGGAGTAAAAGAAGTTTTCAAACTTTTCTGTGAATTTTTTGTCAGAGAAATGCCCTTCATCAAGCGGTTAACCAAACTTCTAGTTGAAATTATGATGTCTGCGATGCCAGTGTTCTTGTTGTGATAATTATAGCAACAAAATCACCAAGTGAATGTTAACACACACAAAAAGTATATAAACAAAACAACCCAACACTGTTTCATATGCTGTTACGTCAACCTGCAAATTTTTAAACTGACAAGTTGCTTTCAGCACACTAGACTAACCATTGGATACAAGTATAAAAGCACCATGCATGATGTTTTTTTTTTAGTGGAAAGGAAATCTCTTTTGTCTTTGATAATTACAAGCAAACTGAGTTAAAGCTCTCACCACTTCTTGTCGCCCTTTCAGAGTCAGAGTATGAATTGTCAGTGCTGATCCCTTGACAGAAGCAAGATTTCTAACACCATCCTTTGGCGAAAAATCGGCATCCGCAAAACCAAAACAATGGAGTGAACTGCTATTCTGGTAACACAAATATAATTCATACAATTTTAATTACAGGACTTGTATGATGCCTCTAAGGTAAAGGAGAGGAGAGTGTTAGAAAACTATCAACTGAGTAACAGCAACCAAATTGTTACTCCTTTTGGGTTATACAACACACCCCCTTTATTTCACTGCCTCATACAATGGAAAGCTGGTTCGAATTAAGCCAAGAGTTGGCACACTTCAAAAGGGTAGTTATAAATACGAGAAAGAATGACGTTTAAAGACGTAAAAAAACCTCTAACTTTGTATGTGACTAACTGATTTGAAAGTCGCCTATCCAGTAGTCTGGGACAAATGATGTTTTTTTGCTGGACACGTAATTTTTTACGCTCACTTGCCCAACAAGCGGGGTCAAGAAAAGTCATCTTGTAAATAAGTCATTAACAAAAACAAGCAAGCAATGGCCCCAGGCAAGCAAAAAATACAAGACCTGTTCTTCCAAAGGACAAGCTGGATTTCAAGTTGTTTTTACGAGCTCTTAGTAGTAAAATGCATTTTAACACAACTTCACTAACTTACCGCTGATATGATAAGCCTGATGGGTACTTGCGCTCTCCCTCTATTGACTAAATGAATTGGTCGACACTGCTTTGCTCCCAATGAAACCTCACCAAAGTTTATAGAGTTTTCTTCTTCTAACAGTATCTATTTGCAGAACACAAGACCAATTAATAAAGATTTTATTTCTTCAAACATCATCGACTGCTTTTCGTATATTCACTGATCTTTCTTATAGCTCATTGACGGTTTACACTAGCAATAAAACTACTGCTTAAAGTCAGTTTTGTAAGTCCAGGTAGAGGTCATCACCTAAAAAGAGAGAAAGCAAATTAAGGTAACATGGCAGGGCTACTGGCAAAGAACCCATAATTTACATTTAGCTATGACTACTGCCCACACCCTTATTTATACCTCTACTCTAGGCTCTTCAGCTACAACTTCCAATGCCAAAACTGGTCCAAGACTATGTGTCACTGGCTGCATGTCACACACCACTGGGAAAGAGTAAATCTGCAGTTGCGCAGTGTATGTACCAGCTTCAGCTGGTTCGATGCTTATCTGAGAACAACGGAGGTAAAAAGCATGTACAGATAAGCATATCAGACATCTAGTTAATACAAAATAGGACAGTACAATTTTCACTCAAACTTCCAAGGGAAAACTAGTTTTCCTTCACAGGGGGCTCAAGTTAGCAAGGTTAAATATACTGAAAATTGAGCCCAACAAACATTATAATTTTAGTTACTATAGAGTTAGAATTAGCTGAGTTCAAACAAAGGGAATTGTACTGTATAAACTATTGAAGGTGCCAATTCAAAGTGAAGAGCTACAAGGATAAAACTGCTACATCTGCACACAATAGTTTACGGGTTGCTGCTAAAGATACCAAAACGAAATCTGATATTTACGAACATTCCAATTTTCGTTGTCACATGACCATAGATAATTACCCAGATAGCACACTACGTTAAAATAATGGACATAATATATCCATCATTTTAACGTAGTTATTCATTCTTCTATGGTGATATGCGTTCTCTATATAAAGATCAATTCACTGCTCCTAGGATAATGCATTTACTAACCAGTATCATACTATGAGTCCTGATGTACAACACATCAACATTGTTTATAGTTTTCTTAACCAATCTGTGAGGCCTGGTAGCAGCTATGTACTACTCCAATAAACCTTCCAATTCCATGCAGGGGTTTCAATAAAAATTGAGGTAGCCAGCAGGTTTGAATCGAGTAACCGACTGTATGAACAAGGGGCCGTTATTTCCCTTCCTTGAGGGTGGAAGCAGGAGACTGGGCGAGTTCTGCTCCAGAACATTTTGACATTTCAAAGCCCTAAAATGCGATTTTCAGCTTTCTGGGGACTAAATTTGAGGACAAAAGAGCGTGTTTTTCATTCAAGAAAATGCAGCTCTCAATTTATCAGTCACACAATCAATTCCCTCAAGCAATAAACAAATGATGAAAACTAAATTATGTACTTTAGCATGTAAACAAATTGTGCGTAACCCTATAAATAAACTTGTGAAAAAATGACTGACATATAGCGTTCACATGACTAAAGCATAACGTAAACCCAGTGGGCCTTTATGAAAACACATCGTAATTAAATTTTCATTCAGATTTTATGATATATTTTTCGTTTACAACGTTAATCAAACCAGTTGCTTCTTCTTTCCAGAAAAAAGTAGCCGACCTCTATGAGCAAAGCAGCCGGCGCGTTTCGTCGGCCATCGGTGCTTATTGAAAGCCCTGCCAAGTGTAAAAGGAATCAAAGTAAAATACTAACATTAATGAAATATTTGAAGAAATAGACATCGCAACTAACCCTGACATTTTCTGTAGTATGTGGAGCTATGATTGCTTTTGACTGGACAGAGAATGCACTTGCACTACTGGGTAACTAGAGGAAAAGAACACAAGAGAATAACACACGACAATGACAGTTTGCAAAAATAAAACACGTGTAATTAGCAGAAGGGTTAACAAAGGCGGATCTTATAGAGCACTTTCTCGAGTTGATAATCAGGCAGTTGTAAATGCTTCATAGGATTCGTAACTGTACATCAACGCCTTATGATACAGTTTTTCATTATCTTTGACAAACACGCTTCTCAATTTACCTACCTGCACACCATTCGCCGTAGACAAGATGAAGTGTATTTCACAATGCATCCACCGACTGCTACTGTTATGCAATGGAATAACTGACTCAGTCAAAACACCAACACAGCAAAATGGTGGGAATTTTATCTCTCCTGGAATAATTTCTTGAGTTGCTGCTGTCACTGCTCCTTGAGAAAAATTTGGTCTCACTTGCAGAAGACCATTAGGGACCTGTTGTGGTGGTGTATGTTGGTGCAGCATAGATGTTGAGACTCTTGGATGTGTAAATGAAGTTGGCAACTCTGAAATGTTTGACATATTGGTTTGCAGATGTAAGGGAATTTGCTGATTGGAGAAGTTTTGTGGAATTTCAACATTAAGGGACTGAACATAAGTTGGTGTTAGACTTGAAGGTTTTGGTCCCATTGATGCTGAAACAGTTTGCACAAATGGGACATGACCAGGAAGAGTATTCATGGTGCCAAGTCCTTGAGGTGGATACATGGCTGACGCCAGAGGGACCATCCCTGGGCCATATGTTGTGGGTGCTGTTCTTGACAATGGGCCATGCACCTGCATTCCGAAAGTTTTTGTACCAAACATCGGCCCAATCATGCCTGGTATTCCAACAGGACCATTTATGTTATGTGATGGAAAGATATGTGTTGCAGAACTGGGGTTGTCAAATGGTGCAATACCTTGAGCAAAACTAAGTGGAACACCTGTTTGAGCTAGTTGATGGTTTCCTAAATTTCCTGTGTGATGTCCATGCATAAATGCATTGGATTGCACTCCTCCACCTATATTGCCTGGTTGAACAGGTGCTCCAAAGTTACCTGGAGGAACTGCATAGTTCATGGATACATCCATTTTAGTTTTACTTTCAGATAGATGAGTCTTTCCGCCAACATGATCCACTTTTGAAAAATCCTTTTGCAATTGGTGATGGCGTGGAGAAGCTTCTGGCCAGGAATGTCTAGTGTTTGTAACATCCTGTGTCAGAACTGTGGTCAAGCTTCCAACAGCACTATCGGATGTCCCAAGAGGTGAAAAATGAGTATGAGATGTTGACAATTCATGGTTGGAGGGATGACGTTCTGATGGTAAAGGATGTTGAACGTTATCCTCAACAACAGAAGATTCCATGTTTTGAGGCAGAGAACGATTAAGTCGCTCCTCAATTTCATGCGTCCTGTGCTTTCTGGGATCAATCATATGGCTATTCTGTTGTTGATCAGCTTGCTTCTTGGCTCTTCGCACAGTGTATGTCTCACCAAATTGAGGAATAATGTGATGAAAGCTTCGAGTTTCAGGGGAAGGCATAGATTCCCGCTGGGAGGAAGCATCCTTGGAACCAAGCTCTTTAAGACTTAAAGGCACCATTGAAGTAGTAGCCTCGGATGGAAAAACACTATCATCAACTCCGTAGCTTGAAAGTCTATTTGGTGAGTCAGATAGCGTCTGTTCTTGACTTCCCTTCAAATTTACCTGACTGTATGTGATTCTCTCTGGCGATATTTGACGTTGTGGACTACTTGATGCCAAAGGGTTAAAGTCGGACCTTTCAGAATGAGTTGATTCTGTCGTATCCTCAGAAGACGGGCCTTCTCTCTTCTTTGACTTCACCTTTGTCTTATTCTTTTGAACTGCAGCCAATTTCTTCCTTATTTCCTCAGGATCTTCATTTATTGCTTGTGCAATAAACTGTGTCATTTGTTCTAGTGAAGAAGTGTAGCTAGCATCTCCACAAGATGATCTTCTTAAGGTGGACATCTTACCTAGCGACATGCTCAACTCTTCAAATGTCTGCTCTGAGTTTCTTTTCGATCTTGAAGAAGCATCAAGCTTTGCGCTATTTTGATGTTCAGGTTTTTCTTTTCTGTGAGACCGTTTTCTGTCTTTAGTTCTAGAATCACTACCGCCAATGCTTCGTCCAGACTGAGTACCTTTTCCATCACTTTTCTTTATAACACTTTGAATACTACCTGTACTACTACTGCTAGTTTGGCTTGCACTCCTGCTTCTTTTTTTGACAGAACCATCGACTTTGAACTGCTCGTCCAATTTCATCTTTTGCATTTCAAATGAGAGCATGTTTGTGGAGGGGGAAGTAGGCTTGGTTGCTTCTTCCCCTAGAACGTCCTTCCTTTCCCACTGTTCTTTGGATGATGGTCTTTGGAAAGTTTCATCTGGACTAAAAATGACCTTATGTGAGGATTCTTGTGTATTTCCATCCACAGAAGGTCTGTTCATAAGGTCATCAGGTGAGTGGTTGTCTGGTAAGAATGGATCAGATGGAGTTGTGGGTTCGCTAATCAGCTTAAATGCACCTTTAGGAGAAGGCGTCAGAATGGGTTTCTCATCTCCAAAATGTGGCTAACAAATAAATCAAGCATTAAATTAATAAACAAAAATGTTACTTCTCAGGAGGCAAGAAGGTTGGAGACTAGTTAAGAGTTTCTTTCACTACTTGCTAATGTGTTAGTGAGCAGGTGGGCAAGGACGAAAAGGAAAATCAGATGGAGGATCATCTGCAACAACAAACTACACGAGACAGGATAAAAAGACACTACATTAAGTGCCTGTGGCTGCATTGCAGACATGTGGTGGTACTCTAAGAAGGACTCGCACCATAACTATGGATTACTGAACATCGCTGACACACAGAGGGCTTCAAGTCAAGGTTCAAGAAAAATCTTCACAACTAGAACTACTTCTTATCTATATTACAGAAAAATTGTCATCACAGGGCGATATGTCCTTAATTTCAATATCGAATACAAGATAATCAATTTTTATTTCTATCTTGTCATCCATAACAGCAAAGCGTCTCCGTGTTGCCCAACAGCAAATAAAGCTTCAACCGAAGGTATATACACTACATTTGAAAAAAAAAACTGCATACAGTAAGAAACTCGACAGTGCTGATTCAACAGTATTTTGAGCGATACTCAAGTCTCACAGACAAATAGTTGCTACGAATGTAGTTAATGGGTTCTAATTGGGTATCTTTACACTGATTGTTTTGGTGCCATTTGCTCTTACCCTAGGTCTGCCAGGGCTTGTCCTTGACAGAGAACCAAGCTCTTCTGATCCTGCTGCCAAAAATGCACCAAAGGAAATACGCACCTCACCCTTATTCTCAGGATCATTGACTCCAACAACTTTCAACAGAGATGGTCTGGTGATATATTGACTGTCTGGAATTGTCCAGTCATGGATCTTACTGATATCACTTATTTGAGCCTGGGACTGAAAAGTAGAAATGACGTTGAGAAACAAAGGAGACTTTTGTCTGATTGGCTGTCAGATTTTGTAGTGTTCAGTCTCCTAACCGCGCGCAACGGAGTAAACAAAGATGGCTGCCAAAGCCAAAGTTCTCCTTCGTTCCATCGTTCCGAATCGTTCGTTCAAGATGGCATGGAAAGGTTTACAAAGTGTGATGTCTTTCTCTCAGCCTATAGTACTTATAGGGGGCGTTGACAACTTTTTTATATATGCGTATATTGCTGAGTGCGTTGCAAAAAGAACTCATCTGAAGCAAAGTACATCGGCTGGGATGGGAAATTTTTAATTTACAAAATGCTACAATAGAGTCTTTTTCGGAGGAGGAAACGTATTTTCAACTTCACTGAAACGTCCTGCCGACCCGAGGAAAACGGAGAAAGGTAAACTTATTGTTTAAGTGGTATGTTTTATCACTCAAACTGTGTACAACGTCTTGATCTTCAATTATTTTTAAAAATGTTGTTGAGTTTTATATAAGCTTAGGCTTAGTTTTTCTGTTTCTTGCCAGGTTGTGAATTTCTGACTCTACTGCCTCTTAATGACGGAGTGATGCATGTAGCGACTCAGAGACCTCCTTATTTTTTTAAAATTTTTTTCAGAACATTTCTCACCACGACACCTTCTATTATAATAAGTTACCTGTTTACTACAAAACTAGGGATGAATTGGAGTCGGTAAACGTCTGGGTGCTTTCCCAACGGATGCGGTTCACTGTAATAAATTTATAATAAATGCCCAAGGGGGGACCCACCATATACATGTACTTGACTTAATCACTTTTTTGCTGGTTATTTAATACATGTAAATGTAGTCCATAGTATAAGCAAACACTACATCTGCATCTACAACTAAAGGGAAAGCAACAATAGCCTATTTCACAGTTACAGTCGAGGCTGGAGTTAACCTTGTTTTGATACAACCCCTCCTTCTTTATTATGTAGATCATGTTGTTCTTATGCAAATAGTTTTTTTTCCAGCAAAATTTACATCTATAAGAAAAGGAAGGAAGCTTAATTGTATCAACCTCAGCCTCACATTCGCTCAAAGGCTCAGTATGACACAGCGTGCAAAGAAAGCAGTGTCCGATAGCCCGGCGCTAGTGGATTTTGCTATTGGGCTAGTGATTTTTTTCTTTTAACTTGCCCCACGGGCAAGTGCTTTTTTTGGGGGAAATTCCAATTACAGAAGGATTGTAATCAATCCTGCTAATCAAAAAGGGTTTTGGGCTGGTTGAAATGACTTGTGGTCTAGTACATGCTAGCTACAGCTTGCCCAAATGGCAGGCTGTAAAACTGACTTTCTTTGCACCCTGATGACACCAAGCCCACAACTGTAAAATGGCCTGTTGGTCTTGAATGTACATACTGTAAGTCAGTCTGGATGTCATTCTTTCAGCAATGTAATCATTGTGTTTTCCCTCCAGTGTTCTACCATCGATCTATTTCCATTAAGTAATATTATTATTTCATTTTACCTTCCCTTTCAACAATAATATTAATGTGCACCAGTCATCACGATATACCTGTTTAATAACTTTTAGTACCTGATACAGGTTTAGCAACATGTAGGTCTACACTGCTCAGGGTAGTGGGTTTTTAAGACTGGTAAATCAGCTAATGATACAGAAAAAAACTTATAATGGCTGAGATAGTTTCTGTATGAATTTTTTATGAATGGTTACATTGTAGGTACAGTATTCTAATGAGAGACAACAGTTGTACAAACATTCTGTTCTTCCTATTTTTTATCAGATGTTTACCAGACCCAAAGTTTAGTTTGTATAAAAAGACAATAATATTTGTGAATTACACTCTGAAAAATTTTTGCATAGTATGAATTAATGTGCTTTGTCACATTATCTAAAAGGACATGTGACAAATAAGCAGCTGAACATCATGCATTTTTGCTCAAGAAGCCTTGATGATAAGAGTCTCAGCTCTTTGTTAGACCTGACAAAAAGTGTATTTCCTATGCATGTCTACAAATATTGTAAACGCTATATGGCTGAAAGTGTATGGTTATGATTATGGCATGATCTGTTTTGATACAAGACTCTGATATTTTACTCAAGATGAAGAAAATATTTTTCAGCATTCAAAACATAAAGGATGTGTAGAAAGTTTGACTGTATACTGTATATTGAAGGCAAGAGTCTCAAATAATCCCACACAGAATAGCTCTTAAGGCTGTGCTTGCAGTTTTAAGACTTCATACTTACATTATTGTGCATCCAAGTGGAAAATATGGCAGCTGGCACCTCATCATGAATATAATGTGCTGTTTCTCATAGTCCTGGGAGCAGCTACTCAACAACATTTTACAAGGGGTGTTTTCACCCCAAGTTGCCTACATTTCTCTGCACCCTTTGAGGTTGTGCAAACACATCGACCAAACCCAAGGTCCAATGTCTTATCCTTTATTGCTGACAGGAAAGGTGTCCCTTTTCTCTCTTTCCCCCCTCCCCATGTTCAAACTATTTCTTTTAAAAGAAAAATTCTAGCCACTTGATGAATAAAAGGATATACCCTCCCCAAACACCAAACCCATAAGGACAGACCAGTAGTAGAAATCAGAAATCAGAGTGGGCAGTAATGTTGTATATCTAGCTTTAGCTATGATAGTATCCACTTCATTGTACATACACTGTATATACTGCACCTACTTCTAACTAGTGCTCCACATTGTGCAATGAAGCTGGTGCTGCATGCTTCTCACTCCCAGTGTTAGCTTGCAGATTATTTACATTTTTGCTGATTACTTGAGACTCTTGCAGCAGACTAAGCTGGGAAAGGGATACTGTTGTTTACTGTTGGGTGGTTGTAACATACGAGTGGGCCTATCACTAGAGGGCCTTATTAGCCAGGGTGCTTAGAACTGGAATACATTAGTTCTTCTTATTTGCAAATGAAGGAAGGAAAATTAGGGGAGCGCATAACCAGGGTTTTAAAGTAATCCATTTTCAATTTTTTTCTTTGATCCACCTGAACAGTAGTTAAAAGAATATGAATGGACTGGCCAGAATTACTGTAGGGAATGGACCAGTCTGAATGACACAAGTTGTAATAATTAAATACTTTAAAAGTCAGGGAGAATGGAGTTTGAAGTAACAAAACCAGATTTGTTTTCACTTAATTAAATAACAATAGATATCATAGCTAAACATTTCACTAGTCTTTCAACTTCTGCACACTTACATCTAATTTATGACATAAGTTTCGTGTTAATTCAATATTTAAGAGGAGACTTTCTGTTTCAATGCCTTTTAATTTCATTTCCTCTCAAGCAAGTATGGGGTTACATGGGCCAGTATGTCATCCACTTTGACCTTACTGGAGAGCTTTTGTGTACTCCAGTTTGACCATCATTTTGTTTTCGCAAACACCTGAATTAGGTGTGTAAATTGTATATTTTATAACAGCTGCATCTGCAAGACAACAAAACGACATTTTTATCACTATTACATTTTCTACACCACATACCACAAGTTTTCTCAGAGTCTTAGATTTTCGGAATGGTTCGAAGGAAATTGATGTCACGCCATCGCTTACGAATGAGCAATTTTGATCGTAAGAAATCCCGCTTCAACCTCAATTTTGAGCAACAAGAACACCCCAAACAATACCATTTTTTTATGCCAAGTTGTAGCGGAGTAAATGTAGTTTCACCTGCGAAAGCCGATTCACATATCACAACTTAGTTTTTCGGATACTTAGGGGGAACCCCGGGCTGTTCAATGTGGATCCGCCTCTGAAAACGCCTTTCGAGTAAGCATTGTTTACTAAAATGCTGAAATATTTGGTTCCATACGCCCCAAGAAAACCAAACTTGGCTGAAATAATCTTCCAGTCACCTTTTATCAAATATACATTTCACTTTAACAATAGACAGCAATTCTGCTCATTTGTAACTCTTCAAAACTCGATGCCCTACAAGCAGAATTTCTTAAATTGGATTTCAACCGCACGACTTTCACTCCACTTTTTGTATATTACGGAACACCCCAAATTAGGTACCAAATTTTTACAGCAGATAGTGTATACATGAGAGAGTTACTCATTGATTGGAATTTCCATATCAAAAACGAACACAAAAGTCTCAAGGGTTGGAACCGAAATTTTAATTTTCACGTAGAACAAAACTTCACTTAATAAATTCCAGCCTACGACTTGCTGTAAAATACCACGGATTAACGCCAAACGACAGCTGTACCCAGAATTTGAAACAATAACTTTATTACAATGCTGGACTCGAATTCAAAGAAGAAATGATGAAAACTGAGCTTTTAAGAACTTGTTGTTTATCGACACTTTGATTTTGAAATGCAAATAGCCTGGCTTTTTCGCCAGCGCATGGCAAGACGATAAAAATCTAAAATACAAGCACTAGGAACCACGTAATGAATTGTACTTACCACAAAAGACCTTCTCCTTTTTGTTAGCGTCGATTAAGACCTTAGGAACAGCCTTGGGCCACTTAAAAATGACTCCACGATTGCTCGCCGAAACATTGTTGTGAGATCGCCATCTTTGTTGATGTTATGTGTCTACAACTAGTAGAGCTTTATCGACCGAAAAAATCCCGTAAAGAACGTGAAACATGCTTGTCTGTCTTCACGTTGAGTTTGTTTTTATGTTAATGTCCTTTAACTGGCTTACCGACGACCTGTTGAAGGATAATCCGCCTTCGAAGTTCGGGTGATCAATTTTTGCCGCTCAAATTTGTTTGTTCTGTGAAAAGTACGAAAACCCGAGAAACCTGGGAATAGTTCGAGCATGCGCAGACAAAAGTCACCTTTGTTACGTTGAGATAAAAGTACAATGAAAATGTCACCTCTATAAATACTTGTGCTACATCCTGCTGTATAAGCATCTTCTATCAGCAAGAGTGAAATATTTCGATACTGTGAGAAAAGGTGGAATCTGCCTTTTCTTAACGCCAGACATCGCATGATCACATTTCACCCAAATCTAAAAACATCTTACTCGAGAAATATATCTCACATTTCTTGATGGCGTTTCAGCTGACTACCATAACACACTGGAGAGCACAGAAATGACCACTATACTAAGCAGAAAACGTACTCTAATAATCCTAGAAATGCCAATTAAACAGATTTTTGTGGAATCAGAAGGTATAACCAAGCAAGTAGTATAGGAGGACCGGTTACTCCTCTTTTTTGGGGGGGAATCTCATTAAGGTGGGGGGGGAATAAATTAACGTCGCTGACGTCATTGGTTATTGTATTGATCTCATGAATAAAATGCGGTGGATTCTCATTAACTTGGGCAGGAATAAATTAACGCCAATGACGTCATAGGCTATTGTCTTGATCTCATGAATAAAATGCGCAGGGATGCCATTAAGATAAGGTCATCTGCTATTTTTAGTTGGTTTAGGATTTCTAGTTACTTTAAGGTCGATAAACGTCTTTGTTTTCGATTGGTTAGTTAGAAAATAAGAAACGTTTTTATTGGTTAATTCATACTGTCTGAGGAGTAAAGTCAAACTTTTCTGTGACTTAAAATCACTGAGACGTAACGTAATTATGCACTTCCTATTTCCTGCTGCTGTGATTGTCCTTGTTCCGGTTCACTGATTTTTGGCGGGCAAATCGTGTATATTAAAGAGGGCAAAGGCAAACTAGCTCTTTTTTACACTGCAAGCAATGCTTTACTTACCCCTCTTCTTTTCATTTTTTATTTTCCTCCTCCTCCACAATTTTATCACCACCACCACCACCGCCAACACATTTCTATTGTTTTCCCTCCACCACCACCACCACCGCCACATTTCCACTGTTTTCCCTCCACCACCACCACCGCTACATTTCTATTGTTATCCCTCTACCACCACCACCACCGCCACCACATTTCTATTGTTTTCCCACCACCACCACCACCACCACATTTCTATTGTTTTCCCTCCTCCTCCTCCTCCTCCTCATTTTTTATTGTTTTCCCTCCTCCTCCTCATTTTTATTGTTTTGATAGGGTCGATGTGGGGTCGATGTAGGGTCGATGTGGGGTCGATGTAGGGTCGATGTGGGGTCAATGTGGGGTCGATGTAGGATCGTCATTGTTTTCTCTCCTCCTCCTCCACATTTTTATTGTTTCCCCTCCACCACCACCACCGTAACATTTCTATTCTTTTCCCTCATCCTCCTCTTTCCCCTCCTCCTCTTCCTCATTTTTATCGTTTTCCCTCCTCCTCCTCCTCATTTTTTATTGTTTTCCCTCCTCCTCCTCATTTTTATTGTTTTGATAGGGTCGATGTGGGGTCGATGTAGGGTCGATGTGGGGTCGATGTGGGGTCGATGTAGGATCGTCATTGTTTTCCCTCCTCCTCCTCCACATTTTTATTGTTTTCTCTCCACCACCACCACCACCGCCACATTTCTATTGTTTCCCCTCCACCACCACCACCGTAACATTTCTATTCTTTTCCCTCATCCTCCTCCTTCCCCTCCTCCTCCTCCTCATTTCTATTGCTTTTCCTCCAAGTTTGGCCTTCTAGGCCTGATTTTGGCCTCTTTGGCCTTTCGAGGAAAAACAATAGAAATGAGGAGGAGGAGGAGGGGGAGGAGGAGGAGGAGGGAAAAGAATAGAAATGTTACGGTGGTGGTGGTGGAATGGAAACAATAGAAATGTGGCGGTGGTGGTGGAGAGAAAACAATAAAAATGTGGAGGACGAGGAGGGAAAACAATGACGATCCTACATCGACCCCACATCGACCCTACATCGACTCAACATCGACCCTACATCGACCCCACATCGACCCCACATCGACCCTATCAAAACAATAAAAATGAGGAGGAGGAGGAGGGAAAACAATAAAAAATGAGGAGGAGGAGGAGGGAAAACAATAAAAATGAGGAAGAGGAGGAGGAGGGAAAACAATAAAAATGAGGAGGAGGAGGAGGAGGAGGAGGGAAAACAATAAAGATGAGGAGGAGGGAAAACAATAGAAATGTGGTGGCGGTGGTGGTGGTGGTGGAGGGATAACAATAGAAATGTGGCGGTGGTGGTGCTGGAGGGAAAACAATAGAAATGTGGTGGCGGTGGTGGTGGTGGAGGGATAACAATAGAAATGTCGCGGTGGTGGTGGAGGAGGGAAAACAATGAAAATGTGGCGATGGTGGTGGTGGAGGGAAAACAATAGAAATGTGGTGGTGGTGGTGGTGGAGGGATAACAATAGAAATGTGGCGGTGGTGGTGGTGGGAAAACAATGGAAATGTGGCGGTTGTGGTGGTGGTGGTGGTGGTGGTGGTGGAGGGAAAACAATAGAAATGTGGCGGTGGTGGTGGTGGTGGTGGAGGGAAAACAATGGAAATGTGGCGATGGTGGTGGTGGAGGGAAAACAATAGAAATGTGGTGGTGGAGGGATAACAATAGAAATGTGGCGGTGGTGGTGGTGGAGGGAAAACAATAGAAATGTGGTGGTGGAGGGATAACAATAGAAATGTGGCGGTGGTGGTGGTGGTGGAGGGAAAACAATAGAAATGTGGTGGGGAGGGATAACAATAGAAATGTGGCGGTGGTGGTGGTGGTGGTGGTGGTGGAGGGAAAACAATAGAAATGTGTTGGCGGTGGTGGTGGTGGTGGTGATAAAATTGTGGAGGAGGAGTAAAATAAAAAATAAAAAGGACAGGGGTAAGTAAAGCATTGCTTGCAGTGTAAAAAAGAGCTAGTTTGCCTTTGCCCTCTTTAATATACACGATTTGCCCGCCAAAAATCAGTGAACCGGAACAAGGACAATCACAGCAGCAGGAAATAGGAAGTGCATAATTACGTTACGTCTCAGTGATTTTAAGTCACAGACAAGTTTGACTTTACTCCTCAGACAGTATGAATTAACCAATAAAAACGTTTCTTATTTTCTAACTAACCAATCGAAAACAAAGACGTTTATCGACCTTAAAGTAACTAGAAATCCTAAACCAACTAAAAATAGCACATGACCTTATCTTAATGGCATCCCTGCGCATTTTATTCATGAGATCAAGACAATAGCCTATGACGTCATTGGCGTTAATTTATTCCTGCCCAAGTTAATGAGAATCCACCGCATTTTATTCATGAGATCAATACAATAACCAATGACGTCAGCGACGTTAATTTATTCCCCGCACCTTAATGAGATTCCCCAAAAAAAAAAAAGAGGAGTAACCGGTCCCTCCTATACTACTCAAGCAGTAATCAAGAGTAGCAATAATAAGTACAAGCAACGTTTTCTCCTGTTAATAGTCATGTTATGAGACCAACCCTTCATTTAATGGTTATGCCTTTAAGAAGGCATTTTTTCCATACACAGTGAAGTTACCTCAAGGGGTCTTAACTATGAAAGGAGCATTCAAGAATAAAAAGCCATCTCGTTTAAAAATACATCTTAGAACACAATTTCTTATTGTGACAGTCAAATACAGGAAAGAATAAAGTGAACTTACTGGGATCTCTAACTCGTGCTCCTTGTTGAAAACCTGCTCATCAGCTTCAATTATGGCAAGAGGATCTCCTGAAAAATGGGATAATTATGGTAAGTCAAATAAATAAGTTACTGCGATGCATTACAGAACTAAGACAGAAGTGAGAGTTGCTCGAGCTGCAGCCAAGAGCTACTCTAGCCTCTTGATTGCTCTCCAAACTTCCCAAGTGTTCAACATCTCGACATACGCACAGCTGAACTAATTGTTTTATAACATTATCAAAGCGATCAATGCAGCAGTTAACTTAAAATTTTATTATTGTAGCGCGTACTCAATGCAGTACACGTCGATGTCTACGTGACCATATTTTTTTTACCTCACAGTTATGTTTTTACCCTGAAACTGAGAGAAAGTTTACTCGAGTTGATAACTCGCTAAAAGATTGTAAAATCCATATCGAGGTGTCGGAAATTAATTCACCAAAAAAATATTTTTGAAAAAAACAAGTTTGCAAAGAATGCTGTGCACACAACATAGCCTGCACAGTTCACACAGATGGCAAAAGCTACAACAACAACAACACTAACCTCTTTTTCCTACTATTGGTTAACAAATTTAAAAGTTTTTCTTAAATTTACCCATGGTAGACATGGTAAACGCTTCATTGTGTACTGTTGAGTTATGGATGCACTTGGGAGACGTCTTGGGAGGATTGCTAAGCTCACAACTACTTGAGGTATAGTTTATTGACGTCATCAGATTGCTCAATGGGAATACGTAGCACGCTCGCGCTATCGGATTTGATTAGGTGAAATTCTAGCTACCGGTATGTTATAATACTTAATGACCATTTTGTGTACCTTGAGGCTGAAAGTCGCTGTCAGGCATCATCCAGGAAACTTTGCTTGCACTTTCCCCATCAAATGGATTCACACAAGGAATAATATCACCACCAAATGGCCACGATGGTTGGCCAAAAGACAGGGCTTGAAATGGTGTTGTGGAAGCATTTTGTCTTGGTCCTTTTAAACAATGATACAAAAATATGATGTTTGTGTACTCCTTACAAGAAGATCAGAAAAGAACATTTGGATCGGCGGGCAATCCCATATTTATCTCTGGCATCAACTGAATAATTAATAGCTGTAGAATTTCCACCTGTGCAACTAGAGCGGGGTAGTTAAAAACTTTATGTTATCTCAATGAAAGAATGTGGTAAGGTGTGAGCACTTTCAGTTCAGAAAAATTAAAAAAAAATACATTGTAAAACACATACCTTTAGTGTTGAATGGTTCTTGTTCATTGTCTTCCACAGGCCAAGGAAATGCTGATGACTTCCCTTCATCAAAAACTTGTGGCACTTGACCTGCGCTGTTACCATTGACTCCTTGAGGGGTCAAGGTTCTGTCATGTGACCTTTCAGAAAAATGTTGGCCACTTGACGGATTCCCCAGCATTTGGGAGTTCCCTATAATGCATTGAAAACCATATTAGCTGTTTATGTTTGGTTCTGGGAAAGCATTACAAAATAATTACAATGAAAATTAAGTTCAAATAAGAATTGATTGTATACCTCCTAATACTGTGGACTGTTCTCCATCGCTTGACCTTTGCAATGTGGTGGACGTGATCTGAAATAGCAAGTGATACATTGTACAGGTAAAAAAAATAGTTTCCATTGTTTGTAAGACATGAATATTGATGAAGAGAAAAGCTATTGAAAATTCCCAATAGCGCTTAACCCACACTTAGCCCAACCAAGCATCTAACCCCTCAATCTGAACAAAGATAACAACAGCACTGATAATGAAGATAATGTTTGTTGCAAAAACTTACCTATCTTTTGAATTCAATGCCATTTTTATAATTTCTTGCTTACAAATGACTGAAAAGGCCACTGCTTTAATGAGTTCTGACAAGAATATCAGACCTTTACAATTTACATGTATATGACATTATATTTTATGCTCGTTTTTTTTATTGGTAGAGTGAGGAAAAGAATGTCTGCTGTCATGACTCATGATGACTTTGTTTACTTGTTTGGAAACACTAAAGCAATTCATACACATGTACTTTTCATAACACTTTTTCAATTAACACTTTTCTTCTTAACATACATGTAAGTTAGAAAACTGTTTTGAAACAAATCCAAGTGAAAGACTAGTTGTGATTGATCAAGACAAACAGAATGGATGCTACTTTATGGCAATCAATGAAGCAATGAAACAGTCATCTTGGGAAAACATCACATTTTACGCTACAAGAAATACACGTTGATCACATCATGTACGTGACAGTTCCTGTTCCAAACATACCAACATTAGTGCAGTAATCCTTATATTAAAGATAAGCTAGTCTATTTTGTTTAGTACACGTACCTGTTTCTGGTCAGCCGCTTGTCCAGTAACTGTGGATGGTCGCTGATGTCCTTGGAACAAAACTCCTGGTGTTGCCCTCATTGCTGCCTCACCATCATCACGAGGAGTGGACTGGAAATGTTATTAAAAATAGAATGAATGAGTGATGTAATTGTTTGCTTGTCAATAATCAAACACAAATCTTTGACAGAGGTTTAAAAAAATGGAATTTTACACAACAGACAAACAAAATGGAAGGAAAATGTAATGGTTCAATTGGGTTTTACGACGATGATGATGATGATGAAGATCAATGTGCTGTAGTTTGCCAAAGACGTGATATTGTTAATTGTAGTCCGAAAGACCCTGGTTCACCAAGCAAAACTACAGTGCAGGTAGTCTTATTGCATATATGACTATACAGGACAATCCAGCAAGGAATCCAGAGAGCAGACTGTTTTCATGTATTACCCACCATCTTCGGTAAGATATTTTTTTATCACAATATGGTTCCTTCCAATATGCCCCTTTGTACATAGTTATAACCTGTACAACAAAACACTTGTATTAAGTATAACACGCAGATGTTTTTGGAATTGTTACATATTTGTATCTCTTCCCCAAGAGGAATGTGCGACACAGGCCTCAGAATGTCTGAATGCATTGTAGCAGGGGCACCCAATGACGATTTCCTCTTAAATACATTAAAAACTCTTTTTAGGCTATCCAGAGTACTTTTAGATCTCTAGAAATGTATTCCAAGAATCCTAGGGGAACTTGACTCTTTTCAAAATTACAAGGACTTCAGAATTATTTTCCCGAAAATTTTACATGCAATTTAAGACAAAATCCATCAGGAAATTGAGTAATTTTAATTTTAAGTGGACAAAACCTTGTACCAGAATATTTTCAAGCATATTGCATTCTTTTTCACACTTTTCAAGGGCTATAAAATTAATGTTATAAGTTGTTTGAGATAACTCCGAAGAAAAGGTTCTTATTGGAGCCCGAGAAAACAAACTTCAAAAGCCTCAAATTTCACAAACTGGAATCTCATGTATGACGATTTACCTGTTTTTTCTCAATTCCTGTGAAATTTGAAATTTATTTTCTTGGACTCCTGTAAGAAATTGTCTTTGGTGTTATTATAGCCCTTAAAAAGTGTAAAAAAGAATGCAGTATGGCTTAAAATACTCTGGTAAAAGGTTTTTGTCCAATGAAAATTACTCAATTTCCAAATGGATTCCATCTTGAGGTTTTACGAAAGTGAGAATTTTTCTGATTCCTCACCCCATCTCATTTTTGAATCCGAAAATTTTAGTTTTCCTTTTTCTTCGAAAATTAGCCTAACATGGGCAATAAAATGTGAGAAATTAAACTTCAGAAAATCATAGTGAATTTATTGGATAGGGCTTCGAAAATTGTATGTGAATGAATCATCTAGAAATTTTTAGCCGTCCTGAAGCTATAGAAAATTCTAGGCAATATCTGCTTTCCAAAACAGATAATTTACAGAAGCCAGCTGCTGGGTCCCCTGTGGTAGGATGACTTGTACTAGTAGGGAATATACGTAGGGTTACCTTCCATAACTGTGATTCATCAATTGCCATACTTCCATTCATAAATGTGCTACTGCTGAACTTGATTGAAAACTCAGAACTGTGGTTTGACAAAGCTGTAGATGAGCCCGATCCTCGATTTGAAAACTGATTATTTTGGGCTTCAAGAGCTGTGTCATGTGGAATCATTGTCTACAGAAAAAAAAACACAATCACAGTTTTAAAGTGAAAGTCTGTTTATAACAAGACGTGGAATAAAACTCAAAATTCTTAGCAATTATCGTAAAGCAATGTAGGAAACTGCATATTGTATTTCCAAAGTTTTCAAGAAAGCCTTACCATATCTCCACCTTCTGATGCCAAAGCAAGGTCAGTACTGGAGGGGTCAAAGGTCAAAGATTCGGCTTCACTGAGAGGGTTACCAGGTCTGCTACCTTGCAACTTGTAACAAACAATAACAATATTGATAGTAAACATTTTGAAAGATTAACACTACCAAGAAGCTCTGTAAATAGCAAGAAGGCTCCTATGAATACAACAGTATTTAAAAGAGGAACAACCTCAATTCAGACCTATCATGCCATGCCTTATGCTGCCAAACCTTCCATAGGCTAAATAACCAGAACTAAAATAACAAGAAAACTGCTACTTAAGAGGGGTCGAGGCAGCCTGAGTTTCCAGCTCTAGGAGGTGGTCAATAGAGGAGTACTTAGTGCCGTGTTCTAAACTAAAAGCTGCCCTTACGGGTTCTTCACTTAATGAGTATTTAAATACGTATAACCATTTCAACTGACGAGGGCTTAATCACTACCTAAAATATCTTGATGGTAACATCTAAAAAAGGGCCAGGGTCAAATGACTAACACACAGTGACATTTACCAATGATAATTATTATACTGCTGTGAGCATACATGCATTCAACTTAAAAACATGGGGAGTATACAAACCTGTGATATATGAAATGAGCCATCATCTCTCCATAGCGGGTGGGGTGTGTTGGTAAGCATGTAACTATTGCGTGCAGTGGCATTGTATCCAGTGAGATAATATGACTCAAGAGCAGAAGTTTCATCATGGATGGCCCTGCTGTTATTTTCCTATGTATAAACCACAAGGTTAGTCCTTCACGAGCATTATCAATGAAGGATTCTTTTAGCAGATCAAAGGGACGAATTCATCTGGCAACTCTTTGATTTAAAGGAATAAGGTTTCTTATACTAAGAGTATAGAGTTCTTAAGTGATGATGTCATAAAAATTAAATTTGTGAAATTATGGGAATTGTTGGGATATTTTGAAAGTACAACATCCAAAAGGCCTCCTTGCGAAAAACTAGCATTGTGGGAAAAATAGTCCTGTTTTGCTGAGGACTCCATATAATCCTACTAAATTTGACTCAGTTCTCAATGTTATGAACTGAGTCAAATTTAGAAAGACCATCAGATCATAACTCGGCTATTATCTCAAATGACAATTTTGCTCTGGATTGCAAAATTTTGGCAAGTAGGGCTGTTGAATGTTGTTCTTTCATAATTGGTCTGCAAATATTAAAGCTGTATTTAGATCCACAGGAGTGAGTCACAGATCAAAAGTGTGAAAGATGGCAGGGAAAGCAACATCAAGTTTCTACAACTATGGGAAAGAGGTGTCCATATAACAAATGAGGAGACTGTATACTTTTAAAGTTTTCAGTTGTTGTATAGGACCCAGTCGAGAACTGTTTGATGATGGATGCCTCTCTGCTGGAGAAGAAGTTGGTTAAAGGGAGGTTTGACTGTAGTAACGCACCAACATGTAAGTTAAACTGGGAACCAGTTTACTGATGAATTACATACTTTCTCAAAAAAATGCACTTTATTTGAGTGTCAATGTATTTAGCATGAAAGTACTAATTGCGGATACTATTTTTTACCTCTCCTACTGGTCATCCGAGCCACAGCAAGGTCTAGCCATTTGCAGGAAAAAGGCATTAACTTCATTTCTCCATCATTTTAAGACCCTGAGTGTTGGCCCGAGGCTCGGGAATTGAACCTGCGACCTTCCGCTCTGCAGTCAAGTGCTCTAACAACTGAGCTTATCCTGCTTTGAAGCAATATAAAATCATTTTCCATACTAAAAACCCACATAGCAAGATTGTTTCACTGACCTGTCTCACCATAGGAGTAGATGAAGCTTGGAAGTGTGAAGGATGAGGAGTACTCATTGTTTCTTGGAGCTCATCTTGTTGCTCAGGGGAGGTTGGTAATAAGGTAGGTGACCTGTCTGCAGCAGCATCACCTACAGGACAGCCACGCCCAGCTGTGAGTCCATCACTAGCTGGCAAAGTTGCGCTGTCATGGCTGCCCACTGTATTTGGTTGATGGATGAATCCAAATGATGTAATAGTTGCAGGGAATGTTGATGATGGCGGTGCATTGGCGCTGGAAGATGCATAAGCAGCCCCTGTCAAAGGATTTAGTTTTTTATTAAAAGGTAACTTTCAACAAAGTTTGAAAATGAAATGAAACTGCATTCTTTGGGTTTCACGAAGTTTCTAAAAGAAAAAAATTCCTGGCGAGGAAGACCCATATTTCCTAAACGTTTTGACCTTTGTGGAATGGTTTGCTATAAAAATTGAGTCTGGAGATGTCCATTCCACTTGCTTCCATTTTGAAATTTCCAGACTTCAAGCCCCATCAAACACAACCTCCTGACACTAAACATTGATTCTTCTGCTTAAAACTACATTATCCCTTGATCACAAAATTTAGCTTAAACAGCTGTGAACATAACATCAATCATTTGTTTTTCCATGTTTTATGGGCTTCTTTGCAAACACTCAAACCTACACTATCTGCTATGATAGTATTTGAAGGGTGAACGGAATAAGGCTGAGGCAGTGTTAAATTCTCCCTTTGTTTCACAAGGAAATAAGCCTTGTTTTGTAAGAAGAATCCAGCAGTTTATTTGGGTTAAAAGAACTTCAATTCAAGCTTGTCCATTGGGCAAGAAGCTCTCGCATTTTGCTTACCCAGGGCCACTTCCTGCTTGTCTTGATTTAGTTTGTGGATGATTTGCCTGGACCCTTGTCCATTGGACAAGTAAGCTTTAAAAGTTACTCGTCCAGCAAGAATATCTAATTTTCCCAGACTACCAAACAGATTTTTTTCTCGGCCCTAGGGTCTTTGTTTTTTTCTCACCCCTTTATTACTGTATTTCTAAAATCATATTTGTTACTCTAGAGAAACTTTACTGTAAAAAGAAAAAATTAATAACCATAACAAGTTTTATTATTAGCGCTCACATTCAACAAATCCTTTAAACACAAAAGCCATCTGACCTTGGTTAAAATCAAGATAGACGGCTTCAGTGAAAAGGATAAGTTGCTCCTTCCATACTTCACAGAGAATTGAAGACTTCAAATTGGTAACAATATCATAATTGTTATAATTATTATATAATAAACAAAATTTTCATAAATAATAAAATAAAACCAATTAATATTTATATTGAACAAATTAATCTGTTAGCACTAAGTGCTGTAAAACGCTTTAAAAAGTAAAAGTCCATTTATAAAAATAAAAAGTCCTGGACTAAAAATGATTATTAAATTAAGGTACATGAGTGAAAAACTTCATATATACAGTACATGACTTGATAATTAAACCCTATGCAGGTGATAAGCTTGCTTAAAAGGAATGTCTTTAACTCATATGCCTTCGTATCAGGTGACCTAAAGGGGCCATGTAAAAGAGATACAGCAGAGGGCCTAACACAGACCCCTGAAGTACACCAAATCTGAGCAAATAAACTGAAGAGATAGTCCATCAATTTGAACTGGCAGATCAAGAACCATCCGTAAGATATCTACCTTTCCTCATCATGATATTATTGAATATCATAGGGTTATTGATACAAGTCTTGTCTTATAGCAGGTACTGTATAAGACTAAATTTTCGGGGCTGTTGGGGATGCAAACCCTGTTTTTTTTGGTTGCTACGACATTGCACGGAAAACTCGGTCACAATTATTTTGTCCCTCAAAATGGCCAATAGGCCATACCATAACCCAAGGTGCAAATAAGTATTTTCAATTTCAATGCCCAGATTATTGCTAGTGAAAACAGCAGAAACTCATAAGGGGTTGAAATGTGTAACTCTCATATGTTTGCTTTGTCCGATGCTCGTGATTATTCATTTGAGAAAGTACCATATTTGGAACCAGAAGAAGAGATAACTGACCAATCAAACTTCGTAAACAACGTGACATAATTTTCCTTCAGGTTCCCGCGCCCGCTAAAAAAAATGGCCGACAAACTGGGGGAAAAACTCCCGAAAGCCGAGAAAGCTTTTAAAGGTTGAAACCAGGAATATTACCGAAACACTGAACAGGATATTATTGCCTTACCACCAGGGCCAAACGTAACATTATGAAACCCATTGACAGCCTCGCAACTTCTTGAAGTTGTCTCTTCAAAAAACGATGCCTCGTTGACCCTCCGCACAGTAAACTTATACTGCAAAATATAGGCTTTTAAAATTCTTATGTTAAAAGTCTAGAATAAACAGTGAAAAATATTTTCGAATAAAATTCATTAGCTGCGTATCGAAAGTGTCCAAAACCTGAACCTGACATCTTCGCAAAAAGTGATGCTTGTAATGTATGTGAGAAGCATTTTAAAAGCTTAAATTAAACTTAGATGTCGTAGTCACGGTCGTATTTTGACAGTGATTTTGAGCTAATTTTATGAATGAACAAACTCAAAACAATAGACAGAGAAGCCGTTTCTTGAAAATTTCAAAACAGACCATGGGCTCCGCCGAGAAGAAAACAAGGTTGAATTCATCGAAGGACGATTTCTTGATGAAAAGCTTCCCTTTCTCCATAAAAAGAAAGCTGAGCATTCTTTTGAACTTTCTCTTTCCATATTTTGTCTTTTAACGGTGTATTTTTAACCTTGAAATGCAGAACTCTTGTCTTAAAACATCTGCATGGTGATCGCGCAGCAGCGATTTTGTTGAAAATGGATATATCCGTCACTACCATTTCCAAATATGGTCAAAACAAATATTCAGGAGCATTGAACGCGAGTTACACATTTCAACCCCTTATGGGTTTCTGAAAACAGTCAACTCTCTCTCAACTGACACCTCTGTAAATTGGACACCTATACTAGAGTGGATCCCTGCCTTTTTTTAATCCTGACTCTCTATAAGATGGACACTTAGTGCCCATCCCAGCGACATTGACAACTCCAAATCAGGCTGCTTAATTTCGTTACACAGTGCATAATACTAAACAGTGTACATTATTACCAGCAGGTCCCCCATCATCAGCATCACTATTGTTTCCACTGCTGCCATCACCACCTCCTCCCCCATCTCCCAGTACATCAGGGAGAACATCCACACCTTCTGCTGACTGACGTAATTCTGATGAACAAGCAGAGTTGTTCTTTTTAAGAACAGACTAGGATAGAGGGAAGGTGGTTGTATTTTCAAGTTAATATTAACAATTATTTTCTCAAGTAGGTAGCAATTTTGGCAAACCAATATCCTATACTTAAAGGTAACAATAACAAAATATACATGGTCTGTAAAGAAGCAGAATTCATAAAAATATATATAAACAGATCTTTCATTCTTCTTATGGCCGTGATTATTTAACTCTTTTGTACGGTCCAAAATTACTTTACAGAGTATAACAAAATTGAAAGGCATGAATTCTTTTTTAACACATTACAGAGTAGTGCCTTTGAAAATAATATCACAGGTATTCCTAATGATGATAATTTATTAGGTCAACAAATGCAATACACATTCTCTTTATTTTTCATGGAAGGAAAGTTCCCACATTTTCATCATGTAAAAGTTAAACAAAGCGCTTATGATTGTTACAATCATGGGTTGTCTGTACAGTACCTGTTTTAAAATTTTCAACTCAACGCACAAAAAAATTAATATAATCACGCACCAAGCCCTTGAGCTTCTAATCTCGCACTTGCATCCAAAGGAACTCTGCCCATGGTTGGCAAATCCTCTGCATCAGAGTTAGCTCCCTCAAGTCCTGGACGCCCTGTCATGCTGCCATGGCTGCCGTCACCCGCACCATGCAACAGAGGTACTGTGTGCTCATCATTGTCTTCCTGGCCATCACTTTCTGAGCGGGAGTCCATTCCACTTCCAAGGCCACGGCTGCAAGACATGGCAAAAACAAACCATAAATTGTTGACACCATATCAGCTCTATAGCTAGAAGAGTCATTATTTGGAGACATAGTTCTCACTTTTGAGCTGGGTGAGAATCTTAAAACATGACCATGCATTCATATAAAACCACTTACAGTGCTTCAGAAGTATTTTGAAAAGGTATCATAATAGATTCCAATCTAAAATGAAATTCTACAGCATGACCAAGTTCAAATAAAACATCCTCTTCAGCATTAAAATCAAAAGGTACATGTACATTGTACTGCTGGTACTAGTGTATACAGCTGTGTACTAGAATTTACTCTTGTGTTAAGAATTTTTTAAGTTTCAAATTGAGACTCCTGGGACTGTGAATGGATTAAAAAATCAGCATCACAGTGATACCTGCATGACAGCTCAAAAACAATGAAAGTGAATTCCCTGGTTTAGAAATGACATGGGACCAGAAGACACCCTTTCCCATTGATCCTTATCACCAAAGTACCAGCCCTTTGTCAGTCCTACAGTGTACATGTACCCAGGTTTATTCAATGAAGAGTCAGTCTCTGCTGTACAAACATGAAGACATACAGTGGTACCTGCTAAAGCTTTGACTAAAGATGCTTTCAGGGAAAGTTTGTGATTGGATAAAGCTGATGCTTGAGGTTAAAGACACTCTGTCAATCAACTCCCCACCATCACCACTGCCTGATCTTCCCTGTAACATCATATCCAGCTCTTCTGCAAATCACACAATAAGTCACGGCAGCTGAAGTAAAGAAGATCGGGACCTACACCAAGAGTGGGGGGGGGGAGCGGAACTAATCAAAGGGCTGGAGGTCCTGGAAAAATTACTTTGGACAGTGCCCCTGGGGTTGTCACAAAGAGCTGGGGGCCAGGGGTTTTCCCTTGGCTACTGCATGTATAAGCGTGCATTTGAGGGTTTAAGTGAGCAGGTTCTGCACTAACTTGAATGTCTACATTTTACATATCTAGAACTGACAGTCTTGCTTATTAAACTCTTATTACTCTCTCTGACCACTACATGTATGTAGACTTGTTTCCTGTGAGTCTTGAGTTCAGCTCTCCAGCCCTGGGTATTTTTAGTCTAGGTCAAGTTGCTTGAAGCACATCAAGCTTTAACGATGGGTTGACAATGATTACATTTCTCACACACCACTGGTAGCCATTCCAAGCTGAATCTTTATTCCAAATTCAGAAAAATGATTGCTTGATATTTTATCAACTTCTCCCCACTACTTCTGTAGGAAATGAATAGGGGCAACAAACAAGAATTCAAATTTTGATCTTAAGGTTTAAAGGGTTAAGAAATTACCTTGTCCATAGCTATGACGTAAAGGCTCCTCCTCATTGTCAGGTTCATTAGCAGTAACAGCATCATTTGTATTTTGCACTTGTTTGTTGTGGGAACTGAAAAAAGTGTCAGGATCTTGGCCTGAAAGTGAAAAATAGAATTTAAACTCTGTGAAGAGGACCTTTACTGTTACAAGTTGCCTATAAAGCAGTGAAAGTGCAAAACATTAAATCACCATGGGAGGTGTAGTGGCCAAATACTACATGTTAGTGCTTTGGACTCCAGGTGAAGAAGCCTTCATTTAGCCCTGGCTGGGGTTCACTGTGTTGTGTTCTTGGGCAAGATATTAAGGAGCTTCAGCAAATGTGTTTTTGAGAGACCGGCTGCAACTAGAACTTAGAAATAGACGTTTCGCATTCTTTGGCAGCAGCTTTGCCCAAATTTACATGCAAATTGTTTCTGTAACAGTAAAGACACTAAACAATAGAGAGAAGTATGATGTCACGTCACCATGGTAGCACTAATGCTGGATGACCACACAACCAATGACAACAGCGACAAAAGGAGAACGGCAAAAAAGTAAAAGGTTTTTATTGACAAAACAATAAATTTGCCAGTGCATCACGTTCTTTTGTACATTTCTTTGCCTTTGTAGCACCCCTGCAACATGAAACTTCCTAATTTCACATACTTGCTTCATGAAGTAGGTGAACGCAAAACAAAAGCTGTCTTTTTCCTCTTCTAAACTTAGATACGGTCCTTTTGGATTCAACCTGAGAAAATTTCGCCAACATTTGCCAAATTGAATAAAATTGAGTAAGATCAATAAAGTTTGAATCTGTGCGAAATTACTTTTTAAGTGACGTTTTTGGTTTGTTGTTATAAAAAATTTTGCTACCGTGGCAACATGACGTTACGACTTCTCTCTACACAAATGCAAGAATTGCAAGCAATATTCAAGTTCTTTGTATAGGCTATGAGTGGCATAGCAAACAGTACTCTACATACAGTGAACAAAGAGGCCACACTGCTTTCAAGAGGTTAAAAGCAATAGAAAACTCAAACTACTAAATTGTCAGGCCAAAAAGTGGTCACTTGCGGTTGCTCAGAAGTGCTCACTTACAAGAGGTTCTATGGGCTTTGCATGGCAAAATTTTGGTACTTTGGATCGGTGGTTGCTCATGGGAGGTGAACCAGGCAGTTGCACATGACTGTAATTATGAGGTCAGTTGAAAATCTCATCTAAATAATAGAGTTCTAAAGTGATGACATCATAAAAATTAAATTTGTGAAATTATGGGATTTGTCAAGATATTCTGAAAGAACGACACCCAAGGAGCCTTCTTGCCAAAAATTAGCATTTCAGGGCAAATTGCCCTTGAGATATTTTTAAGCCCAGTTAAGGTCAGATGACTCCATACAAACCATTTTAAATTTGACTTATGGGTCTAAACGTTTAGACCCACAATGCTAGTTTTTGGCAAGTTGGTATCTGGGATGTTGTTCTTTCAGAATACATGTATCTTGACAAATCCCATAATTTCACAAATTTAATTTTTTGTGATGTCACACTTTAGAACTCTATCAGTTTACATAGTAAAAAATGTTCATGAATACCTGTATCTGGTCTCTCTTCTTCAAACTGCACCAGGGTATCCCTGTTGACAGGAGGGGTCAAATTTCCAGCATCACCGCCATCACTGGTAAAAGGAATATCATCCCCTTGAGGGTTCCTGGTGATTTCACTGTGATTTATTACAACTTCATCCTCATCATCATCATCACCAACTAAAGTTCGGTCCTGAGGTAGGGAAACTTGTTGTAAAGCATCAGAACTAAGATTGTCACCAAATTCTAATGTGAGGAGGAAAAATACCTACAAGGTTAGAGAAAACATAACAGCGGCAATTCTGCAACAATCTAAATATAGATTTCTACAAGAGAATGGACCTTCATTATGTAACTGTTCACAACCATACATGTACAAAACAGTTGCAGTACTCCAAGATGTGACCACTTGGTTACCATGCCAACTAAAATTGCAATCAATTTTTAGCATCACTACCTCTTCAAAGGGGGTCTTTACCCCATAACAAAATAAATACTGGGTAATATTTTTGAGCACTCAGGACCAACTACAAACAAAAAACTTTTTTTTCAGATGATCATTATTTTTGTCATCATGCAAAACTCATTTTACCCATAATAAAATTAATACTGGGTAAAATTTTTGAGCACTTAGGACCAACTACAAGCCAATTTTTTTTCAGACGATCATTTTGTTCTCATGCAAAACTCATTTTACCTGGAAGACCATCCAACTGTAAAATACCAAGTGAACTCTCATCTGCAGTTAAACTCTTGCCACTATTACTAGTTGATATAATTCCTACGAAACAAGAACAATGGTTCGTCATCACATTCATATTTTACAATAATTAATTGATTTCACCTTGTACAACACACACTGTTCAAGAGTTGATACATGCACAGTTGGTTACCCTACACTGTACTTCAAATTTCATTGAAACCCTTCAAATAATGTTGGTGTTGATGGTGTTATGGAAGCTATTGTTGGTTAGCTACATGTATAAATGTTTTTGTGGTGGGGTATTATTCATTTTCTCTTCAGTCTTTTGTATTATGACATGATGACCACACCCATCCAGAAACAAGAAACTACCCTAATTGGGATTCTTAAGCATGTTATGTTCCACTTGAATTATTATCTGTTCCATTATCCCTGCCAGTCCCATAAGGGGAGACAATCATGAAGTATTAAATTTCATTTATCTGCTTGACTTTTTTAGTTTCTAGTAATAACATGTGTACGTATAAATTAAATTTCACAAACTTTACATTTTACTTTTCAGAGTTTGTTTTCCTTACCTAGTGACTCGGCATTTTGTATGGCTTCAAAGAACTCATTGATATTGTTAGCATTCAGACCCTCCAGTCCCAAAGAAAACCTTCTGTAAACAACCAAGAATGATATTTAAAGTAATATGTACAGCATACAATGGAAATACATGTTTCGACGAGCACAGGCTTGATGATATTATGGAAAAAGTTTGATAAAAGTATACAATGTCAACTTTATAGCAGGAACAGGGATGTGCTCTAGCAGTTCCCAGAGGCCCATGGAGCTTAAATTTTGCTCTTAGGCAACTAGGAAATCTTAGCTTTTGCATACATGTAGCACTCAAATGCTGGGTACCCTGGACTCCACACATTCAGAGCATTAGGCTCCCTAGAATTTGTCTTGGAGCACAGCCTTGCAGGGAAGTCTTTTTTCCACAGTGTTGCCAAAAAGTTCCCCAGTGGAATACCTCTACATTAAACGCAGTCCTATTATAAAGAAAATTATGCACAGTATACCTTTCTCTTCCCCCCTGGGTATTGTTTGAGTCATATACATGTGTATTTCCACAGTGGGGCATTTGTCATTAAACATTGTCTAGGGTGGAAAATTGTTCATTGACAAAATTTAAATTTCAATACTACCACTCAAAATACTATTCACAACTACAATAACAACAAAACACTACAATGGAAACCCTCCAGACAGGCACCCTCATAAACGGACAGCTCTACTTACGACCACCTTTAAGGCTGATTTAGATGGTGCAATTTTTGCTTATGACTATTGTGCATGACGTGCATACGTCATGACTTTCGACCATCCACAGGTACACAGATGTCACTTACAATATTCCACAATGAGTTATACGAATATCATGGGTCTAATTTACATGACATGATCTGTCATGAAGTCAAGACTGTGGTATCCTGCGTAACCTTGGACACATTCTGTATCTAAATATCACATGATGTTTACCATTAAAAATTGTTACAACTATCAAGGCGGTGTGTGCATAGTGGATATTACATTGGCAACAAGGAAGACGAATACATGCTGCAAGAAGAGAAAAATCAAAAGAAGATCGAAGAAAATCAAAAGCAGAAGAGAAGAGGAAGCCAACGGAGAGAATACTAGCGAGATTAGAAGTGAACAAGAAAGAAGAAATTATCAAGAGCAATGGACATTGTACAGACCTCGTGTCAGAAAACAAAATTATACCAAACGAAGGAACCATGAGCAACACAAGCAGAAATTCAAGTCTCAACTTTCAGAAATCACTTAGAATAAACTCCTTCAAGATTCCAGAGAACCCCTTAGAGACTGGCTGAGAGTGGCAAAAATAGCTCGACTTTGAAGAAGAAACAAAATATTTTGAAATCAAGGGCGTGAAAGACAAAGAAAGTGACTTCAAAATCGACGACAGACAAGAAATCAAGAAACTTGCCCGAAACCTTCCAGATACCGCTCCTGTTGAAGACGACGACGACATCAAGAAATTAATCAGGAAACTCAACGACCACTTGTTACTGGATAAAAACAAACAGCATGCGAGATACACGTTCAGCAACCAACAGCAACAACTAGGAGAAAGTATCATAAACTACACAGCACGATCAGACAAGAGACAAGAGAAAGGCAAAGAGTCATGAAAAAAAATGTCAAGAAAACAACCAAGGCAGACACTGACACAAGCAGCGAATCAGATTGCGAATACCTTCAACAGACAGCACGACATGATTGTCTTACATTGAGCAAAGAAACTGAGATCAGGTAGAACTCAGGACTCTGTTTTTATCAAAATAGGAGACACTGATGCGCATGTGGAACCTGACAGCAGAGCATGTGTGAACACAATGGACGAGTACCAATTTGGAGCCCTAAAACACAGATCAAAGGAAATCAGAGAACTACAATGTAGATCCAAGCAAAGAAACATTGAAGACTCTCCAAACTGATATGGTAGTTATATACAGGTGTAGTTAAAGGTGAATTTCATACAACAATTCGAAACAAGAATCAAGGAGCAAAAAGCAAGTGCTCAGTGATTGAGGGGAAAATGGACTCTCCTCCACTTTTAAGCAAGAATGCACTAATTGAACTGGCAATGATCAAGATTAATCCCGACGGAACACTTAAAGATACATGCACCGATGAGCTTAGAATCAAGTCAGTGAAGCCACCAGATGACATTGACGCGTTACTCAGTGAATACAATGATAAGTTCCAAGGCATAGGATGCTTCTGAGACAAGAGTACAGGCAAAGAGATAGAAGTCAAGCTAGAGACAGATCCAGAAGCTATTCCAGTAGCCAGGAAACCGTGCCCAGTCCCAAATCATCTGCAAAAACCTCTCAAAGAATGGCCTGAGCAGGGAGTAAAAGAAAACATATTTGAGAAAGTCCCAGGCGGAGAAACCATCACATGGTGCTCATCCCTAGTTGAGCAGCATAAACCCAAGTATGCTGATATCAAGAATGCAGAATTAGAATCTCAGATGACAGTGTTCTCCTTATCAGACGGTAACCGGTAAAATTTACCGCCTGAAGCAACACTTCTTACCGCCTGCAACCGCTTAAAGGTTTACCAAAATTAAATATATATATATTTTTAAAAATATGCAAGTTGTGATCCGATCCGATTCTCACAAGAAAAAGAATGAATATATGGAAAAGTATAGCTACCTGATTACAAAACATACAGCCCAAAAAAAATGCATGTGCAAGAACTTCTTTTTGCGTCCACAAGCTGACAGGTTCGTGCGGCTTTTCGTAGGGCGCTTGCGTTGAATCCAGCAAGACGCAAGAACTTCTTCAGTCGTTTTTACTTTCATAGATATATTTCACTGAAAATTTTGCAGACAAAATTATTCAACAGGTCAGATCAAGGTCAAGCAAGGCGTTACGCTCAGCGTTTGAATCGTTTACATTATCGTTTGGCGATTTTTTCGTTTGCATCGTTTCTATCCTTTTCTGGTGATTTCTATCGTTTCTGACAGTTCGTTTGTTTCGCTTCTTTCAGTAGCTGTTTGAAGGAGTTTCACAAACGATCATCGGGTCATTTTGCGAGATCGCCCCAAACACGTGAAAATTTATTCTGACAATAAAATAGCTGTGCCACTTTCTGTATTTGTCAGCAGATCACTAATCTATACTTTAGGCACATAGTTTTAAACATTCAAAACCCTAAAACTGTTTCGTTCTTGCTGGTTTACAATGACAGGGATGTATAGATAACACGTGTAAACAAAAAAGATAAACTAAAAATACTTTCATGTTTTTTTAAAATGCACACTGCAGCTCGTTTTGCAAAATAAGGATCGGTGAATTTTGAAACGGTACATGTAAAATTATCTTGTGCAAAGGTAACCTTTTAAGCGAGGAAATGTGCACAATTTCGATAAAAAAGTAGCACTTCAAAAAAATAACGATCGTAGTGTGTTTCGCAAAAGAGCCGTGTAATTTAAGACCGCAACTGTGTCAACTTAAAGCGCTCCTGGAAAAAAAAAATATACTAAAGTAAAGTAAGGAATGTTTTCACGAAAGGCTCTTTCAAATTACTGCAGTAAAGTAATAAATAATTGTCATGTTTTCTTTGGAATCGTGATATCCATTGTGGCAGAAATTCAACGCCTTTGGTTTGTTTTGCCGAGAGTATGGTATTGTACTATGAAATGATCCAAATGATCGAAATGTTCGAAACTACAGATCGTTTTGTTAAACAATGGGTGATTCCAGAAAATATCCATACCCTACCACGGGTGGCATGAGTATTTTAACCCCCCCTTGCCCTCGGAAATTCCAAAATGCTTATCCCCCCCTCGCCCTCCGAATTCCAAAATCGCTAACCCCCCCTCTCCTCCGGAATTTTCCACTTTTGTTTCAGACCCTTTGGAATTCCTGTTCGTCTGCCTAAATCTTCAAACGAACGAGAAACTTGCACTTTTTCCCTCTGCAAAAGAATTCTGTTCACAATTTTTACTCAGACGATCAAGCAACTCAAGTTTGTTAACGTTAGTACACCGTAGCTATTCCTTCTAAGCATTATCTTTAAGCTGCTTACCACCTAATAGAACTTTAAAATATACGTCCGTTTAAGGATATCAGCTCCTGGAATAAATAGTTATTTCGACGAAAAATAACTATTTAGAACTGAATGATCAAAACACTTGCGCATAAACAGTTTTGAATTAAACAGCGCATCAAAAGGCACGCTGTCTGATTTTACTACCTACATGTTGGCATGAAAATCGGCGTGAAATACAAAATCTGTCAGGCGTTCTATTTGGAAACGAGAGACTGGTGCGAGTTTTCAGCACGCAACAACACATCGTCGATCGACAATCGGCGAGAAACACCGACTTGGTTATATTTTTATTAATCAGTTGACTAATTCATCAACTTTAAGGCCTCTTCGATGTGGAGCTTGCTGCACAACCCATCTGCTTACCCATCTGCATGAACGCATACTTCTTCCGTGGTCGGTTCGTGCTTCATTTACAAACTGGGAATGTTAACAGGTCAGTGATTTCAAGCAGAGCTTTCGCCGTCTTTCCTCTGGAAATTCACTGAATTCAGAGCTGAAACACCCCCCCATGCCTTTGGAATTCCAAACTGCGTTACCCCCCCCACGTCTTCGGAATTTCAGTCCAAGAAACCCCCCCTCTCCCTCGGAATTCCAAGATGCCGCCCATGGTATGGTATGGATATTTTCTGGAATCACCCAATTGCCTCGCACACTTTATCTAACTTTGGAAAAGCTGAACGATTGAAGTGTTCACTTTGCAGAAAAAGCAGAGAAAGCTGTTCGCTTTCTCAGGGAACTTTTTACGTGTGTCCTTTCATGATTACCTTTTGCTGCCACAGAGTGAATTAGTATCAAAGCTACAAAATGATGTTGCAACAAAAAGTTGACAAACACCACAAAATTCTTTCAGGTTCTTTCAGGTTCAGCTTCCCTCTCCTCCTAAACTAATTTTTTCAGTGTATATGTTTATGCTTTTTCTTACTGTATTGGAGAAAACTGTAATTAATAAAATAAATTATAAAATACAAAAAGTATAATGACCATAAACTTTACAAACTGATAACTTAAGAGTTAATTCGGAGCAATACATAGTTCAATAAGTTTGTTCTAAGTGACTTATTACTTCCGCATAAATCGATCTGTTGACCCTAATTTCAACACTAAAATTAAGTGTATGTTCTAATTGCATGAGTTATCAATTATAGATCAAAGAGAATCAGGATAGTTAAAATTAACTCAAACATTGTTTAAAGAAAATTAAATTACTTCGGTGGACAATTAAATCTTTTTACGTTTCCATGTTGTTGCTTAGTTCTGGTATAAGTAAACCAACAAAAAGCTTTTAAAGCGTAGTTGAAAACAATGGAAATCGACCATAGCTATCACAACAGCTCACCCGTCGTCAGCATTCTCCAATGAACTAACGGGTTGAGATATTCCCGTCTCAGTAGAAGCAGTTCCATCTTTAGCTTCACCATCTTTTTTAACGGCTATTTCAGCGAAAGAAGTCTCGCTGCACTCGCTGGCATCAAAATCCGAGAACGACTCGAGGCCACTGACATGAGATGGAGGAGCGATGTCACTGAAAGCGAACGACTCTTGAGAAAAGTTCAAATCCATAGCCATTACTTTGAGCTCTCTTTGACCTCAGAATTCATATTTGAAAAATCCACTTAATGATGTTGGCTATGAGCGTTGATGTTTACCACAAAGCGATCTAAAATAGCGATGAGGTGTTTTGGAAAAACGAAGATATGAATTCATCTTCGCGCCAAACCGCCATGTTTTTGTTCAAGTAAGTTTGAAACCGAGGCTGATCAGCCGCTGATCAGTTTTTTATCTTGATTGACATTGTAATTCTTATTACCTTACTTGCTCTTCTCAGTTATGAATTTTAGGGAGAAAATACGTATTGATCAATATCTTTAGAAGAAACCATCAAAGGCTTTCCACAAGCTGGTGAAAAGTGCGTCTGAGGAAGGATTAGCATTTTTCTGCACCTCTGGTCGAAGATATGCAAATATTTTTACAGCTAAGATCAAATTGATTGACGCCAGAAACGTATTTAGTGATCGATTTGCATGTATAAAAAGTTTGCATTCCATGGGATCCGAGAACGCCAGTCGATGGAACGGTCGATCAACAGAAACTGACATATCCAGCACAATTATGTCCACATTGTACGCCTAATAATTGTCTTATGACAGTCGTCTATTCTCAGAAGAGCAGAGATGCTTGTAGTTGTGTGACATGTCTAGTTTTCAAGAAAGGTGTCTTTAGAAAATCAATCACATGGGAAATTTGGCTTGTTGCGAAAAGAAACCAGCATCTTCGGACGTTGATCTTGAAGCGGGACAACAAAATCCGACCTTGAGGTAAGCAGATTGGAACAAAATCTGAGATCAATTTCCCTGTTCTCGCGCAAGTTAGGTTTTGTGTGGTGGTCTAACTGGGTCTAAGCAATTACTTTTAATGGGATTATTTTCTTAAGGTGAAACGTTGCGTCGAACATTTGGATCCCTCAAAATGCGGAGATTTCTTTGGAGGGTAAAATTGTTGCGGTGTTTTTAATAAACCACAACATTGTGAAAAGATTGTTGTTGTTGTTGGTTAATTTTAATGAGAGCAAATCTAATGTTCTGTAAAATTAAAAATGCGCCATTGTATTTGTTCCAGCTGACTGATGTTTTATCGGTGCATCGGTAAATACACTTCAATCAGCTTCAATGGATTGCGGACGTGTTTTATCTACGTTTTAGATAAGCTAAAAACATTTAGACATAAAAAGAGTACGATTTGAAAATCTAAAGCGTAACTGAGTAGTGATCATATCATGGATAATATCCGCATAATGGAAATCGCTACTGGAAAATGATAGTTAGATCCAATATACCCTGAATCATGTTTGTACGGGCTTGATTGGAAAGCATACTATATCGAGATCACCTTTACAATGTTTAATTTAGTAATGGCCTTGGCATATTATTCTGTAAATATATGAATTACCGTACTAAAATAACTCTTCAAATGATGATTTTCATATTATTAACTCCTGGAACAGTCAATTTTGTTTCATAATTCAATGACCAATAATTGTATTTAAAAATTCCCCCAAAAATGTATAAAGATATCGATTTGCAAATCCAGCAGTGCTCGTTGCCATCTGGTACCACCCTCCAATTGCTGAATTTTAAACTCAGCATGAGGTTTTTTTTTTATTATTCGAGATTTTTCGGTAATTATACAGCCCAGTGGCAGGTCACTAAAAACTCCAAGGGAAAGAGGTGTAGAAACCTTAACCTTTGAGAGTGGTATACTCAGTAGGCAGTTGGAGGTGCATATGTATGCAGTCTCACCTGTATTTTGTTATTCTCCTTAATTAGTGATGTTGGAGCCAGCGACACATCATTGCCCTTAGTAGCAGATTCTGATGAGCAGAAGGCACCTTTAACCAAGGGCATTAAGGCGTCCAATGAAGACTTTCATCTTTCCTTACCACAATATGAAACACCTGAAAGTGAGTTCCATCAGAAAGAGAAATCTCTCCCTGGATCTTATTCCTCATTAGATGAACTTTGCGGAAGAAAGAAAAACAAATCTAAGATAAGCAAGAAGCTCTTTGGCAAAAAGGATAATGATGAATCAGAGCGAGAATTGGATGAAGCTTCAAAAGTATCCACTGTCAATATTCCTAATGGAAAGGAAACAACACTGAAAGAGTATGAGGTTGACATTGAAATTTGCCCCATAGAACATGCCCCTGATAAAAATGAGCCAGACATTGATATTTATCCACTTGACCAAGAGGTGTCAATACCTGTGTCGTCAGTTAATGGCTCAGAGAACAAATCTTCTGGTAGTTCCAAAGGAGTCAGCGACAACATGGATGGTATCAGTGCTCCAGAAATTGTTATGTCAACAGAAAACCATGTTGACGGTAAAACAACAGTAACATCCTGTGATAAGCAGTCCGCTTCAGATGAGCTGTATAAACAGGTGATGTCAGGAAGAATAGATGTTACTATTCCTAACATGGCCAAGATTGTCAGGATATTTACCAGCTCCACGTTCACAGGTAACAGCACATGTTGCTCGGGAAAAAGTAAGGGGGGGGGGGGTAGTCTCCCTCGCAGCTGTTTTTGGGTGAGTGATAAGTAGGTTAGTAAAACTTTTTTTTAAAGAGTTGAGGGTGAACTTGTAAACTTGTGGTTGTCATTAGTTGTATCCAGTTGAATCTTGAATTTTTGTGGCTTCTTTTTGCAATTAAATCACCATTGCCACCATGTTTGCTTAAACCTTTATGGCCAAAAGGAGACAAAATTGTTTACGAGGAGGCTCCACCTCGAGGTGCAACCCCTTACCCATTCATGTACCATTTTGGACAGAAAAGTTTATATCTCTCTACTAATAATTTGGAATGCTGCACCCCTTTTACTAGTAAGTACTGTAAATGCACCATCTTTTAAATATGAATAAGTCACTAAACCAGAAAGTATTCTTGTCTTTTTTCACAGCCATAAAATGCCCCTGATAGCTTTTTTACTGTAGGTCCTTTCACAGACCACAATGACAGATTTCCCTACATGTTTTCATATCCTTCTACCTGTACAAATGAAACCCCTACCCTCTCATATACCTGAAGCCCTGAAAATGGTACCCCTTTTGGGCGGAGCCTTACCGTATAGGCTATTATAGGGAGTCCTCCTCTGGCTTATGGCAAAGCTTATGCTATGACATTGTGTAATATCCAGTACAAACCCTATTAAGGTAACTTTATATTACTTCTACCACAGATACAAGAGTTGAGCGCAATGCACTGATGAACAGAGTGTACCCCAAGCTGAGAGAATTCTGTCATGAACATGGCTATGAATTCCATGTAGTGGACATGCGCTGGGGTGTACATGATCCCTGCACAGATGATCATTCTATTAGTGAGATTTCTCTCAAGGAACTCAGAACTTGCCAAGAGCTCTCTACTGGCCCCAACTTTGTGGTAAGATCCGTAACAAATACATGTTAATTCAAGCTACGTAGTTATATACATGAAGCTGGAATTTTTTCCCAACAGCTCACACTCTCATTGGTTACTGCAAGGTCACATGACATCTACCAATGAAACTGTTTCCCGCCAAAATCTCCGAGCGCGCAACACTGCAAAATCTATGAAATCAGAGGGTAACAGTACACTGTTACCCACATTTTTTAATGTTGACCAATGACCATTGTTTAGTAAGGTTTAATGAATTTTCAGCTTCATATTAACTGTTTCCCAGGCCCGGTCATTTTATAAGTGTTAAGGGTGTGACTTAATATGAACAATGTTGCCCTTAGAGAGTAAAGGAAGTGTGATTTTGCAAAAATTTACTTTGGTAAAATTGTGGGATTGGTTGGTATATTCAGAAAGAACTAGATGGAATAAGCCTCCTGGTCAAAAATCAGCCTGTTAGTGTTAATTTTTTGGAGATATAATTATGCACATCATTAACCGTTATGCTCTGAAGACTCCATTCAAAGCTTAGGGAAAGATAAGCTACAGATACAAAAAGTAGAATACCCTTTTTGCTTAACAAGATCAGCATCATGTAATGTGGTCTTGTTTTCTGATCATACTCATCTGAGAACTTTGTCATGTCCGTCTCTCGCACTCCTCACACATGTAAGTACCAGAGGTAACTTATCGATGATGAATAATATCAACAAGCGAGTAATCAATGAGTAATCATTGGGTAATCAACTGATTAGTCTTTGATTATTGGCCAATATTTAAGCACTAGACCACACTTTCTATGGGTTTACCGGCGTGATAACCCAAGCTGGATGTTGGGAGAACACGAGAAAAGCTTGTAAATCACGAGCCAAAGGCGAGTGATTTACAACCTTTTCTCGCAACATCCCGCATGGGTTATCACGCCGGTAAACCCATAGAAAGTGTGGTCTAGTTTTCTATGACTTTACTGGCACAATAAACTATAGGTTTTTAACCAATCAGAACGCGCACTATCTTAAATATTTTATAAATAGATTTAGCCAGGGCTAAAAGCGAAGCTCTCGATAATATACATGTATATACTGTAGTTCGTTCAAACAAAATATAAAATCGTGTCTTCTCTGAATGCTAAGCGGCGAACGCAACGCTGAAAAACGGTGAAAAACAACAATAGGTCTAATTAGCAGAAAAGCAACTTTGCACGCGCAGCACACGTTTTTGTACATTTCTTTGCCGTTGTTTTGCACGACTACAACGTGAAACTTCCAGAAACTTAGTTACACTTTTAATGGGGGAATGTCGTACGAGTTCTCGTTCACTTTTTTCACTGCCTCTCATTTTCACCTTGCATTTGATTTGTGGCCGCTAGCATTTCTCATTTTATCACCGCCGCCGTAAAATTTTCATCCTCTTGTTCCAACAAAAAAATGTCTCCTTTGTTTTTTTCTCTCGCTCTAGATCTCTGTGGCCCTTTTTCTCGTTGAGTTTCGCTGGCCTGCCACTTTTTCTCTTTTCTCTGTCTTTCTCTTGCTCTGTATTCCAAATTTGTGGACGTGACAATCTAAGCTTAAGACGAAATCGACCAGGAAATTGGGTAATTTTAATTTTGAGTGGACAAAATCTTGTACCAGAATAATTTAAAGCATATCGCATTCATGCTAATCAACTGATTACCCGTCGATTACTTATTGATGTCATTGTTGTCATCGATTAGTTACGTCTGGTAATTAATCGTTTCTACCAAAGCTGACTGGAAAAAACCAGCAGGACATAAGAGAAAGTTAGGGCCTGTTTACATACAGGTGGAGCACTGCAGGTAGGTGAGGCCGGTAACCCGCTCACTTGGGGTAAAAAAAATAGCCCGTGTTTGCATGCAATTATGCAACCCCGCCATCCCAGTGTGCAGTTTCTAGGGTCCCCCACCTCCATGTAAAAACAACTCTTAGAATCACGATCACGTCATTTTCATCATGTGACCAAGTTTTCTCTGAAGTTGTCGGTTACTGTTCATTAGGGACCTTATGATCCGGTAACGGTGAGGTCCAAGAAAACGTCGCTGAAAAATATACTTCGCATCCTTTCACTTTTTTTCGCGATTATTCCAAGGGACCCGGTTACTTGAAGAAGGGAATTTAGTTTGGAGCTGAAGAGAAGGGACCGCGCCCAAGTTCTGAAAGAGATGGTAGAATTTATCGCCTTGCCGTTCCCATTGTCAAGTAAACTTAAAATTTGGTCATTTCATGTCGTAGTTGTACAGGGACTGCAAAGAAATGTACAAAAATGCGTGATGCACGTGCGGAGTTGTTGTTTTGCTGATTAAACCTATTGCTTTTTTGACGTTCCGGTTGCCGCCACCGTCGGAGTTTCGTTAGGTCCCTATTATACAGTGGACCCTCCATTAAGCCGCAACCCTCGGGGTACCGGCAATTGAGCGCTTAATGGAGATTGGCCGCTCAACAGAATTTCGTCATAAATCAGCAAAATCTTTAACAGAAACTTTACTTTCTTTTGAAACCAACGCTCGAAAGAAAGAATCTTCACTTGTCCCCAACTGGTGGGCACCTTCTATCTCAGACTGCTTTTTTCTTCATCATATTCCGGCTTAACATGAAGCCAAACTGAGTGTACAAAGCTCTTGATGGAGCTGTGTCACGAAATTCAGCCAAATTAGGAAATTACAAAATGCCCGTTAAATTAAGAGAAACATAAAAATAACTGCTTAAAACTTTAAAGGAAGGTTAAAATAACATAACGGAAACAACAGATGCCATGGATGGGCAAAACTGAAGAAGAATGAAACGGATTGAAATTAAGGTTTTTGAAAACTGTTCAGCCTAGCAGTTTTTCAAAGTTGATCCCTGCTGCTTGCAACTTCAAAAATAATGCTCAGGAGACATATTTGTTTGTCTCGGATATCTGATTTTGTCATATACCTGTAATTTCTTTGCTTACTTTAATTTTCATAGCGATTGAGAGCGAGTAATTGGCAAAGTTAAACAAAATGAACTGGACTGCCGTGACACAGCCCCTTTAAAAGAGGTGAAAACAATGGAAGAACTTTCGTTGGGACCGCCAAAAGGTGGCCGCGGCCGTTTAATAGAGGTAGCTGCATAAAAGAGGTATAATTTCCCATCCTTTTTTATAATTCTTTCGGGACTTTGATCACTGGCCGCTTAATGGAGGTTCGTCTGAATCTATAGAAAGCCTGCGGCTCGTGTGCCACTTCTTTTTTCTTTTGCCACTAAACAGACTCACGGCAGCGTGGAATCATCATTGCTCGTTTTATACAATGTACAGAAAAACGGAAAACTTGCTTCGTACAGCTTGACTGTTGGAGGATTTGTGCTAAGCGTAGGTGGCAAAGTATTTAAAAACTTCAAGTAGTTTCAGTACTTTTTGTTTTTATCATCTATACAATTGACTATTATTTACCAAATTGTCAGAAATGGTTCTGTACCTCATTATAATAAGTAATTATCCTCTGTTGATTTAAGCGGATATTTAAACACAGCGCAAATTACCGAATGTTGAATTCCAGTTGTCGCCTGTTAATCAAAATAAACACTCAAGGTGAATTTGCATTAAAAATTTGAGAAAAAGAAGACTACCGAAAATAGATTGAGTGGAAAAGGTCTTATAAGTATTGGATGCTGTTACGAGCGCTTTCACGATGATTAATAGGAAAATAACCAACAGATAATCTGGAGGATAGGTCTTCATATCCATAGATAATTATACAAATTATAATTTTTTTCATTGAGCTCGGCTATGGATATTGATGTTTTTCCAGCCACACCTGTGCCAGTAATATGACAGTCCGATGCCTAATTGACCGTGGTACATTTACCATGGACTATAGAAATCAATAACCTTAATTATCAAATTTCGGCTGTTTCCTCTCAGTTCTTGCGTTCTTTCTTTGCGGGCTTTATACTAGCTTTTAATTAGAAAATCCTGCTCCATGACAAATGTTTTTGCCGGCAATAAACACTTATTATAATACCACCGCAATTACATAACTGCAATGACCTTAGGTTCTTCTTTTTAAATCCTACATAAGCTGAGTAAACTTCCTAACTCTGGAGCAAGACGTTCAGCACTATCTAAAAAGATAAATGATTTAAAAAGCGTTCACTATGGACCGAAACGAAACAGAAACAGCGAACATCTTTTCAAACACAACTAAGTCAGTGTTTCATTGCTCGCACGAACCAAACTTAGTCTGGGATTTACAAGAGACTACTTCTCCTTGGGTTTTCGCCGCTATCGCGTCTATAATCTCTCCTTCTGCGGTTCTTTTGAACGCATTAATAATCATATCAGTGAAGCGAAGGAAAGAACTGCAGAGAGCTTCCAATATCTTGTTATCAAGTATGGCCGTGACAGATCTTCTAGTAGGAAGTTTATGTGTACCGTTATCTGCTGTGGTTGGACTGTTAGTTTCTTATCGAGTACTGGCTGACCATTACATTTGCAAGTTGGACTTTGTTGTGTTATCGTTCTCGATCACTCTAACGCTTTGCTCGGTTTTTCATCTGACAATGATTGCATGGGAAAGGTACATGGCCATTCGAAAATGGAGGGACTACAAAGTTAGAGTGACTAGAAGCCTTACAAAAAAGCTGGCAACAATTGCTTGGATATTATCAATAGTAACTTTATCTCCACTACACTTTATTACTCTGATGAGGAGGGAAAATGACGTCTTCAGTTTAGCTCTGGAGATTTTCTTCATCATTCTTTCAGTTTCGGTAATGTTTGCTCTATGTCTTATCATATATTTTTATGTCATGGTGTATCTTAGAGTTCGGAAATGCAAGTTAAGTCAAATTGGGCAAGTCAGCGGGTTAGTGAACGGAAAACTCGAACACAGAGTAGCTATGACCACTGTTTTGGTTACGGTTGCCCTGATTCTTTCCTTTTACCCAGTCATCCTTGGCAGTATGTTACAAGGAATTTATCCAGTCTTTCGTCAACGTTTGGCGATGCGTGTAGGGGACACATTTTTGTATCTAAATTCTGTAGTTAATCCACTCATTTACTGCTACAGAGATAGCCGTTTTAGGAAAGCTGTGCTGGAGATTTTGAGGCTTAGAAGACCCAAAGTGGAGCCGTTTGTTGTAATGACTGATGCAGCAAGATATCGCCACGTCAGACGGAACGATATATCCGGTTCCGGAAAAGATAAGCCACAGATACAGAGAGCGAAAAACCCTGTTCGCTTAACAAGATCGGCGTCCTTGGAGTTGGTGTTGTTCTCTGATCAGACTCATCTGGGTTTTCAAAAGACGGTGCTAAAAAGAACCTTGTCATGTCCGTCTCTCTGACTCCTCATAAGTAATCGTTTCTACCCGGCAACTCTTGCATTGCAACAACCAACCGGACATTGTCGTCGCTACAGCAGTGACCCATATGTAAGCTCTGATGTTCGATTCCGGCCTTTTCAAACTTTGGTGAATGAACCTGGTTTGTTTGTTGGTCGGAATATTTGTTCAAAGCTTTGTCTGAACAACAAGAGGACAAAAACACCCAAGCATTGAAAACCCCGTTCGTTTGACATGATCAGCATCTTGTAATTTTTTGGGACAGACGGCAAATTGTTGTTGCTCAGAGTATCTATAAGTCGTATCTGTTCATCAATAGGGTGCCTAAAATGTGTGCAGTTCTACAATTGGTTTCGACTAATCCTCATCCTGGGCGATGTACTCTATTATTGTTTTATTATATAAACACCACTCAAATACCAGGTGAGTTTTCGCGCGAAAACGTTACATCTTCACATGTTATTTTCACATGTGAAAAGATCACCGTTGCTATGGCTACATAATAAATCGCGCCTTTAGCAGCAAAAAACTATTTAAGTGAAATGGTTTGGAATTTCGTTGGTGTTTATATAATGAATAGAACATTACATGGCCGCCTCGAGACCGCGCGGCCATGTAATAGCCTCCATATATTACCTTTAAGACCACAGGCTGCCCATACGCACTGTGCATGTCAATAAGTATGCATTGCAGATCGAGAAAAATGGATCGGGAGTGGAAACGACGATATTCGACCAAGAGGAGTTGTAAAATATGTAATATTTCAAATAAATATATCTTTACCATTACATCCTTGTCTGTTTATTTGTCCTGGTTCATTTTCGACCAGAATTTCCTGTTTCTCGTCGAGTCTGACACAGTTGTTTTTCCACGGCATAGTCGCCTTTTTAGTCACGTGAGTATTTGAAACCACATGCTCGATGAACACTTCAGACGTTCGCTTAATTCAGTCATTCCACATCACCAAGATCTGTTTGTTTGTCTGAGTCTTTCAGGGGGTCTAACATTTGATGAGGTCACCCCTGCGCAAATTGTCACTTCAGAATTGAATTCACGCTGTTTCTTATTCCATTCATTCGATTTGTCGAGTATTGGGAAATTTTCCTGTAGGTTAGCCATTCGGAAGGCAGCCAAGCGCGGTCATTGCACGCGTGCTGAACAAGAATGGTGT